AGATTAATGTATGATGTTCATCTCATTACCAAATCAAGTTTGATGCAAAATTCAAAAAGAGAGGACTTTTTTATCAAAATAATCATTATCAACAATATTGGGAAGTATAATCATGAAGTTTTGTGTCAAGCCAAGAAGTTCGTGATTAATCAGAATAAACAAAAAAAGCATGTGGATATTCATTGAAGAGAGATGATTTTTCATATATGATATCATGTTTGATTATCTATTTCAAAATTTGTATCTTGTGAAAACATCAAAAATTAACACCAAATTCATTGCTCATTTTGTGATATTGAATCGTGTTGATGAAGTGTTATAGAAGTTGAAACTTCTGTCACATATCAAATAAGGTAATGCATTTTCTGTGTCACGAATGACAAAACATGTATCATGATCATATTTTTTTTTAATCAACTAGCATAAATTACTTTTTCAACCTTGGCAGTTGATCATGAGAAATTTAAAGTAGATAATATATTTAACAAACGGTTTTGAAATCATTAATATATCAAAATATAGTATTAAGATTCAAATATCAAGGAAATGCATCACATGAATCAACTTATAAATCAATTCAAAATCTAAGTAATGCATTTTTGATAGTCCAAAAATTTGAACTGATGTGTATCAACAAGGTTGCATTGCTAAAGTAGAAAGATTTGTAATCATCTTTAATTGATTAGAATCAAAGTGGAAAATGTTCAAGTTAGATATAGAATTGCATTATATTATACTATCTATAATTTTTACGTTAGCAATCCGTGTTCGTTAGATAGGATGTTACTTTAATAGATAGGAAATAAGTGAGTTATATGACAAATTTACGTGATCTATCCATGTGCTTGTTAGATTAGAATTAAATGTGTTGATTGAAAGTAACATATTAACAATGTGTGTTCTTGTTATGTATATTTGCCATAACATCAATTCATTGATATTGAAATAGAAAGTGAAAAATGGAATCTTATTTTCTCAGACTTGTTGGAAAGATCTATAAAAAAAAGTTGATATTGAATGTCTATCATCTTTTGAGTTGTGTTTCATCACTGATGTTATTATTTTTTTAATTCATAATGTTCCATATCTACATGAAATATTATATTTTTTTAAGTTATTGAGCTAGTTAATATCAACAGTAAATTCAATCCAAACTAATAAAGTTGATCAAAATTATTTCTTTAAAATTTTTCAAAAGTCATTATGCTACTTTGCAAGTTTTACATGAAGATCACCACTAGAGTTGTTAAGCAATTTTAATATCTTTATGTACATTTTTACTCTATCTTGTTTTAGATACAACTTAAGTCTAATTATTTCTAATATAAAGAAAAATTTATACTAGAATTCTATTTGAACAATTTTGCAAAGTAATTTTATAAATTATGAAGATTATTGTTTTCACATCATGAGTTAAGGTCAAGGTTTCAATAGTTAATTTCAATATATTTTAAATTACATTGTTTAACTCTAATGTATAGTTAGTTTATGCTATAAGTATAAAACTGAGCAAGCATAAGATTTGGATTTGTAAAGACTTTACGTGTTATTTTGTATAAAGCTTGCAATGTACAACCACATATTAAAATATTGACGTGTTGGTGTGTATGCTTGTGATTTTCATTTTTGGTATTTTTGCTGTAAAAGATCCTAAATTTTTTTAATATTTTGATTTATTTATTAAATAATAAAATTTACAATTTTATTTTCAATATTTAAAGTATAAATTTTCATAAAATTTTCTTATTCATAATTTCAAACTAAAAATCAAAATAATAAATGATCATACAAACACAAAAAAATCTGAACAGTGATATTTAAAATTTCATTTTATTTTCTAAATCAAATTTATGGATGGAAAACCACAATTGAAGTTGATCAATACTTGAAGAAATAATTCCAGATAGAACATTCATGGTATTTTACAAGTTGACGTTTTAATTGAATGATATATTGATTATTTATAAATATATATCAATATTCTTCAATAATCATTAAAGCATAAATATGGTAGTTAAATAAAATATGTTTTAAAATTAAAAAAAAAGATTTTTACAGAATGATGTTTATAACAATCATATAGAAATTTTGTGAATTCAAAATTTTTAATATTAAATGTAAGTATCAGAAAACTATCAATTGAAATCCATTTTTAACACTTTAAGATATGAATGCCACATAAGTTATAACTGTACATGAAAGCACAAATCTAGTTAGGATTGTTTTGAATAAGCCAGAGGAGAGGAAATGATGTTTGATTCATGTATCAACATGAAGAAATAAAATAAAGAAACAAAATCGCTTATGATTTCAAATAATCCGAAAGTAGTTCCATCTTCATGATTTATGTTATTCTTGGAAAATAATTTTTTTATGGAATTCAAGAGATATCCGTTAAAAATTCAAAATTTACGTAGAAATATGGTCGTCTTCCATGATTAAGTAAAAATTATATGCATTCATTACGTGAAATATAAAGAAACTATAGTAATCACCAGGAAAACAAAGTTAAGATTTTAAGCTTCAATCTAAAAAGGTTTACATTTTGAAGAAATTAAAAATCTGCTAGAAAACATAACTGTCGTGGCAGCGGCTAGCATATTTTTTATTGTACTTTATCCGATGTCTGTATGTTAAGCAGTTTTTTTCGTTGACTATTTCATACCTCGGCCTTAAAAAAGCAAAGCGCAGGAACCATACATAAATATCCTGTTTTCAAGGATAGATAGTGGCTCGAGTCAGAAGCGATCGTTGATATGCTGAGGATCTTGGCACAGGAAACTTGACAATGGAGCTTATCATAATGCCATGTCAATAATGCGGATGACTGGCACTTAAAAGTTCTTTGTCTCTCATGGAAGAGTAGGTTTGGCCACAAACACAGAAGGCATTATATCTTCAACTACATCAGTAACAACAATCTCGTCTCGTCGCGTCTGACATGGGAGGTAGCTTCACGCTTAACACGTGGGGGGTTTCACGTCCAATCGAGTGAGTTACAAAGCTACACAATGGAGATGAAAATTCCCCGCTGGAAGCAAAGAATCACAAAATGTGTTGAACGTTTTGTTTCCACAGCTCTAGGCAAAAAGCCGAAACACCTTGAGAAATCATATTGAGCCGAACATTTTAAATTCCTCCGTGAGATGCATATAACTTCCTCGATGAGAAAGTTCTCAATCTGAGATTGTGCAGAGGAAGCGGACCTTGAACAGCTGGTTACAGCGAGAAAATTACTTAATGTAACACAGCAGAACTCACAAGCCTTGCTGGTATCCAAAACGTTTCATTTTATTTGATGAGACCCTCCTAGGGCACTTCATCCCACATAAGCCAGGTTCCATCCGAGTTCTTGTAACTGGTTTGTTTCCCATTAGAAAAACCACTACACCTCTTTGTTGAAAACAAGATAGTTCTCCCCCGAGTTCAATTAGTCCCTGGTTGTGCTCGAGACACTCAAAGCAGTTACTTTACTGACTATATACGTGACTTCAACCAAGAGTTCTAGAAAGAAAAGGAGAGAAGTGTAAGTAAATAAGGCCCAAATTTTATAATTGGAAAATTATTCTCGGTCGTGAAAAATTGGATTCTCGCTGATAAAAATTGGAAACCATGGGAATTCAACCAATATATATATATATATATATATATATATCCAATTGTTCTTACCCGCATCAAGAGTTGATGTCTAGCCCCGTAGACACTATAAATTGCAAACAAGGTTCTCATATGACTTTCCGCCAAGGTTTGCAAATATTATAATAAAGATCACACACACTTTACAAGGACTCGTATGGAACATGGGTGAAGTGACGTGGAAGGGGTCCTATATAGTCCCAGCAAGGCTTGTGAGTTCTGCGGGATCCGATCAAATAATTTTCTCGGCCACAGCATAGATGGGGACAGTCCCTCACATAACCAATCCAGAGTCTTTCTCTGCAGGATGCAGGCAACTTACAGCTATCTGTCGACGAATGGAGGAATTCGGCACGTTCAGGTCAAGTCGGAAAACACCAGGTTCTAATTCTTTCCACATTGGTATGGGACACACATTGGTATTTCAGTCGACTGTGACACTTCACTAGTCACTTATGTGTGCTCCTGTCGTTGGTTTCGACACGAGTCCATGACCTCTAGCATCGTGGAATGCGTCCCCAATAATTTTCGATTACCTGTCAAAAGGCGCCTTCATCACTATTCAACGCTTTGAATACCCTGGACCAAGGGGCTTGAAAACTGTAAACGCTCCAAGATCTCCGTGCTCTTAACCTCCCAATGATGAGTTCCAGTATCGAGTGCGACATCCAGTTCGTAAGAACATGGCAAAAGCATGCAACATAAAAACAAGATACAGTCACAGAGGAAGAAGAGGTAATGAAGGCCGAAGGCCATGGAGGTAGACGCCTACCTCTATGGGCTCGAATATACGATCCGATTCGGACCGTATTAGGACAGATTAGGACGGTAGGACCTCAGATCGTCCGCCGTTGAACTCGCCTACGTACAGTCGCTGCTTCTTCAAAATGACGTCAATGCATCATTAACGTCTGTAATGAGAGGAGGCCAAGTGTTAATAACCCATGAAGCCGAGCAAGGAAGAAATCGAAAGTGGAATCGGGGAATATGCCCCGATAATATAACGACGTCTGTAACTACTGTAAGAATGGCCACGATGAGATTTTGTTTTTTGACACCGAGGAGTATTGCGAGGCCTATGGACTTTAGAGTAGGCCATGCATACCGTAAGTTCCGATCGAAACAGAATCTTAATTGGATGGAAGAGCATTATTTACCTTCTTTTACTGCCTTGAGTGTGTATGGACACATCCCAGAACATTTATAGCGAGGTTCACACCAGCTGCAGTCTCACAACAGACTCTGCTTCCCAAGGACTCAGTGACAAGCGTATAAGGATAGCGTCCTATCGTTGAGGCATCAAGGCGAGCTTGAGCTCCAAGGAGAGCAGGTTCATATAACACTCATCGAAGATTTGCGTAGCTGATTTGAGGGAGATATACAAGGAACAAGTAACTGCTTGCGTTTCACCGAACTTCACCCTGCACTGCTGAAGTCTCCGAATTTTCCTGTCTACTACGGTGGTGAAGATGACGATCGTGTCGACAAAGCTCCAGGCTTGCACTTGTTTGTTGGTGTTAGCCGTCGCCATCTCCTTCAGTGGTACCGTGGTGGATGCCAAAAGGCATTCAAAATTTAAGAAGCTTGAGTTCTACTTGCACGAGCAGTTTGTGGATGAGCCAGGATACCCGGTCACTGACGTGCTGGTTGCATCAGCCACGGGCAATACGTCGACGTACGCTTTCGGAAATCTCGGAATTTCAGAGCAGATCATCAGGGAAGGGGTCAGCAACACTTCGACCATCATCGGCAGAGCACCGGGGACGTACCAGCCCAACAAGGAGAACAGAACCTTCGCCCTGTACAAATTGCTGACCCTCCAGACACAAGAATGGAACGGCACCCTCGTCGTCTTCTGCGACTGGCTTTCGGATGCAGATTCTAACGAATGGACCGTCGTGGGAGGAACTGGAACGTTTAGAATGGTGAGAGGATACGCGATCAACACAATAGCAGCTGGAACCTCAGCCTCCAACTTTCTCACACTGAAGTGGGAAGTTTTCCTATACCGATGAATATGTTCACACTATAGAATACGTCGGCTGTAACGGACACTTTCTTCGCATCTCTCGACAGCGTGGTGGCTGTATTTTGAGCCGAATGGAAGGGCCTGCTCTTGTGACCAGAACACGGAGATCCGTGTGGGTTTGAATGCTATCTCTGGCGGTAGATTCTGTATGCTTGTATGTAGATATAGCTAGAAATTGGTCGATTCAAGATCTTTCTTCGAATTCGTCTGGTGCGCACAAAAGATTGGCTCCGTTAAAAACAATCTTCATTGATTCAATAAAATCTCGAGCAATTACGTCAATTGACATTCTCAATGCATGTGCACGTGAGATGAGACAAACGTCTGGGGCTGAAGATTTTTTGCAGAGAAATGTAAAATTCGTGACACTAATACTTGTATCCAACTTGTTTGTATGAGTACTTCTCACGGTTTCCTGTATAGGACTCAAGCCGCGTGCAAGCTTAGCTCACAGCTTCGTAAATGACACGTTTATTGCATCTGTAAACAGGAGATTGAACTTACTAGAAAGGCTTAATCTGAATCGTTACTGCACCACATCGTTGCAGTGATGAACTTTTGCCGTCCAACACATGACATATACAGATCATGCTTAGCCCAGGCTCAATTGTGAAGTGAATGCATTCAGTTCAAAGGTGAAAGACATACAAGAACCGACATAATGATTTAGAAAGCTGATGGAAAGTTTCATGCAGAAAGACATGAAGATCATCAGAATAAGTGTGAAAGTAAAAGGGCGAATGACATATAAAACATCTGATGGAAAGTTCGTGCAAAGATACAGGTAAGTCCTAAGAATCAATATCAGTAGGAAAGAAGGGAACACTGGTGCGTTAGTTGGCGGTGCATGCAAGTTAGCTACATGTGTATGAAGGGAATGTCGTAGTAAAATCGAGATGGAAGAGTTGCAGAATGTTGCATAGTATTATGAAGTCTGGTCCTAATTAGGCAATTTAGCAAACATGTGATAGCACTCTCTGGTCGGAAATGTGGATGATGGAATAAAAGAGATAATGTTTTCGTAACCGAAAGGTTTGGAGAACATTGTTATTGGAACTGAGCTTGAACCTAGTTTCTGTTACCTTGTTCTCAATGATGAATTTCAAGGGGACAGTAGTGTGTACACCATACATGGTGCCTTCAGATATTAAGCACAACTTGGTTCATATGTATATATATACTGCCAGGCTCCTGTGAGAAGCGAGAGACTAGGATACGAAGGGTGGCCAAAGTTGTTTCTTCCCCTGTTATAGGATGATACTTTGCCAAACAAAAGACTCGGTATACAATTCAACTAGATTTTCAATTCGGGTTTCATTATTCATCAAACTGAGGTTCTCAGAAGAAATCTCAATTTGAACATGGTGAATATTTTTTCTTGCCTTCCGTTTTAATGGTGGCCAGATGTATCATTAAGAATACTGTAATAAGGATGTTGATGAATAGCATTTCTCCATGTGAGATGGGCTGTAAGGTCATTGTGGTCTTTATGTCCCATTATATACATGATGGAGCGCCAAGTCTACATTTGTGCTTGCATAGCACATTTTCAATAGGGTTTAAATGCATTCTTATCGGATTTAGTCATGCTCCGGAATCCTTCTACATTCAACACGCCAAGGTTTGGCATGCGGAGAAAATTTGTGAAAATTATGATTCTAATTTTATAAGAGAAACAATTCAAAAGTGCAAATTTGAAACCATCATAGAATAGCCACTCACCTTAAGAAAAAATGGAGGGACAAAGTACACCTTTTTTTCGTTACAAAAAATGACTACAGTATGATGCTGTGACAAAACCTGTAGACGGATTCCGCCAGTTATGAAAATAAATTGTCGTCAATATCAAATTTAGCACTTTGAGATGGAACTGAGCGAGAAGTTGAAATTTGAAAAATATATGATGCTCCCATGAGATTCTGATAAGATGCTCCCATGAGATTCTGCGTCTCTACGCCTGATTGATCATGTGCATGCACGCAATCATGTCACCAATTAATTGACCTATTCAACTAACATGACACTTGGAAAAACTTCATAGAACCCTCCTGACATGTCGAAAATCTTCATATCGACCACAGGAGCCAAACAAACCTTCAAACCTAGAGCCGTTCGACAAGTGGACCCAAATCCCGAGAACGGCTAGTTCGGTCGGAGGATGACCACAGGCATCACCATGTGTCAATCATGGATGACCTGACCTGACCAGGAGCCACTGCAAAGAATGGGACGTCCTAGTGTACATACTTGACGTGGCCCTATTTCTTACTAGAACATACCCTCTACACTGTGCACGCTTTGATCATATTCTGCTCACTGCTATCAAAACGGGCAGTGTTCAATCCTATCAATTTACATTTCTACCCGGGCGGTAATTCACATGGAATTTATTGCGTAAAGTGACACCTAATAATCCAGCCAATATAAACTAACAACATCCTCACAAACAAAATTTAAGACCATAGCCAACTCCTGTCCTTTTGGTAAGACCGGTAACAGAAATTGCACGTGTAATAATAGCTAATGTTTCAAATGAGAATATCAGGATCACGTGTTTGTCTACCATGAGGGATTTACAAATAATTAATTTATATATATAGTTGTTTAAATAAATTACTTACGGATTATCAGAAAACTATTTTTTCCATCTCTTTGTTATTATCAATTCGTATTCTTTGCTTTCCCACTTGCTACAAATTATTTGTGCCAATTTGTGTCAAAAAATGCTCTATGCATTATCAATTAACTAAAATATCTCAATTAATATTCTTTGTTGTTTAGAATACCGGTGATGCTAACTTGTGTCATAATTTCATAACAATCTTGTTAGTTTGTGAAGTCAAAAGCTATATCATTTTATCATAGTCCATAGAGATATAAATATATCAGCGTGTACATCTTTCTCTAGAACTAACAATTTCACAACTTAATATTTTGCAAAGACACCCACATTTTCTTTGTTGAGGTTCAATTTTGTGACTCCAAATGCATCTCTAATTATAACCACAAGAAGTGTATAAAAGTCAAATATCTAAGCTTAATAACTAAGTTATTAAGCTAGTTTTCCTTCTTCAATTACGCAGAATTCTCATTTCCTATAACTTTCGTTCATAATTTTAGAATTTCATTGATGTAATCATCAAGTAAAATCACTTGATATTTGAGACTCGAAAACTTTGAGTCATGGCTGATCTTCAAACACAGTATTTCGGCACTAGAAACCTTGTCTTGTTTTATTCATTTTTAGAAAGAATACTGATGGCTTCTTCTATCTTCTTCTCGTGATCTCTTCTTTTATGAGGATCAGAAGGCATGACAAAGAGCCTATGTTGTAGATCTTTGCTTGCTACTTTGAAGATAATATGATTTCTTTCAAAGAAGTTACTTAGAACTATCCCAATTCTAATTAATGACGGTTTCAGATTCAAATTGATGAACAGTAACTCATAAATCACCAATTTTCATGCTATATGAACTCTTTTTTTACAAATCCTGTAATTGTGCTAATGTGAACCACAAATAGAAAAAATTATTGAGAGAAAGTTTTCACATAATTTATGAAATTATATGAGAGTTTGACTGCAATCTCTGATTTTCAATGTAAATTCCGACCACCCTGAATTAGTTGTCCATAATGATATGAGCATTTTCTCTCATTACGCTTCACATTTTTTATCAAAACGTTAACTAACTTCCCTTTTTTCATTTCATTCGGCAGACCTTGTTAGCATTATGTTTAGCTTGCAAAATAGCTCGCAAATTTGAAAAAAAATAATTCAACCATAGGGCAGCTTGAGAGTATTACTATTACTATGAGTGTTGCATGTTGCTTAACCTGTTTTCCACCTTTTTCTGTTTTACTTGGCATTCTCACACTGAGTTTGTTTTCTGTTGTGGTGGCTCCATAAATGTCTTTATATAACAGTTTGTAAGCTCACATATTCCATGAAGTATTCATCATCTTGACGTTTCATCAGCTTGTATAGAACATTCTAAACGTGTAGAAACAGTCAAAGCTTTTTATTTACTTTACGAATATATCAAGTCGACGAACGCTCTAAGCTCATGGTCAAATCTTGTATAAATTGAAGCCTAATGTTGATCTCACGCTTGTACAAGACACTTAAAAAAGAACGTGACTTAAGTTTGATTCTAATGAGATGTCGCAGCTAAAGTTCAGTTGTTTGAGAATCGGGAAATAAATGTGAGGAAAAATAAAATAAAAATCGTGTATTATATGTTTTATGTGACTACCACATAGTGTACTACACTGTGTACACTGACTACAACGAGTAGAATTCATGAACCGAGAACCAGATATCAACGAGTTACAGTAATACATTGATAAATATATCAATGTAATATCAATTAAGTGAGTATATAGGTTTTTGTGTGGATATTTCTTGAGTGACAATTTTCCACTCAATGTTATCGGAACCTCGTGGATAATGATGATGTGCCTAAAATCAGTTGGAAAATGAAGCCATGAGGTTCGTTGAGTATATATTGATCAAAGAAATTAGCTAACAGGAAGAAACGGAAAAAAGGATGTCCTTTTTGCTTCTTTAGATTGTTCTGTAAGATGACAAGAATTCTTGGGCAGGAGAGTATCAACTAAGCTACGGTAGATTCTTACAAAATGAAAGGGGAATGTAACAATACAGTGGAGTTGAATGTTTGTGGTACGGATTAGTGTATTTACACGAATAATGAAACTACTTTCGCTTAGTCGCACACTATGGATTCTCATTATCCACCTTTCTCACGCACCTCTTTCCACGTTCCAAGCTGTCAAATACCACAAAATACAAAGAACTTTTCACATGTTGTTGACCTGTTGACCAAAAAGCTTTTATTACTCGTCTGCTTCGAACGAACAGAGCTTGAAGGAGTTAAAGAGACGTATTAATCCTCCATTCATAATTGAGAAAGTGATGGACGCTACATCTTTTGTGTTCTGCATTGTGGCATAATTTCGAGCCTCTCAGTCTCACTTCTCATGGCATCCCGCAAATACTCTGCAGTGGCACTGCAGAGTATTATAAGAGTAATACTGCTGCAGATAGCACTGCAGCAGTGCTATCTGCAGCTCTACATCATGTCGCACGGGGAGATATGACTCAACTAGACACAGCGCTCACTGCACCCATCACAATGCTTCTACGGTGCAACAATCGCATGTTCAAATTCAGAATTCATTTGCAAGTCCTCGAGATTGAAGTATGCGAAATCCAGGTATACTACTTAATTGAAGCTTACCAATGTCTTACTGATAAGTAACTCACCTACAAGTACTATTCTAAGTTCCGAAGAGCCCTCCTGTATTCAAATAACAATTGTTCCACTGTGTGGCAGTGAAACAATTGCCACACAGGCGGAGCTGCAGCGCAATGTTGCTGAAATCAACGTGGTAGTCAATGGAGGTAAATTTCCCACTTGAATGTGATGGAATTGGTGCCTGCGCCTCCAGCTGCTTTGGTGTTGATCGCGTACCCTCTCTTCATTCTGAATGTTCCAGTTCCTCCCACGACGGTCCATTCGTTAGAATCTGCATCCGAAAGCCAGTCGCAGAAGACGACGAGGGTGCCGTTCCATTTTTGTGTCTGGAGGGTCAACAATTTGTACAGAGCGAAGGTTCTCTCCTCCATGTTGGGCTGGAAAGTTCCTGGGGCTCGGCCGATGATGGTCGAAGTGTTGCTTACCCCTTCCCTGATGACCTGCTCTGATATTCCGAGATTTCCGAAAGCGTACGTAGACGTATTGCCCGTGGCCGATGCCGCTAGCAGATCAGTGGCCGGGTATCCCGGCTCACTCACAAATTGCTCATGCAAGTAGAACTCGAGCTTCTTATGTTCGCTATGCCTCCTTGCTTCCACAACACCTCCACTGAAGGAGATGGCGATGGCTACCAACAACAAACAAGTGCAAGCCTGGAGTCTCGTCGACATCGTTGTCATCTTCAGCTGGAAACCGAAGTCTAAATTACAGTGAAATGCGACGAGGCGTGGAGCAATATTAGCTACTTGGTGCGCGTATGTCTCCCTGCAAGCAGTTGAGGAAGCCTTAAAGTTTGCTTTGTGCGACGTGCAGTCGTTCTTGGATTCTAAAATTCGCCTTGATGCCTGAAGCAGAGGACGGATGGCTTGGAGCGGAGCACATGAGATGCTGAGAACTCAAGACTGCTGTTAGATAACCGCTGCTGGGAAGGTCTTTATAGTTTTGTTGAGATGAGACATCTCCCAAATCGGCAGTGACCTTCAGGAGTCGAAGCTGTCCGAGACTCGTAGAGAAAATCCTCTGCAGTCCATCGACACTCTGTGCGAATCTCAGAGGAGGCATATGAGATTCCCTAGGCCAAAGTCTCGAGGGAAACTTTGCGATGTGTCACACTCTGATACTCGGAAGACTCTTTGTCGCCGGACGACAAAGTCATTTGACCGTCGTTCGATTCGAAGGGTCTTTCTGGTCTTCACTGTGACTTTTCGATGCAAGTAAACCCAGATCCCAACACATGATCCGACGTAATTTCGAGGCGATCGAGCAGCAGCCCAGACGATCAAGCGTCCTACCTACACGGTAGGATACTTGATCATCCACGGCATGGGATATCTTTACAGCCATGCAGGAGAATGGCACCTTCTGCTTCCATGCTTTTGCCTCCATTCGGACTTCAGTCGACTCGAATGTGGCCTCAGAAAAGTGAAAGCCAGTTCTGGAACATAGTCAACAACATTTTCGCCGGTACGTTCAGGTACCGGAGGTACGGAGTTAAAGGTACTGCGGTGATTGTTGAGCTCTGCCGTGGCGACTCGGGTCCTTGACTGCAGTAAGTACCGACGCAGAGCATACGTAGTGCGTTGAAGTCAGAGGTGTTCAACTCCAGTGGGCTAACGAGGTTGTGACTGGAAGACCAAGGAACTTCTCCGGTAGCCGCTGCAGGTCTGTACACCCTTTTGGCTAAGAGTGATCGCTCGGTAGTCGCCGGTAGTAGTCGCCGGTAGACTCTTGCCGGTAGGCGGAGGCCGGCTGCCGATTCTTTTGACTATCGTAACCCGGAGATTGTAACTATTGGTTATTCACTTGGGCCCGGATCTTTCTGGAGAACGTCTGGTAGGTGTCGAACATGTATCACGGACATTCTCGTCAAAGCATGACACTTCTGTTTTTCTCGATACCTTGAAAGATTTGCATAAAATATGTGGAGATTTAGGAACATTCCAGTATGGAATAACCCGATTTTAGAATGACTGCGACGGATTTCACAATGACCATCATGTTTCGTCTTTGACTTCCTCCTGCTCTGCGAAGAGACATCATTTCGGATTTAGAAACTGTTACAATAACTTCAGTTGACTTAAAACTCTAGGAGGATAGTTTTTCCTTATTTCTATACAAGCCGCGTAGTCAACTAGGATACTTTTTGAAAATCATAGTACATTACAAAATAAATAAATATACTCAGCTTTGAGTAATCCCATCTCGTGAGATTTCTCCATGGAATCCATATAATCCTTGAGAGATCTACCATGTAACGGTAGTTTTCTCTCTCTAGTTTTGTTTAGATATAGAGCAATTTCAGGAGAATTGTGCCCATACAACTCTTGTTCGGTTCATTAGTGTGCATGTGAGTTGTTCAAGTTGAATAAAATATTGATGTTGGACTCATGAACCGAAAATTGGATACCATACGCTAGAATTTTCAAAACTCACACCATATGAAAATCTATGACAGCTTGAATAAAATAAATTTGTGAACTCTATTTGTTTGGGGAAATATTGAGTACTTAACCGAGTTGTGTACCTAAACGGTTGCGTACTCCAGCGAGAGTCTATTGTACATAGTTATGCTTAGTAGAGTTAAATTAAAACACTAGTTGAGTTTTAATCATATTACCTTCTATTCATGATTTACATGCTTTTAGGAATATGGGAAAGATTTTGAAAGGCCCAAACATCCAGATCCATCAGCACGCACGCCAATCACAACACCGAGATTACATGGTTCATCTTTCACAAGCTATTTCCACGGGCAAGAGCATAACTTCACTAAAACACAGATGATTACACGGCTTTAATAGCCAAGTGCTACTCCAACCTGTTCACTCTCTCGATGCTATGCTGAACTGTTCGCAGAGAGAGTCGCCTTCTCTCTTCTATACGAGAAGAGATAAGGTGCACATAATACATAACCTAACCTAACCTAACCACATTTAACTTTTTAACCATGGTTACCACTAATTGGAGTTAATCTAAGATTGAATTGACCTAACAAACTCCCCCTTAACTCAAGTCTTGGAGAGTTAACTAATGTAATCCACATGTATCTCTGCGGGAAGTTCTAGAAAGTAAAGCTAAATCACGTTTTTCCTCTATAGCCGAGAGTTAACTAGAACTAAGCCGTAGTCGGCAAAAAGTCGGATGAAGAATACATGTACAAAAGTTACTAGACTAACTATCCCTATGCAAACTTTGCAACTTTGCACAATGCTTGGAAAAAATCTCCAAAGAAATTACTTTGGTCAATGCGTCGGTAGGGTTGAGCTTACCATCAATTTTGATGAGCTTAAGTGCACTATCAAACACTGCTTGTCTGATATAATGATATCGACTATCAATGTGCTTTACCCTAACATCCATCACATTGTTTGATGCTAGATGAAATGCGCCATAGCTGTCTCAATAAAGACTGACATCACTGTGTGACAGCCCAATCTCAGTGGCCAACTTGTTCAACCAAATTATCTCCTTCGCTGCTTTTGCTGCTGCAACATATTCAGATTCTGTGGACGATTGAGAATTGCATTTTTGAAGTGTAGATTTCCAACTTATGCATCCACCAGCAAGAGTGAAAACCTACCCAGTTGTTGATCTCCGCATATCCAAATCTACTCCATAATCAACATCAACATACTCCAAGAGCAAACTTGCATTGTTTGATCGAGCATCAAACAATAATCCTGTATCAAGAGAACCCTTGATGTATCTCATAATTCACTTTACAACTTCCCAATGCTCTGGTCTAGGATTTGACATGTACCTTCTCACTTTCTCAATTGCATATGCTATATCAGGTCTAGTGCGTACCATAAGATACATAATGCTGCCAACTGCACTTTCATAAGAAATAGAAGACATCAATACTATAGCAGTTGCATCAGTTGGACATAAAGCTGCCGAAAGCTTAAAGTGTGCAACTAATGGAGTACTTACAGCTTTAGCATTTGACATGTTAAACCTAGCAAGTACTTTCTCTGCATATCGTGTCTGTGTCAACCAAAGTTTGCTTGATGACTTGTCCCTGTGGATCTCCATGCATAGTATACGCTTAGCATGACCTAAGTCTTTCATATTAAAATCAGAATTGAGATGGACTTTGAGTTTAATAATCTTAGACCTATACTTAGCGGCAATAAACATATCATATACATAAATAACGAGTAATATCAAGCCAAAACTTGTGTTGCTAACACGCTTCATGTACACACAAGGATCGTATGCACTTCGTATGAAATCCTGCGTATGCATGAACTCATCAAAAGATTTGTTCCATTGTTGGAGACTTTGCTTAAGTCTATTCAAGGATCTAGGCTACCGCCAAACCAAACGTTCCTTTCCTCTCTTCAAAAAATCCTCCGTTTGTCTCATGTAAATCACTTTGTCCAACGCTCCATGTAAAAAGGATGTAACAACATCCATCTAGTCGAGGAATAAACCAAATAATTTGACAAGTGCACACAAGAAGCATATAGTCAAAAACTTAGCAATTCGTGAAAAAACCTCAGTGTAGTCGATGCCCTTTCGCTATTTAAAGCCGTTGGCCACCAATCTTGCCTTGAAGATTTTTTTAACTGCATTAGTGGATCCATCCTTCACCGTGTAGACCCATTTGCAATCTATAGCTCGTTTTCCATTGGGCAACTCCACGAGTTCCCAAGTCTGATTGTCATGAAGTGATTCCATCTCCTTTCGCATTGCTACATTCCACTCAAGCTTCTTCGGGACTGATTGAGATTTAGCATAAGAGAACGGACTTTCATCCTCCGTGATCAACGCTTCTCCTAAGTCATCAACAAGTAGGTATTCGTCCCTGACAGCATGTTCTGTAGGAAACCAAGTACCATACCTTTCGGGCGCACGACAAACACGTGTTGGTCTTGCTGTTGAAGACTCTTGTTGATCATATGTGCTGGTTCAGGTGGTGGCTCACTAGCAATGTGTTGCTCCTCATGGAACTCTTCAAGAACAAAATCTTGCTCTTCTGCCTCGCCCGTCATTTGTGGAGCACCTCCTTGTGGCCAATCATGAGAAATTTCATGATAAATCTCTCCCTCAATGGTGTTTGGGGAAGATAAATGGCATTTGTTAGTAGTAGGATTAACAATCTCCTACTCTTTCGATGATATGGACTCATTGAAAGAAACATCTCTACTAACAATAAGTTTAGCGCTTACAGCATCTCAAAGCCGGTATCCTTTGACATCAGGCTGATAACCAAGAAAAATACACTTTGTAGCCTTGGAATCGAGCTTAGACCTCGATTTCTTGGGAACATGTGCAAAAGCATCACATCCAAACACTCTAAGATAAGAGTAATCAACATTGTTTAAGCCACATTTCAAACGGAGTTTTGTAACTTATTGCACTACAAGGAGACAAGTTTACCAAATAAGCCGTAGTATTGATGGCTTCAACCCAAAAAATTTGTTGTAAACCAGCATGGCTCAACATACTCCGTGATCTATCCAACAGCGTCCAATTGAGACTCTCTGACACGCCGTTTTGTTGTGGAGCATAAACATTGGTGAAGTGGCGGATAACCCCATTGTTTTCACAGAACGCTCCAAACTCCTAGGACACGTACTCCTCACCGTTGTCCGATCGCAAAAACTTCACCTTCTCTCCTATCTGAGTTTCAACTTGGGCTTTCCACTTCTTAAAAGTGACAAAGACTTCAGACTTGTGTGGAAGAAAGTAGATCCACACATACCTTTAGTAATCATCAATAAACGTAACATAATAATCCTTCCTAGAATGTGAGGCAACAGAGGAAAGGCCCCACATATCAGAATGAACATACTCAAGAATTGTCTTGGAATTATAAACGCCAGTTCCAAAAGCACGTCGAGTGTGCTTTCCAAATACACAATACTCACAAAATTTAAGCTTGCAAGACCTCAAGCTAGGTAATAAATTCTGTTTGTGTAAAATATTCATACATTTTTCACTCATGTGGCCAAGACAAGCATGCCACAATCTAGTCTCATACTTGAGTGACGTCGTAGCATTGGTCTCACCAAGAATTGTAGATCCTTCCAAGATGTACAGAATCTTCCGCTTGTGAGCTTTCATTATCACGGTGGAACCTCTCTCAACTGTGAAAATTCCATCATCAACTTTCCAATGAATGACTCTCATGTCAACCTCCCCGAGTGAAATCAAATTTTTACACATATTGTGTCTAACATTCGTCAATGTTAGAGTTTTTCTATCAAACATATGAATCCGAATGGATCCAATACCTTCAATCTTACATGAGTGATCATTTCCCATTAAGACCAAACCTTGATTGCTACGTAAGTTGTAAAAAATTCTCGGATAAAACACATGTGATAAGAGCAAGCGGAATCTAAAATTCATTCATCTCTCCCGGTGAGGGAAGAGGTTCACAAGACATAGCCTTCATCAATGTTGGTCACAACATTTGCAGAGGGACCAACATATTCCTCTCTCTTCTCATGTGACTTACTACGGCAATCCTTTTTCATATGTCCCAGTTTGCCACACTTCTAACACTTCATCTCCTTCTTGTTACCTTTCCTTGACTTGGATGGTTTCGCGACTTGTTGACGCTAGTAGATCGCTTCTCCAATCTCCCACAAGTGACATAGAGAGCAGTAGAATAAGAAGAAGGTGTTGAAGAAGAAACTAGCATTTGTTGGATGTTGTCCGTCAACAAAGCTGTCACTACCTCGTTGTATGTGATGCTCTCTTTGTCTCGATGAAGCAACAGACGAGATAAAGTGTGATATGATGCTGGCAAGGAACTTAAAAGCTGCAATGACTTTTTCTCATCACTCAAATCCTCACCCAAATTCAAAAGATCCACCAACAAATCATTAAAAGCATCAATGTGGTCTTTAATCTTTGTACCTTCCACCATTTTGAAGATCATCAGCTTTAACGATGTGAAAAGTCAATTTGACAACTCCTTCATGTGATACTTTGCTTGAAGCGCTTGAAACATAGTTGTCATAGTCTCCAACTACTCCACTTGTTTCAACACATTTGGCTTCAAGTAATGAGTGACAATACTCACAGCTTGATATTGGATCTCATTCCAATCCTTGTCATCAACATTCAGGGGTTTACGCTTGAGAACCTTCCCCAAGCTCATTGCCTTGATCACATTCTTGACTTGCCGTTCCCATAGAAGATAGTCGGTTCGGCCATCAAACCGTTTAACTTCAAACCTCGGTCCACCAACCTTAGATAGCGTCATAGGTTTGATCGGCTGAAGACGTTCCGGAATGACTTCAACAAGATCCTCAGAGAGAAAGCTTGACTCCTCACTTTCGTCGTCTGAATACAAGGTTCCAGCACATTCAGCAACAATTGGAACAAGTTCCACTCCTCGCTCCAAGCTACTCATGCCCACAAAGCGCTCACCGTGTTAACCGTTCTCGACACTTAGCCCTAAAAAACGTCAAAAAACTGAAAGTTCTCAGAATTGAAATTTGAGACCACTCACGCGTAGTACACAAGCCAACATTCCAGCGTTTTCACGTGGGAATGTGAAAACGGTTTATCAAAATCAACTCTAAATGAAAAGTTATTAACCGTCGAGTTTAGGGGGGTAAAAACTTGAATCTAGACTCCCCAAGAAAATCTTTCATACCTAAACTTTACTCGAAATCTATTTTCAAAACCGTCTTTTAGACTACGTGCTCAACTAGCTTGAGAACCATTACGTAAAATTTGAGCTCAAACGGATATCATTTGCATACACTAATCCACCAAAAATGCCAAAAAATCAATTCTCTGTTTGATTACTCTTTGACCGGATTCTTCACAGTTTCTCTGTGCAGTTTACTTTCACTGTTCATATTCCTACCCAACTATTTTGGGTACCTTCCGACCCCACTATCTCGGATCCACTTCCAACAATCTTGGAGCCCCCTTAAACCCTTCCAAAACTACGACACTATGAAATCAGCCTAACAAGAATTGACCTAAATCTTCAATCACTCGTAACTTTGCGACCTCCCATCAAAATTCAACAAACTTTAGGTCAAAATGATCATCTTGAACATTATATCAATACTATCTGTGAAGATTTGGAAAATTCGGTAACCAAAAATTCAGATTTTGGAAAAACAAAGTGGTTTCTCTCAAAGTAGATTGTAAGAGAGCTTTCTGTTTCAAATTCTGAAAAATCTCTCTTATCACTCGATGAAACTTTCTACTTCTTTCATCAAAGTAAAATTGATGACTCTGACTACTCTTCTACAGAGAATCAACCAACAATATCTCTCAAATTGCAAGTACAATCTCCGACAGCGCTTCCGCGACTCCCTGCTCTCAAAAAATGTGAAAATCAGAAATCAGCATGCTGTGATACCAATTGAAAGATCCAAACATCTAGATCGAGCAGCACGCACGACAATCACAACACCGAGATACCGTGGTCACATTTCACAGGCTAGTCCACGGGCAAGAGCAGAACTTCACTAAAGCATGGATGATTTCACGACCTCCATAGCCAAGCGCTGCTCCAACCTGTTCACTCTCTCGATGCTATCCTGAACTATTCGCAGAGAGAGTCACCTTTTCTCTTCTATATGAGAAGAGATAAGATGCACATAATACCTAATCTAATCTAACCACAGTTAACTTACTAACCATGGTTGCCACTAGCTGGAGTTAATCCTAGATAGAGTTCACCTAACAGATTTTTCTAAAACAATAGTTGCATGAAAAATAACAATGAAACTTGTTTACATATTTGATTTGTATTAAATCAATAATTGCTAGCTTGGAAATATTCTAACAATATATTTTCTTCAAAATTTTTGGTTACCAAACTAAATGTAAAATATTATTTTTATCATTAGAAAATGTTTGCAATTTCTCTCTATTATCTTATTTATCAACAGTTTTTACTTATCTTTCTTTCTATTTTGATTTTTCAGTACAAAACACATTGACAATTTCACTCTGGAACACATACTATGAAAATTCAACAAAAGACATGTTCTTTAGAATACATAAATCTTCTTTGCTACTATACACCATTCTGTCTTTTAAATAATCCGATTTAGGACCCTGGGCATTTACAAAAACTACTGATACTTCGACCTGCAGTCTTGACACAACAGTCATCCTTGGATTTCAATATTAGATATTGGACTTAAGATGTATTGTTGAGTCTACGACCAAGTATTTGAATCTTGAAACTAGATTATTATCTAAAACTTCTAATGGGTTCTGAAGTGACAGAGAAATACCTGATGAAGGATTAACGGATCCTAAAATCTTACAATCAAGGTCCACCATAAATCTATTATCCGTATTTGGAAGTAGACTTACAACCCTCAATGATTGTTACCTTATCCTAGATGAACAACATTAACGGTTTTACCACCACGGGACCAACATTTTTCTTATGAAATTTTCAGTGTAGGAAAAATTTGCCTCAAGTTACTCATGTGGAAGACACTAAATGGAATATAGAGAAGTTAAACTGAACGAAGCAAGAGATGCTAACCTCTTTAAGAAATGTAGGACCTTGGCGTTAACCTACAAATATGATGTTGCATATCGAAAGAAGATATGCTAAATTTGTTTTGTTGAAGACTCAAGAGAGGTAGATGCTAAACAAGGTGTTCCATGTTCAGGGGATGTCAAAGGACTAAGATGATCACAGCCTAAACCTTAAATCTCTTTTCGTCCACTATTTCTTTATTTTCGTTTCTCCCTCCCGATTTATTGAACATAGTAAACGACCAAAGCCTTAGTGAGGAATGCCAGTGATCATCGAAAAGGAAAAAGAAAGAAACGTGTCCACCAGAAAAGGCACCCTCCTTTCATTTGTCCCACATTTGTATCGACGTGGGTCCTTTCCCTTTGCCTACTAATGGAACTCACGACGTAAGATACATCGACAAATATCTTGACAGCCATGAAAAGTACCGTCTTTACAGTCTACCTTCTGCTTCACGTTGTCAAGAGAACGATTTCCTGCTCACGTTCCTCAATTTCTTCTTGTGAAAACTAATCAGCGGGTACGGCGATCTATGGCACCTATGCGAAGCAGAGGACCGATTTCTCCCTTATGCGCATGCCGAAGTTGGTCGCATCTGGAAAGGCGATAAGGCGGTGACTGGGTGAAATTCGCGAACGAGACAGAGCTCGTCCATGTCGCCTTTGCAGTCCGGACTCCCACAGTCCGCACCCTGACGCCGAAGACTTTGACCCGAGTACGGACTCCAGCATTGACGTCCGTGTTGTGATCGAGGTCAACAAGATCGACGAAATCCGAGGCTTATGTCTTGAGCCGACATCGATGCTAGGCAGTAATTTTAGTTAGAGGAAAAGAATACGTGAAAGAGAGATAACTACATCGCGCTTCCAATTCTTATGTTCATCTCATGACCTCAATCTCAAGTCAGCGATCCTGATACTCTGAGAAAACCGAAAGTATACGAACTGGGGAAATGGACAACTCCACGTGCTGATTATGTTACAAGCTGATTATGAAGAAGAGGTGAGTTGTACGTTTGCAGAAGTCCCATCGTCTAGACCTTAAGAAAAACTTGTAACTGAACGTAAATTTGCGATTCTAGAATCAGTTGGAGTGTCGGAGATCCACTAGGAGTATCAAAGTCGGTGAGCTAGGATGAGCTCCGGTGAGCATACGCGTGGGCCCCGATCGAATTCTGTCGAAGGTGAGACCTTCAGTTCTCTACACTCTGTTTCAGATGCACCACGTGCTTAGAATGTTCAGAAATGGCCACTCCAGAAAGCGTCCCTGGGAGTCGAGCTCGACAGAATGAGACTACGGAGGAAAGAGAGCGTCTCCTGAGATGTGGGCTAAGTCCACATTGGACTGCTCAGATGACGTACCCTCCATGGGGCTGCCATGCCTTGACTCCTTGACGGGCACAGGTCGTCGGAGCAAGTTACATATCTCGACCCAAGTATAAAGGGCTTCACAGCCGGTCCTTTCATCACAGTTCTTCGAAATCTCTACTGAACATCATTGAGGTGGGTTCAGAGAGCAAGAGACTTGATCTTGTCTTCAGTCACCAAGACGAACTACCATTTTCCAACCTACAAGCAAGACGTGGTAGACGCTTCCTGCGAGTTCGTGCGAGGAATCCAAATACAGTTGGCAAATTTGCAGAACAACACTTCACTGCTATATCTCGATCGGAGTTCTTTTTACAAAGTGATGAAGATGGCACCGAGCGCCGTAAAATTCCAGGCCTGCACGGGTCTGTTGCTGGTTGCCATCGCCATCTCCTTCAATGGAGGTGTTGTAGAAGCAAGGAGGCATACCGAATACAAGCAGCTCGAGTTCTACTTGCACGAGCAATTTGTGAGTGAGCCGGGATACCCGGCCACTGATCTGCTGGCGGCATCGGCCACGGGCAATACGTCTACGTACGCATTCGGAAATCTCGGAATATCAGAGCAGGTTGTCAGGGAAGGGGCTAGCAACACTTCGACCATCATCGGCCGAGCCCCAGGAACTTTCCAGCCCAACAAGGAGGAGAGAACCTTCGCTCTGTACAAGCTGATTACTTTGCAAACACAGGAATGGAACGGCACCCTCGTCGTCTTCTGCGACTGGCTGGGACTGGCAGATTCCAACGAATGGACCGTCGTGGGAGGAACTGGAACATTCAGAATGATGAGAGGATATGCCATCAACACAAAAGCAGCTGGAGCCGCAGGCACCAATTCCATCACATTCAAGTGGGAAGTTTTCCTATATTGAGGACTCTGTCCTGAAGAAGAGGACATGAGCTGTAGAGTGACATTTAGTATGCTTCCGGCGGATGATTATGAATTTGTGATCTACATGTATTGAAAATTTCTCATTTGCAATATAAAGGTTTCTTAAAACATTCTTCTACACGTTTCAAAAAGCTTCCGGAAGGTGAGATGGCTCCAACAAGGTCGTCGTATGCGCGTTGCGTAAACCCCTCTTCGCTGAAAGAGGTGTTTCGGATTGTGATCAATTTAGCATTTCAAGAGGCGGATGTTCGTCACTCAGCTCTAAAAAGGTCAGAGCTAAGAAACTCAGTGTCATGCGTTCTCACTTGTACTTGTGTGTGAGACTGAGATTCTCAACTCCTTCATCTCTTTGAACCACTCGGTATTTCAATCGAGTCCGACCTGTTGTGGGAAGTTGTCAATGACGCACCCATCACTCTGTAGAATCTACCTTCCTGCAGGCTAAGGGCGTAAGCAGTTTATTTTAAACATCCGGTAATCCTTGTATTGAAACTATCTGGTGGAGGTCAGCTCTTTGGACTATAGGAAATGCTCTGGACTATGTGTCGGAAGAAACAAATGAAGCAATGCGAGGCATCAAAGTGTGGTCAAGTCAATCGAAAAGGTGGTACATTCATTTAGCCTCGCCTTGTGATAAAGTTCTCGAACAACATCATGGCACAGAATGAAATCCGGACGCTCCAAGACGAGCACGTCTTCCGGAGGTGCCACGACGTCAGCCTGAATATCGTCACAGATGGTCCGGCTAGACATAATTACAGGAATGGAGATTCGTAAACACTCTGCTGTGAAGGCTTGGAAGCGTGAAATTGTCAGAATCAAAGTTATATCATGTTAAATTCATTCAGACCAAAGTGTATATCTCAGGTAGGTGCACCTCAACTGGGCTTCAACTATGTTGCATAATATGACTTGCCAAAGTAGCGTGGATGTAACTTACCCATCTAGAATACGAGTAGGTTTCTAAGAGGGTCAGCACGAGGCCTCTCGAGGTATCAGCACTCCCGAGGTGGCGACATAGCCTCCCATTTAGAAAAATAAACATTATGACATACTTCAGGGACTGCTTTCCATCCAAACTAAGCAGTAACACCTGAGTAGCTAACGTCGGCACCGCAGGGCCATTCTGACCCTTGGTTTTGGCGCAGAACCAGCTCACCTGAAAAACCTAGAAGTGCTGCTCATGCAACGACCTGCAATTCTTGCATTCTAAAACAGATATCTCTAATTGCGAGAACGGAAGCCAGACACAGACCGAGTCGATCAGTCCTAACATCCAAGGGATTCGAGACTTTGACCCTACCCACAAGAGAAGTAAACAAACTGAACATGTGCGCATTAGCTCTGTATAATTACACAGTCACTGCAGTGATGTGGTTACTGTACAGTATGTAGAAAGGACGGAAGGGTGCATTGCATCGATATGATCTGATCAGGAGGAACCTTTAGCCAAAGTCAAATCCATTGGAGTCCATAGGTCCTGTCATTCCTGGGATTGATGCCTTCTGGATACATGTTCCACGCTTAATTCCTGTCCCTTGTTCGTTGTCTCTCTTGTCGAGTACAAGGATGCACAAGTGCGAACAAGTCTTTTCCATACAACATTCCCAACCATCCACTCCCCATCATCATTGCCTTTTACATACATACGTCCATGGGATCAGATGTACGAGTTGAGATGTTGGAGCACCAACCAAAGGATCGCTGTATATTGATAGCTGTCAATTTGCCCTATGCATAACCTCAAGGGTCTTGGGAAAGAAGGTTCCTGAATATTTTAGAGGTTGTCGTTTATCACATGCTATATCCAGTGGTTCAAATCTTGTGACACGAAAGAAAGATTACATTCTTAGTTAGTCAGGTTCTTCTCTTGTCGAAGAAGTACTCGAGAGTCATCAGACACATTGATATTGGGGAGGTACTATGGTTTTAAGATCTGCGTAACAATTCATTTGCATCCAACTTTAGAGAGTATATTTTCCGTTCAGAGGTAAAGAACGACTTCTACTCGACCAGTATATATGTAGACCTTTACTTGGTATTCAAAGGCTTTAAATGTGTTGTGGACCTTGTGTTTACATGTCTAACACGGGAGGTATGATCATTCATTTATCAATAAAATAGGTGTCTACGATACTTATAATTATGTTCGTGATCTGTAACAATTTACTGTTATATGAACCAGGAGGTATTTTTGAATTAACTTTTTATCGTATATCCTTTTTTGTCCGAATATATGCCTTACTCTACTCATATCGTGATTGGTCACAACCATACGAAAATAATCATATTAATTAGTACTTATTGATTTGCTATCTGAGGTCGACCGGATCAAAGTATATTGAGACTTTGATTTTCATCCGTTCGTCCCATAGTCTTGGCTATTGAAGTCAAATGCAGTCCGGGATGTAGAGAATGCTCGTCAGGAGTCAAAGGCAGGCAGGAGATGAGTCGTGCGCAGAAAGTTGGTCATTCTTCATGGATTACAGACATCAATGTGCGCGTCCGCACGTCAAGGTCAACCGTAATCGTGTGACAATTTTGTCGAAAATGCGGGAATAACATGAGTCCTGCTCGCAAGATGTCTTGCCTCCGGGTACAGAATTCCAGGAGGTGTGACGTCGAGGATCGTGCGGAGTCATCATCATCGATCACTATTCAGGAACAGCTTCATGCACCAAAGAACTCGCTCTCTTCTCCCCTCTCCTCTGCGTCAGCTCAACTGGGCTACGTACTTCAACGAGCACATCCTTCCTTCGATCCGATCATGGGGATGAAACTTGAGTGCTACGACCTTGCAATTTGTACATTTTGTAATTTGCAATTTGTGCTACGACCTTGCAATTCAGGTGCATCTGAAAAGTGGAGAGAGAGAAGGAGTTCTTCTCTTCTCGGGATGGAGAGAGCAAGGTACAGGGGATTAGCTGCTCGAAGCTCAGTCGATTTCATGCGATTTCGTCCCAGACAGTTAGTTCCCAGCTTCTTTTGGTCCACAAACTTGTGGAACTCGATGGGCTGATTTCTTCGACTGAGACAGGTGCCTGGTACGAGATCAGATGTCCATGCGAGACCATCACAACATTAAACCAGCGCAGCTGAACATGGCTCGGCAACCTGTTGGAAATCGCAAGTAATTCGCTGCCCACCGGTTTTTTGCAGCCACTTGTTCGAGAGTATGGATGGCATGGCGGTTGGCAGAACGCCAGTGCTCGATGGAGCTTTCTGACATCTGAGATACGTGTAAGAATTTCGATCCGTCATTCCACGAGTCAGCTCGTAGAACGATACCATACGGACCTCGAAGAGAATTCATCCACTTTGATGGCCGTGTCGACAGATCCATTCATCTAGACCTCGAAGTCTTGCCATGCCAGCACTTATATCCACAGCATACCATCTCACGTCACCTCAAGTTTGTGACCCGAACGATCGCAGGTTTGCATTCGGGTTACGAATGAAGCGCCTGATTCCAGATGCACATTTCTACTGCTCGAAGCATTTTCATCTCGGTAGCCCAAGCAACAGCTGCAGACTTGTCGTGTGATTAAGAGGGCTTGTCCGCTGATATTCATCGTCCAACACGGAGTCTCTGGTCTTCCATGGCATGCTGTTTCTGACTGTCAGTGGACTTGTCAGGGGCTTGGCGGAATTAGTTTCTGCATGTGTGGCGAGTGCGTCCTCCGAGAGGACTTCTGGGCCATAGCTTCAGCTTTGGCGATCCCTCATCTCGAACCCAAACATGCGACGGTGTTGCACAGCAGCTCCCTCACTCTGACTGGAAACGACCCCGAAAATCTCGACTTCGCAAAGAGGTTTCGAGGAATGACAGTCGACGACTTTTGGTGAACATGGATTTGTGAAACTGCAAAGGAGTCCGAGCTTCGGAACCCATTTTAACTCAGGTGCTGCGGCGTGGGCAGGTCTGTCGAAGCCAGAGAGAGTATGGATGGACACTCGAACACTCTCCCTCCCTCCCTCCCTCCCTCGCGTGCTTATACAAGCAAGGTTCGGTTTCAGATACGAATGAAGCGAAGAATGGCGATTCTTCATGTGAGCGCTGGTCCTCATTCATTCAGTGCGAGAAGGCAAGAGGAATTTCACCGATCCAGAAGCGAATTCCTCCCTGCAGCTACTCTTCCGGGTAAGCTTGCACTGCGGATGTATGTCCGTGTGCCGGAGTCAACACTTTCAATCAAACGAACAAAATGGGAAGGCTGGAGAAAATGCGGAAGGCAACAAAATTGAAGGGAGCAAGACCAACCCTGAAGATAAGGCGGAGGCGAAAGCCTGCAGCATCCGAAGAGGGAGCAAGCGATTCACCGCTAGCTACTGCAAACTCCGAACGAGGACGACGAGCTTCGCTCGCCCGAGGAAAAGAATGCAAGTGAGCGTCGCGTGAAGAAAGCGCTTTCTGCGCGAGCGAGTAAAATCGGACTGCGGACGAGGTGAAATCGTCGTCGAGTGAGAAAGCGAGACGGACGGACCGAGTCAATCCACTTCCCAAACCGACTGTAGCGTGACGACTTTCCGAGCTGAGCTCTCGCTCGCTCGCTCGCTGGCCGCTTTTCTGGCAACGGAGTGAGGAGTGAGCAAAAAGGAGTGAAACTGTGCACAACCACAAAATCCCTCCCCGATGCCCCGATGGACAGAACAGGTTCCCACCGCATCAATCCCCGCCCCCCAATATCCCGATTCCTGTCCTCGCCCCCGAAACCCTCAAATTGCCTTCTCTCCACGCCACCGCTCGAGCCCCGGGTCGATGTGAGATGCGGAAAGCGAGCGGGAGAGGGAGAAACAGGGCGGCGATCTTCACCGGAGAAGGAATTAAGGGATTAAGGGATTAAGGGATTAAGGAATCAAGGAATGGAGGAATGGAGGAATGAAGGCGAGAGTGCATGAACAGAGGCAAGGAGCTATTCCGGGCCACACAGAACAGGAGGAGCAGATGGCGCTCGACAATCATATGATATAGCGAGATTGCTCGGTGCCAGAAAAGCCCGAGGCACTGTGGGGGCGGGAGTGGCGGGGCAGTCACGTGGACGGAGGCCAAGGGGCAAGATCAGGTCAACTCGCTTGACACCGCTTTCGATCACCAGCCAGCCTCATCTTGGCTGGGGTGGAAATGAGCGAATTCCTGAGCAATCCTGTGGCCTGGATCGTGGCCCGGTGCATGTTTTCGCGCACGCAGCAGCGGTCTTGGATGTCTCGCACAGCGGCAAGCTTGCGCTTTCCGACGGCTGGCGAACGAGGGAGAATCTGACTGTTTTCGGAGTGATGGAGTGAAGTTCATAGCTTTAGCTGGCCGTGCACATTCGGGCTCCTCGTTCTTCTCGGGCAAGTTGGAGCTCCGCTTTGTCGAGCGGCAGGGCGTGAGCTTGCTTGACGAGAATTGTTGACGAGAATTGCGCTTCCCTCCCCCAACCCGCAGGTTGGCTTGATTTAAGTTCTCTCTTTCGGGGCCTTCTGCTGGACTCATGAAGATTGCCAGTGTTTTCTACCAGCAACGCATGGAGCTTTGGGCTGGCTAATCAGTTGCTCGAATGGCAAACGTTGCAGCTGCTCGGCCGATTGCAGGAAGCATGATGCCTTTGGAACGCGACGTAGGAAAAAAATGAATCAACTGGCCGACATGAAAGCCAGAGACTTTTCCCCAGGTTTGTTCCTGAACCGTGCGATTGGGCTCGGACAGAAAGAATGCCGATTGCGACGTTCTAAGACTCCCTGATTCTCTTCATGAATCCATGCCGAGAAGTCTTGTTGGGATTTCGCACTCTCTCGAGGGTCCACTGGATTTCTCCTTTCTGTCTCAATTTGTTTGCTATGAGGTGGGTCGGCAGTCCGAGTGATGGTGACGCAGTCTGATCACAGTCTCAAGGATCACGATGAAGCGGTCCGTCTTTGTGGGAATCTCATCTCGGAAGAGGGCATGTCAGTTGCAAGGATTCTCTGTGACCCTTCTTCGTAAGAAATGGGCATCAGTTCATGTGTGTCGAGAGAGACTGCGACTTCTCACGGACAATTGAATTTCAAGCATGACACGAAACCCGAAGCAAAGTGCTAGCTAGCACCACTGAGTCATGTCCTTTGGCCAGAAGGTCGACTTCTTCATGTGATTTTTCACTGAGGTTGAGGGAGGGCGGGAGGGAGTGAGGGTTCCTGCCGCAGCCATGTGATGTTGTCATTCTGTTGATAAAATGTTCTCAAGGATATTGCTTGTCATTCCAACCAAAGTGAACTTGTATTTGTTGCGTTTGAGTGCACTGACAAGCTTACATTGACTCGAACAGGTAGGGCTGGGTGTCAGTGAGATCCAAGTATGTGGTCTTGAGAGCTGCTCGACAGCAAGGGAGATATCCGTAGTGGAATCATGGCCGCCTTAATAAGGCATATGGTATCCAAGAAAAAAAGGCGGTTCATGGAGGATGGATTTGATCTTGATCTTAGCTGTAAGAGACTTCTTCCCTCCTTTGACTCGCGGAGTTCCTCCGGACCTCCCTTGTAGATAGACAACCCCCAATTTCATCAGCCCTCTGTAGTTATGTGCTTCTTTTCTGAGCTCGAGGTCTTCCTTTTGCCGATGTCCATCAAGTCTTCCGCAACAGTGTAGACTTTATGCAAATAATCCTGAGAAGGATTTACCAGAGAAAATAACGAGGATGGTTTGAGATCTTTCACAACGAAATCTGCGTGGTTCTCATCCCCTGACAGATATCACAGACAGAATCATAGCGATGGCCTACCCAGGTGAATGCTGGGAGGGATTTTTCCGCAATCCTCTATCGGAAGTTATGAGGTTTTTGAAGACATATCATGAAAGGCACTTCAAGGTTATAAACTTGTGAGTCTGAAGCTCGTTCTGCTGTGGTTTCAAACTCGCGGGAGCAAGTGCAGTTCAATCGCTGGGACTTGGTTCTTGACTTTTTGTTTCCTCATCTTCCGTGCAGATGTTCCGAAAGGGATTATGATCCGGCTAAACTTGGAGGAAATGGTACGTTGACAACCATACTGTATCAAAATCTTGGGACAGGAGCTCTGGTGTGCTTTATGACATGGATAACTGCAAGTTCTCCAAGGCATTAAGGAAACTACCAGTATTAAGACTAGGAGGAGTCCGAGTTTTCGATGTTGTGTTTCAAAACCATCGAAACGTTCATGCATTGAGTTTACAAAGGATGAAGGCAGGTGTTTGGGTCCGATCTCTGGTTGAAGATTATGGAGCTCAAAGCTTATAGTGATTATTGGAGCTTGCTGCTGCATTGTGCAGTGGAGAGGATTCCAATGGAGGACCATCAAATTGCTCCTTTGGATGCCATGCTCAAATACTGTCGCATAGTGGTACCATTACTGGACCCGATTCTGATGCGACGCAAATATTTTTCTTACGTTGTGCACGGTGCTTCCTACGCTGTTGTTGAGTGTTGTAAACCTTGTATCTCTGTGAACAATTTTGGCTGGCCTATCCTCGTAATTCCATATGTGTTTATGAAGTTCTTGTTAAGAAAAGTTGCCCTCTGATAATCTTTTACTTCTATGATTCTCATGTGTTTATCGTAGAAGGAATTGTGGCTTTTCCAAGTTCCCTATTTCTCATATTATAGAGCGAGTCACTTTACTCACCGGATTCACTGGCATGGATGTGGTACTGTTTTCAGTGCAATGTTTGTACTCTTAGGTTCTTTCACGGTTTCCTGTGCAGGATGATTGGCTGTCAAAGGATGAAAACAATGTTCTTGTTACCCATTGCAAGGCAGGAAAGGTTCGTTTATCATGGGTTTTTGTAATCAACCATCATCCCCAACAACGTCTTGTATCCTCTCGTTCTTTCTATAGCGTGCGAGCGGATAACAACTTTATATGGAGAGTGTGATCAGGACATAAAGCGTAGTATCGTTTTTGTGAGGTTCAGAATGTACGTATCAGATGTCGTTTCAGATCATGTACAGCAAAGTGAGTTTTGTAGTATCAGGCCTAGACAGGCATGTTCTAGGCCTAATAGCAGTAGAGAACAAGCTTACTGTACTTCCGGGCTTGGTACACGGTAAAAAAATAACAGTTGTTGTCCTTAGAGAGAAATTTTCCTGACTACCGCGTCTGACTGCAGGGCAGGTCTGGGTTGATGATTTGTGCATATCTGCTGTACATTAGAAAATTTCATGATTCGCCGAATGCTCTGCAATTCTATGCTGAAAAGAGGACCACAAACGGAAAGGTTGGCTGCAAGAATTTCGTTTGTTGTTTGACACTGAACAACATGGCCTTGTTATTTGATGGTCCTGATTCATCTCAAGCCCTACCTAATCTTCAGCATAAATCTAGAGTTGACGTTATTTCATGCGCATGATTCTAGGGTGTCACCATTCCCAGTCAAAAGAGGTATGTTGAATATTTCCATGATTACTTGGTCAATGGACCAAGACAAGAAGTTGAGATGCAGCTGGCGCAGATAGCCCTTACTTCCAACCTTGTGGCTACGAAGGGTAAGGAATCTTACAGCAATTTATCACACATATTGAGTTATTCCATGTTCACCATGCTCACCTCTAGTATCAGGACCCTGGTTGCAAAAGACACCAACTTCTCAATCCTTCTGCCATTAAATGTCATAGCTTTGCAATTTTAGCACCTGCGTACATCCCTGTTGGCGTCTTGGATGTCCTGTTTCTCTCTCACTGAGATTATCCCGTTTAATTCACGCTCTAACTGAATCTGCTGGTTTTTTGGTCGATACTATGTAAAGAGGTGAACGTTGTGATCTCTACCCATCAGGGAAACGATAGCTGGAGGCTCACAAAATTATTATCAACCAAAGTAAGTTCCGGTGACTCTTGTAATGTTTCTTGGGAGTATTTACAGTTGTGTGCCTGACTCCAGGTTAATCAATGCCACCTTTGTTTCTGGCTGTGGGCTGTTGAATGGTAACCCTTCATCATAATCACTTGATGTGTGATAGTATCAATGGCCTGCCTGCGTATGCTCCCATAATCTTGCCAACGTACGATATAAGGTGTAGATCGCGGTCTTTGAGAAGACCCTAAAGCGTACCTGTGGCTCTATAATATTACACTTTCGATGAGCTGACGACTCTGTTGGAAGCAGACACTGTTTCGAATATCTTTGAGCTGAAATGTCAAGGTCTCTTGAAAAACTGTTGCAGGAGGAAGGATCAAAAGTTAGCTGCAGTAAGTCGGGAAACACGATGGTTTTGGGTTTCACATCTCTTTGGATCTCTGGCGATATGAAGTTTGAGTTTCAAACGTCCGAGGTAACGCTCATACATCATCCTGTGCAGTATGTATGATCTACTTATGCTAGTTTGGTTTCTCTTCGGAAGCACAAACCTTGAGTTTCTGGCTATTAATATACCCAAACCCCTCGCTTGGTACTTGCTCCCTCGTGCAACAATGACGTACCAATGTGCAGATTTCCTTGTGCTTTCAGCCTTACCAGGCCCGACTCTTCTACATTTGGTTCAACACGGCGTACGTTGAAGGAACTGAGTTCTCGTTGTTGCACAAGCAAGACTTGGATAAGCCTTCGAAGAGCATGGACCCGTCTTGTCAAGTCTGTCCACACGCGCTTTTCTACGTTGTGATGCTCAATTCTGTTATCAAAATTGTCTATGGGACTGGCTTTCAGTTGACAAGTTTCTGTGATGGAAGTACGGCTGTAAGCTTAGAACGGATTGCTCATGGACTTGGCTTCAAAAAATACCTGAAGTTATATATTCTGTGAATATTGCGGCAACATTCTCATCCTGATCATTGCCATCCTGTCACGCAGGTCTCTTTATTCTTTGTTGGAAGTAGGCCAAAAGGTAAGGGTAAGATTCGGTTGTGCAATTTTAGGGAGAGCTTTGTTCGTTTGGTTGTTTCAGATTTTTATTACAATCCTAAGAGTCACCTTTTACCTATTTCAGGACTTTGTTGAAAACATCCCCACAGTAACTGTGGTTCCTTTCATGTGGCAGTTCAAAAAAATGAATAGTACGCGAACTACTACGGAAGAATCGTGTGGAAAAGCGTGTGGAAAATACATAACTTCCCACAGGAGTTCCATGTGGGGAAACACGCAAACGCACACAAATATATTTGCCCACGAAATTAATCTTCTCCTGTGCGCTAGGTATAATGTGACTGCAATGCAACTTCGATGTAGCGAAGTGGGAATCATGTATTTTATTTCTGTAAGGACCTTATTGTCGGTAGATAGAGGTACACATCTTTCTAAGCTTTGTTGGAATCCGAAATCGTTGAATACGAGAAGTGACAGGCCTGGTTGCTTTGAGATCAAAGCCCGTATCATAATTAGTCATGTTACCGAGAATTTTATTTCAATAAATATTATCTTTTCGTGTACTCATTCCTCGGGCTTATGCACACTTCTGTGGCACTGTACAAGCCGCACAAGCTGAGAAATTTGAGAAGTCTGCTTTTGCTTCTTCGTAAGACTTTCAGTCTGCGATTTGTCATCTCAAATGCGCTTCAGTGGTGAGGCTTGAGCTTCTCAACCCTACTTTTTAAAAGAGGTAGTCATTTCTCAAGAGTCTGCCTCTCACACATTGCATACCGTATCAAGAGGAGCATTTGTATTGAGTACGCGGATAAGGCAGAGGTCACTTTGACTTCGGATGACGATGATTGTTATATAATCTGCAAGCTGCTTATTGCAGGTTGCAACAAAACTGAAATATGTTGCAACTTCAGATGCCTTTCAATGTTGAACACCTTCAGTTCGTAAACGCAAATTCGATTTTGACAGACTTCTTTTGTTCTGTTTTAGATATTTGTTCCCTGTATGCAGTCTAAGACTGGGCAACGGGACCAGGAATTGAGAGGTCAAAACCTTAGTAAAACTGTATGGTTATAGAGAAGGACCGAAGGGAAGGGATGAACCGTTTCTTAGAGGGGCCTTGAGTCTTCTGCCTTGGCCGGGCAGGCTTCACTAAACCTTCAATTAAATCGGATGCCTGCCAAGTGAGGTGCACTAGCAGGTCTTTGGGATCTGATGGGCGTGTAAGTACTCCCGTACTCAGCTTTTTGAAGTGCATGGTGAGATGCTCGACTGGGGCCTTTGTGGAAAGAGCCCATTTTCCAACTGTGGTGCATGTAGTCCCGTACATGATAAATCGCATACATCCTTCACAAGTCTATACGAGTGATCGAGTAGGAAACATGCAATGCCCATTCTCAGGAGTGAAATCAGCAAACACCATCCACAACTACAATCTGTCAACCATCAACCGATCATTTGTTGACTAGGATAATTAAGATTATCCTAGTCAACAACTCACATCATTAGTTGTTGTGGCCAGAAACAGGCAAATATTTCGAGAGAAAATAATGAACTGCTGTACCCTTGCCCTTGCATAGATATATCAGGGGAGAAAAATCTGGAACAGATTCCACGCGGCAGTCGTATAAGAATGACCAATATAGGTCCGCGCTGAGAAGAGTTCTGGTTTTAAACCAAAGGAATATCGAGCATTATGTACATTCTGGCCCAAGTCATAGGCAGTCACTATTAGAATTAATGAAGGTATACTAGTCGAACGGAACACAAAACTCTCAAAATGACTTCACAGTATGTATCTGAAGCGTACAGCAAAGTCTAGAGTGAAGATATAGTGATAGTCCCCTATTCCGAGAACTCATTGTCGACGAGTGGATTCTCTCCAATTAGTGTATGTGTGTCACCTTCGGTCATAACGTGGATACATCCTGCGCCTCTTCTCTTTCAGTTGACTCCTGCACAATCACAGTATGCAACAGAGCTTTAACATGAAGGCGCTAGTTACCCTTTCTATTTATTCGCGAACTCTGAAAAATTCTGGTAAAAGCTGGGCTGCGGTGTGTAGAGATATAAGTTATTGAGAGATTCTCGTTTTTCTAACGCATATGTTTTTTTATTACATCTGAAGATACATGTTTTTAACATACTCTGAGCTAGTGGCTTCCAAAGTTCTTTTACTTGTCAATTTCCTTCAGATGGCACACAGTAGCACCTTAGAATGAAAGGTTGTCAACGGGTTTTATCCTAGCGATTGCTAGCCTTGTAGTCTCTTGGACAACTAGACTGAGCCAAGTGAGGCAGCTTAACATGTATATTCATGCAGTCAGAAGCACTGCGTTCATGACTTATATGAAGCTATCAACCAGCTTTAGATTTCGAATTGATGAATCCAAGAGCTGAACATGGAGTTTGAGATAGTGCAAACCTCTTATACGACGATAGAAATTAAGTGCTTTCGCTACTTTATGCATCTACTCGTTCAAATCAGGAAGTTCTGGAATCTTGGAATTCCTGTTTTCAGAAATGTACCGCAGTGTGCATCCTCTTTGTGTCAAATGCCTCCAGACAGAAACACAATTTCAGCCAGTAAATGAACGAAACAAATAGAATATGCAGCAACGCGTAACATCGTCACTGGACTTTACTTTTATAGTAATTGATCCCTGTGCTAGTACGCATACTCTTCGAATTTACTCATTCTTTCATGCCTAGTATGGATTGTCCGGTCCTTTTCAGGCATTTACTCCTTTACTTGTGGATATATTCATGCAACATAACCATAAGATTCATGCCTATTGGGTCTCCATACAAAGATTGAAGTTCTGATTGTTAAGATGTGAATTTTCCTCCTGTAATTTCACCTGTAGTCTGGGTGCAATCGAGGAGTCAAGCGTTTGATTTCTTCACAGGCTTGCTTAGCTGCATGCAACAACATCTTCTTCACCTGCAGTATTCGCAGAACTCTCATGAATACACATTCCAAATTAAAAGAATCAACAGATCATGTTCTAAATAGTTCATCTTGCACTCAACCACGGAGGTTACAAACATACAACAAGATTTTGGTTGGAATGGAGTAAACATCCAGAACCTCAAGCTTGTCTTCCTTTGCAGGATGATCTTTCGGAAGCAGGCGAAATTCCTCCGTCAGCCGAATACATTGGTGTATATTTTCAGGCGAGACAAAATCTAGAGCCACTTTAAGGCAAGACTGCACGAACAGAAACTTGAGTTCATCACTAAACTTGCAATTTCCCCAGTAGAAGGCGTATCATGAGTCCAGCTCTTGAGTCGCAGAAATTCTTGTCTAAGCTGAAACATTATAACAGCATTGGGTGATTGATCACAAATTAACTTCCTCTGACGAAGGCTTCTGACAAGTATGAGAGCAATATTAGTTCGTGCATATACTAGTTCAAACTAGAATAAATCGATTTCAGATCTTAGATGGCCATGATAGGAGAAGAATGGAATGTAGCTGGGGTTGTTCTTCTAGTTACACACCTCACACGATTATTACAGACAAAAGATATCATATGAGAGCTATCTTCAAGGTTCAAATGTATACCTTCAAATTTCTTACTTGGTGGGGACAACCGGCCGGAATCAGCACTGCCTCCCCATAGAATTGTTCAAAAGTCCAAGGTTCTATATCTACATCACAAGACAGCAAGTGAAGTTCATTGAAAATCACACGGAATGTTGGGAACGTACCTGTTCGCTAACATAAGAAGATGTTGTTAACAGCATTTGTTGCAGAATCAATTAACAAACTCAGTACATTGCTATGAAAAGGATGACGCGCAGGCAAGGGGAACTGAGTGTAGTGAAAAATGGGTAAAGACTAATGGGAGGCAAGTTTTGGATTAACACTCATGAATCGCATCGGCAAGATTATCGAAGAAAAACCATATGTCCAGAAGAAGAAAATCTGTTCGTTAGTGTGGGTATTAAGCATGAGGCTGTGTGCATTGTACCAAAGCTTTCAAGTATGAGTAGTCTAGGTAGTTACTACACCGATGATCAAGTACATTCTGGACACTGTTTCACGAGAATCTGTCCTGGACATTTTGTATCTAAAAGCTTAATCAACAGAAATGAATACATCCCCAATAGTATATGACAACAGTATTAAGTAACTCTGATACATGATATCTATCCACTGCATATAGCCCCCACGATGACGATGTAATGACGATGCATACGTCATGCTAGTAGTCTCACATTTGGAAGCTGAGGATATGGTACGTACTGTATTCTTCCTTGAGTTTCTTCTTGTGAGTAGAGTCCAGGTAAACCGTCTTGTCATGGATTGGATGATCACATTCCTGTAAGAAAAAAGATAATGTTACGACTGACAATGAGCTAGAAGATGCCTCCTTCAAGTTTGAAGTTCTTGATTCATGAAGATGTAAGAGCTCAAATTTTACCATTGGCATATTGTCATGATTGTTGAACTCTTTCCGATGCTTGCGTATATACTCTTCCAGTTTAGGAACATCTTCCCTTCTGAATATGTCCCATACTGCTCCACCGCATGGAGGACGTCCTTCATCATCGGATTCTCCTGAAACATTTCCTTGAAATCTCGTCTCTTTCTGGCGGCCCCTTTCACCATTTACATCTGCCGTATGACATATGATATTGACCTGAACCGATGGCATAGAATCACATGTAAGACTTCTCATGATCACACACTTTTTGTTAAGTATATGAGTATGGTGAGTTCAAAGCTGTGCTCTGTGTAATCACTGAGTATTGAACACAACAAAGTCGTGGATAAAAACGTCAGTGAAGAGAAATAAAAGGCATGACGAGATGAAATCTTCAGAGTAGAAGACGAACCGCATCAGACATATCGCAGTGCAGTTTCGTCACAGAGTTACCCTTGGCGAGCTCTGTGCGGTTGCCATAAGCTATGTAAGTCTTTGGCCCAAGATCAGGCTTTACTACTTTTTTGGGAAGCTTGGTTGCCAGGTTAAGATATCCCTTTGTAGGGTGACTGTAGTCTTGAAAGGGTAGGGCTGTTATGAATTCTGCCCCATGGCGCCTCAACCGTTCATTAAACTCATTGGTGGGTGGCCAATCGCTGAGTTTAAGCAACCTGGCACGCCCATCCTTTTCGAGAAATCCCTTCTCGTAACCTGTGAAGAACTGTCTTATGCCAATTTTTCCCTGTAGATAAAGAAGATCATGAATGTGAGTCGCTAGATCACATGCTAAACGAAAACACACTCTCGGACATAACAGTCATGATAAAATCTCAATCAATACAATACATTTGCAGTCAAATATAAGGGAAATAGAGAATTCACCTCAGACCAGTTCATGCAGTTGAGGACCTTCACAAACTTCCCTTCATCTTGGTCCTTCACCTTTTTATCGCGTAATGCTCTCCACATCACCAACGGCTCCCAACTCAAACCCGTCGTTTTGGCAAGAACATCCCGTATAATTACGGGTTCACCCATGCTCCAGTGTTTTCGAAAGTGGTTCAGATCTTCAGTTTCTGTATGTATGATAGTTGGACAGTAGATGAAATTATCTGAAGACCCCGTTCTTTTTGCAGCGAGCAAAAGACTGCTGTCATCATCCTGTTGACTCGAGCAGTAGGTCTCAATATCAGCTGACTCTCGAATCCCTTTACATGAACAGGTTTCCTTCTCTAGAGCAACTTCCAAGGTTAAGGTTTTGTGATGAAAGAAAGGAAGATTATAGATCTCGTCAATTAGATCCGAAATCCATTGATCACCGAAGATGGACTTCAAGACAAGCAATGCTCCTCCACATGACCCATCGAGCCGTGGACAGCTGATACTTCCATTATTATTGGCTCTCAACTCTATTCTCGGCACCAAACCAGTAAGAGCTCTGTTTGCTTCACTCTCAGCTGGTTGATATGGTCCTGATTTACACGCTTCATCTTTTGATGAAAACATAGAACTCGATCCAGCCTTGGATTCAACACGCAATTCATTGCAGCAGCTCAGGCATAGATCGTATTTACAACTGCAGCACGTACGATAAAAGTCCACAATGGACGTCTCACAGTTGTCGCTGCAAATAACACGGAATAACCAAAGATCAAATAATCGCAGTTCATCATAATCCTCAGGACTCATGAAGTGAAACCTATCTTAACGCAGATTATTCAGCTTATGATTAATGATTACCAGTATATACGTTCTGAGACATGATGTTTCTCAATCACTTGAAACCTATCTCCTGCAGGAAAGCAAAGGAAAAGGTTACATATAAGTGACATCATCATTGATAGAGACCTTGTAACTAATATATCCTGGAGCTCATAAGCATACCTATCCACGAGCTTGTTAGAATGTGCAGAGGTGCATTCCGCCGTACAACGCAGAAAATAAAAGTGTCTAGAATGTGTCATATATAGCTCACGTCTTCTCTACCACAAAGAAGAATGGGAATAAGTCTTCGAGACAGATTACCTTGCAGTTTTCTCTCTACGGCGAGTTCTTGCTCCTGCTGTTCTTGAATCTGCTTTAGGTACGGCAGAATCTTAAACAGCATGTAGAAAGAAAGCTCGAGTTTTTTCCTGTCATCAATCTCGTAGTCGTCCTGAAAATATAAGGACAAGGCACGTCTGGTCATTTACAGCTCAGAGTCTGAAGAGTGTCAGAAGATACCAACTTATGGATAGAAGACTTTCAGAATGCCTGTTTCTCATTATTATCAGAAGCTTTGATCTAATGTATGGAAGAAAATCCCCATGTAAATGGTAGATATAATGTACCTCTGGACCTTTACTGCGAAGGCACTGCTTGCAGTTGCAAAATCCACGACAAAACGGGCATTTTTTCTCAACGCCCTCTATAGATAGTTCTGGATACCTGAGAAACGATCACAAACATATCAGTCAACTTGAAGATGTTTCAATCTCCGAGCATGAAGCCGAAGAAGTACTCAATTTTTACTGTAGATGAAGCAGATGTTCATAGTTCTAACCAATCGGTTTAGTTCCAGTGATTACCAATGCTCCACGCATGGCCAACAATATTTCTTCTTGCGGCAAAATTGACAGCGGACGATCGGTTCTTCCTGAGGAGGCTCAAGTCTGCACTGATGACACCAAGTCCTTGTGCTTTTATCTGGTGTTGGAGGATCAATTGACTTTGATCTCTTCCTTTCATCATACCCATTGTTGTCCTTACACTCTGCGTTGGAGGTGTCAATCTTCCTTGGCCTCTTCCTCTGTTAAAATAAACCAGCACATGCGTTAGGTTACCTCAATCAATTGCAACCCATTTCGTCAAGAGGGTTCTTACAGCAGATTGTACTTAGTACGAGTGATCCCAAGCCAAAGAATCACCAGAAGAGCTCCACTGAAATAATCAGGACAAACTTCAAAGGAAGTATAGCAACCACCACATTCACAATTCAAGCAAAAGAAAAAGAGGCATTCTATGTGGAACTTCCTTCATGGACATGTCAGACAGCTATCTACGTACTTATCCTATATTTCTTTTCCTTCGTACGACTAAGGCAATACCTGTTTGGGCCGGAAGTTGATCATTAACAATGTGGAGACAACAGGCAACTTGTACAACTGAGACAGATAGTACTAAAAACTTACCAGATAATGTCGAAGTCCAAATTCTTCTCGCTGCAGTTCATGGTCATCCAGTCCTGTGCATTTGTCTCCAACAATTCGAGATTGTGGATGACACAACTGTTCGAGTCCACTGCCTCCATTCCTTTCACATGACTGATATTCTCCATCATTGAGTTCTGACTCTCGGATGCTCAAGTAAGTGGTCCGTCGGCTTGGCTTTGGATTACGAAGGGAATCATCACTCGATTCAGATTCTACTGGAGTTTGATCTTCGTCGTCAGACTCCGCATAGTTCACCAGTGACACTCTTCCGCGAGTTAGTGCGACACCATTACCCTGAGCAATATGTACAAGACCGGGAGCAGGTGCAGTAAAATCATGATGCTGAGATGTTTGGTCTCCTCTATCTCTATCATTATCATACGATTCAGCGTTAGTGACAGGTGGACCTCGCTGTCGTCTGGGTTTCGGTTGACTCCGCCATATGGGGAAGTTTAACGCTTCGCTTGTATTTACTCCAGAGTTCTCAGATACTTGGTCTTTCCGAGTCGATTTAGTAGATGCTTTGTCTTTCGACAAGCCTTTTCCTTGGACCCTTCCTTCGTAACGCTTAGCACCTATTTGGCTGTTGCCATTATTTAATCTACGAGATTCTTGTTTACCAGTTGCAGCGTTAACCTGAAATTAACATCCACTCCCATAATTAAGAACAAACTTTGATATAGCAAATTGCTCATGAATTGGAGCATTCTTCAGAATGCTCGCCAGATTTTAAGATGCTGCCGCACTTGACATTAGGCTGCAAACTATAGATCCGTGAGGGATTTGAAAGAAAAGTTTTAGTAAAGTTATCAAGAAGCAAGGAGATAAACCATACCTTTTTTATTCGTTTGTCATGCTTTTTGCAGTGATAATAGCCCTCCACTGCCATCTCCTTACACTGCCAATTTTTCCCATCTGATCTCTTACACCGTTGTCTTTCATAATGGGGAAGATGACTTGCAAGATTGATGGGGACCTCCACCACCTTTTTAGACTGAACACTGTTATTCACCTTCTCCTTAGTCTCAGGAGTCTCAGAGCGAACCGATCCACTTTTGTTAACATCATTTTGAACAGAAGACTTGGATGAATTTAATAGTGGACTGTAAAGGTTATCGTCAGCATCATCGCTGCATGCAGATACAAGACCACAGTCATTGACTAGATTAATCGTTCATAATTTAAAAGTTTTGATGTAAGCATTTACGAGCAACACGGAAACAAGGAAGGTAAAGATCTGAAGTTCATTACTCTGAGCAGCTGAGTTGCTCAAGCTTTTCCACCTTCATACGACATCTTCCCAGGTTCGGAAAAGCAGAATGCAATTCTCTTCGGAAAGGTCGCTTCTGTTGCAGTCCAGACAAGCCAAAATTCACATCGATGAGAATCAGTTGTCGAGCTGAGATCCACAGCCATGATAATACAACCCTTATTCTCAATAGAGAAAATTCTTCTTGATGTATCAAGACTAATCGTAAATGCATGGAACGCTTTCATCCAGCCTTGGTAAAAAGAAGCGATTTAGTCTTGCTGATGAAGAGTGTTTGCGATGACTGTTGAGCAAATTGTTAATTAAAGTTTGTATGTTTTTAAGTTCAAAAATGTAACTTGCTACTTCGAGACATGTGGTTTGATGGAATCGACGATAAATTCAAAAAATTGAAGCACTGTATACCTTTCGCATCTCTGGATTCCGTATATGACGAATATCAAATCTTTTATTCCCTGCAATGAATAAATAATCGAAAGCTTAGATTTATAGTGAGAGTTATCATCAGTATAATGCAGTACTTTATATAACTATTTTCACCAACCTATCATAATTTCTTTAGATCTGCATGTCAAAATCAAGAGAAATCTAGTAAAACTTATAAAATGATGACATGTTTCAATTCTTGATATCATTAATTGACTTATTAAGATTGAGATTATACCACATACTCGTGATATCCAAACCCATATTTTGTTGTAAATGCATATTCAAAATTGATCATCTTACTATACCAATATACTATTTTTTTATTGGCGTTTATCTAGGGGTATGGGATCTGCACCCTCAGAATACAACAAAAAGTTTCCAAATTTGAGTTAATATGTTCCAAGAAAAGACTTCCTACATGTAACAGCTATAGGACTTACTATTGGCAAAAATACAGAGAAGCTCCAACACTATTTGCTTACGAATCAAACTTCTGTTAGGTACCTAAGTATGCAGAACACTACATGTGATATCGGAGTGATGTCTACATATATGGTTTCTGCGTGAGATTCTGAATAGAAGAGCTGGATTGAAGTAGTAGATATTTAGCTAACACAATTTTTATTTGACAGGCGAACTAATTTGGAGAGAGTAGAGATGTTGAACGCATAGATTTCAGGCAATCTAATGATTCAAGACAATATATTCATTCAAAACTATGTCTACCGAAATGGAGAGATTGTGTAAGAACTGTTTACACTCTAATTTTTAAGTAATCTGCACTCTAATTGGCTTAATATAGGAGAAGAAAAAAAAAATTCAATCTTATTATTGAATCAGTTACTACCAGATTTAATAATATGGATCCATATCAGCTTACATCTTATATATGAGAAGAAAATTTTATCATCGATACAAGAATTGAATCAATTCCTACCAGAAGTAATAATATGGATCTAAATTAACTTCTACTTCATCTATGAGAAGGAAATCTCATTATCAATCAAACTTGAAACAACTACCACCAAATTTTATAGTAAGGATCAAAATCAAACTTGCCATTTAATGGAAATCAACATCGAGACTATGACACACCTAGTTTTACTAAGAAATCTTGGCTATCTTCATGGAGGCGTATAGTTTGATCCAAGACGAAGATTTACGAAGTTCAAACCGTAAGTTCATGTGTTTCTCCGATTCAATTCCGATGGGAAACTCAAATTGAGATCACATTTTGACAGGATTTAATGCATTCGTCATCTAATAAGATTATAAACGTCCTGACTCAGATTAGAAAATTAACAGAATTCACACGCCTATGTTTGACATTAGGATCATACTCTTAAGACTACAGGGTTGTAATGGTATGTGATTCTAGACTGAATTACAGTAAGGATGTAATCTTAGCATATGAAAAATGTTGACTTTGACTTTGTTCAAACTGAGGATACTAAAGATCGAATTATCATTTTCTACGTTAAACAGAACATGCAAACCTACATCTCACGTGCCTGCTAAATCAAATTATATCGAAGAACTACATATATGATCTACGCGTGCAAACTAAAAACATATTTGTGTGATACTATGTATGTTGAAGAAAAGCTACATGCTACTTGAGTACATCTAACATCGAGAAAACCCGGAGATGTTATATCATATCATTGTGAAACTAACTCTAAGTTAAGACTTCGTATCCGTCTTTGATACTGAAGTGTTATCACTCTACAACAGATACCACTTTAAATAGTTATCCAAGATCTCGACAAAGTGACAATTCATTCCCTTCCCATCTATTTTATATTGTTCTACAAAACAAACTACATATGTTAGAGTAGTGAAAGTTAATCGATAGATCTCTAAGGGTTTCGTAATCGATTGGGGATTAGCAGTCAGAAATCTTCGGTTGAAGAGATGCAGACTCTTTTCTTTTATACACACGTAGAACTGTACAGGTTTCATGATCTAGAAAACCACAAGTAAATTATAGAGTAAAAGAACCATTACCAAGGGTTACATTCCGTTTTCACGTTGTTTTTTAAGAAGAATTGAGAAACATTCAATTTACTAGATCAAAGGGGAAACAATCTTGATATCAGACTTCAAAACTTACTGAACCATGAACAAAGCATACTCTCGAGTACCAGAGACATGAAAACACTGATGAGGATAAAACCTTCAATTTTAATATGGATCACTCCTATCTAAAAGTACGAAGTTTAAAGTGTAACACCAACAACTTGATATAACTCCCAACCCAACGAACAGTCTTCAGAGGCGTTTGAGGCGGAGATATAAACTTTTCTTACCCTTGCTTACTGCCCGAAGCTGCAATCCTGAATAGAGAATCACACGACGTCATCCATCAATCTTGTTCTTGAGAATAATGTTCTAATGCATATGCATCCTATTTTGAAACTCAACCAAGATGGAGAGATAACATAAACATTCCCGACCTCTGCAAGAATGCTGACTGGATATAGACAGGAGGCGGAGCCGAGGGTAGGCTGGAAGAATGCCCAAGGGAAATAGACAGCCTGAGGAGCTAGAGGTAGACAGGAGTAGTGGACTTGAGGTTTGTCTAGACTAAATGCATACTCACCAAGTCACGAAGAGGGCAAGAATGCTGAAGGTACAAAGCCGTAGGAGCGGAGAGTGCCTAGACTACACTACGCATTCTCACAAATGCGGCAAGAGTGCTTTAGGGAGATAGATCGGATGAGGGAGTAGGACGGTCCAAACAACAATTTACATGCTCGCCAAGATGAGATAGATATCGAGAGAACAAGTTTAGCGATTCGATCAAGCATCGAGGAGCAGCTTGGGAGCTCAAACTAGGCTAGGAAAACATCAATCACTGCACGGATAAGTGATGGCATTCAAGCGGGGAACGAATCTTGATCTACAGGAGAGGAAGAAGAGTGATGTACTGAGGTGAAGTGGTGTTGTTTGGAGGAGGGTGTGTAAGTAATCTTGCAGAAGTCTAGTCTCCCCTCATAGACATTTCCAAAGACAATGGGAGGAATCCTCTTCTCGACGGCGAATGACCGAATGACCGCTGTACCTGTACGTCGTTTCGTTACCAGAGGCAGGCGCGATACATGCAGAGATCAAGATATATTACACTGACTGATGCATGCCTCAAGATATGTCTGGCTACAGACTCGGGCACCGATCAATCAAATTACCTCAGCAGTGCATTGTACCGTTTGACAAGCCAAACCTGCCTAGTCTAGAACGAACTTGTGTCAGATGATTAAAACAGCTTCCATTAGCGATGGAGACTTTTAATCAACCAGCAACACTTCATTGTCAAATCAGTTGGGGTTATGATTTACACCCATCCTACATGATATAATGAGAGTTCTGTCATGATTGGGCGTTGAAATAAACTCCACCAGCGATCATGACGTTTTGATGGAATTAAAAGTCAAACTCATAAATTAATCTAGTATCAATATGTAATATGTTCTAGAATTATACGGGTATAGACGTACGGACCGGACCGAATTAATGGTAAAACTCAAATTTCATATCGTGTGGATAGGTTAGTATGTACAAGTTAGGTCACTGCACGTGAGAGATGCGCAGGGCAACGGTCATGTGGTGAGTGCATAGCCGATAAACCTCATGCTCGTCACTTTCATGAACGTAGCATAAACAATCAGTACTGACTGTGTTTGTTTAAAACTTACATTATATTGCGTCAAGTGTTAGGTAATACCCTGATACATATCGGTGCATGTAATGGGTTTTTTTGTGCAATAAACTTCAATGAGACATATCATTATCCTCCATTAATATCGACCCCCGATAAATCGGGTGCAGTATCTCAACCGTCACCAAAATCTAAACGAGTCTATGTTGGAACTGTGCAGACATTAGATCATCGTTCTAGAATCATTAGCGTAGATCGAATATACTACGGTCTTCGATACATACGATTCCATCCTCACCTCTGCTCGAAACATGATTAAATATTAGCTTGACACTTATCACAGAGATCATCGATTCATACGATTCCATCCTCACCTCTGCTCGAAACATGATGAAATATTAGCTTAACACTTGTCACAGAGATCATCGATTCATACGATTCCATCCTCACCTCTGCTCGAAAGATGAGTAATTATTAGCTTGACACTTATCACAGAGATCATCGATTCATACGATTCCATCCTCACCTCTGCTCGAAAGATGAGTAATTATTAGCTTAAGACTTTATCACAGAGATCATCGATTCATACGATTCCATCCTCACCCCTGCTCGAAAGATGAGTAATTATTAGCTTAAGACTTGATCACAGAGGTCTCGCAGATTCTCGTTGTTTTATTGATATCTATAAAATTTTGGAAGGAAATCGTAGGAACTTCAAATCTTGTATCGCTTGATTCTTTTTTCAACTAGATTAGGCCAAAGATACACTCCTACATGAAATTTTATTCGTGTTTACTCTAAATAACAAATGAGAATTCATAGACAATCTCAAACTCCAGAGTATCACTTTACTTTGACACGTTGAAGCAAAGTCTGGTAGGCTTGTCATTTAGCATATAGATGGTGAGAGATTTGCTTGATGTGACCCCTGCGGAAAGTAATTTGATTGATGGGACCCTTCAGGTTTCATTTTACCCGATGGGACCCCATGATCGATGCACCGTCACCCATGTTCTAATAACAACTAGAGAGAGTGCAACGAGTCCACCGCACCCGCAGACAGAGTGGACTTCGCACTCCATCACACTCATTTGTTTTTATGTTGTCATTCTGTATCCGGCCACTCTCCAAGGAGACGAGCAAAGAAATGTTCATCCGAAGTTTATTTGTTCGCCACAAATGGATAATCGCGAGACTTGAACTCGGACCACGCAGGGTTACAACAAGATCAACGTTATCAACGTTAAGATCCTGTTGATAATGAAAAGCTATAATAAATATACTTTATTTAATTTTTCAACATGTGATAGATTAAAAATCACATATCTTGAAAATATGTGTACAACAAGATCAACAGGATGTTTATATATTCATAAGTTGAAAATAATTTTTCATATGTACGTACATATCTTTGAAGGTATAGCTCTAAAACTTTATAAACTTGTTATCTGAAAATTGTTCTAAGTTACTTGTATCACAGGAGTACATTTTGTTTTTTTAATCTATCACATGTTGAAAAATTAAATAAAGTATACCTTATGTGTTATCTTTATATCAGAAATATGAAAAAATATACTAAAAACACCGATCAAACACAAAATAATTCAATATAAGATCATTGATTTCTAATAAATGTTTATCTTTGTTCAATGTGAAAATAAAATTTCTCATATATTCCCAATTTTTTGTTTGTTTCAAAAATCAAACACAATTTATACCAAAAACATTTGAAAAATTATTTTTTCTAAATCATTAAAAAAATTACGTCTGAGTTTTAAGATTTGAATGAGATATCCAATGATTTCAAACATTCATACTCAAATATAAATTTCTTTCATAATTCTTATTAGATAGAAAAAGCATCAAATTGTCCTAAAATTCAATACTGAAATATTTTCAAGACAAGTATTTTGCAAGTAATTTACTATGGATAGAGATATCTAGCAAAATTCACTCGGCAGATGAAACATACTTAAGATAATTATTTGACTCCAATCTTATATCGGATTAAAATTTTATAACAAATATATAAAAATAAATCTACAAAAAATTGGATTAATATTTTGTTTATTTTTGGAATAATATGAAAGAATAATTTAACAAAAAAACAAGATATCACGAAGTTTGATCAATCTACCCACATCATGTAATAATCATATCAATCTAGATGCAGAATAGTTTGATTAGTCTCACTGTGAACTCAAAAAATATAGTCACCGTCACACAATGATAAACGTAAGGATCCTGGCGTTTTTTACTGTTAATGAATGTTTGTCTTCTATGAAAAAATTGTTGCAATGCAATTCATAAACATTATAAAATGTCTATTTTGTATTTAGAATTTAAATTACTGTCGGATATAAATGCATTGAAAAATCTTACATGTGTTAGAATTTCGAAGGCAAGCATCATTCATCTCCTGTGTGGATGGTAGTAAGTGCGACTGTAGAGGTCAAGAAGAAAGTTATCTCATTATAAATCTTACATTAGAGTTATATATGAAGATTTTATATACGAAGATCTTACATTAGGAGTATATACGAAGATTTCACATTATTGTCCATACTTATACTAGAAGGTGAGATGTGATTTGACTTCTTTTTTTCTATCTTAGTTAGTTAATTTCCATGTTCTAAAAACAAACAGTGACAAATAGTATTGACAGAAAATTGATTCATTTAGATGACGATACATCAAATGTTTTTCTTAATTATATAATTCTTAATCTACATAACATTTAAAATTATATATGGTGTAAGAGACTTTTCTCACCATTATCGTATGCTTCATTCATTCGTTTCACTATAAAGCTATGGCTATCTTAATAATCATACCCAAATCACTCCAAAATCGAGGCCTATTTTCATAATGTCTCCCACCCTTGATGTATCTAACAGGAGTGAACTATCAGTAGCATCGTTGGACGCGTTGACATCGAAAATCATGCATATCGTCTCCCTCCCTCGCCTTCGCCTCTGTAAGAGTAGCATTAGGCTATTGTAATTTCTTTGAAGCGAAGGGTAGTTAATGTGATATATTGGCAGAATATCAGACACGAGGCGTAGTAGCTAACACTTCTTACTTCCCATTCTTATACGACTGCGAATATATTCGACGTTCGGAAGACCAAAGACGTACATATCAAAAAAATTATTATGCCAGCCGAAGATTCTGTATATCATGATTAGACCAAACTTTGACAACACATGGAGGCCAAAGTGGTGGAAGATCTCGTTGACATTCACCCACAGTATCTCACTGACTCTGATTCCTCTGAATTATTATTAGCCGTACAGGAAGACAATTATACTAGAAAGTAACAGAACCCAGCCAAATCGAAGATCTTCGTCTCATCGGTCCGTTCATTGAGGTGTAACGGGAAACCACTTTCATGCAAATCTAATTCCACATTTCGTCAATCCAACAGGGCCATCGATGCTTTCAATAAATGCAAGCCGAAATTTGGGAAGGAGAAAGCTGGATACCGATTTGATATTCGGTTTAGGAAGAGGGCTACCATCCATCCAGCTCTGACTGATCGATCACTCAAGTGTATCCAACCATCATTTTATGTTCAGCAGATCAGATAATATGCATTTGTGTGGACGGCAATGTAATGCAAGAGCGAGAGTTGTAATGCCTACCCTGAAGGCCCGCTTTGTGACGAGCCCCACGGGGTTCCCTCGCCATCTGTACGTAGCGCCGGAATTCTCCAGTCCACGCATCGGCCTGATACTCTACCGCCAACGGTGGACCTATTGAAGCAACGAGGTTTTCACGTGAATTCGAGGCAATTACAGAGACCGTAGGTGGAGGTTTGTTCAGCACGTATATTGTAAGTCTTGTCCTCTCGTAGTCAGGGTTTCATCAATCCTGTTCGAGGAGCAGCACCGTGGAAATCGTACGTTTTTATCATGCGCATGAAAGCTGGAGAATGAATGAAATGCAGCTGAAAGGGTTGATTGATTGATGCTTGGTGAGTTTGTGAGATTCGATTGCGGCAACGGACGGACTCACCTCCCCATATACCGCCGGAGTGTATGTATCGGTTCGGTCGGCCCGCTCCTCGATTTCGGTGCTCGATCTCCATCATTTGCCCTCACACTTTAGAGTCTGGTGTAGCTGAGATGCAGTTCGAGGTAGCCTCGATGAAGTTCCATGAGAGATGATGAACACGGAACCTTCATTGCATAAGTTCCAAATTAGCAGGTGCCCCACAATTGGCCTCTCTCGATTCTGTTGTTCGTCTTCGTCAATCAGGACTAGTTCAAATATCATTCTTCCCTGGAGCGAATCGGCTACGCTTGCTAGCACATGTCACTTCTTTGGCCTCATCTCGGCGGCTGTTCTTCCATCGTCCTACACTCCTGTTCTTGTGAGACGCGTATTTGAAGAATAATTGGTTAAATGTTCAGATTAGGGTTGACCAGGTTTTAGCGAACAATCATTCTCGTGAATTGCAATCTCTGCTTGCCTGCTCAGCGACTACTGCTCATCAACGAAACTCCGTCGAAATCTGCATCGGTTCGCTGCACACGCTGTACAGACTGGCTCGACTGAAGGACAATCTGGTTCGGTTTTCGGTTACTTTGACAAACGTCGAGTGTGTTTTTTATTTCAGTTGGTTGTTTAGCTGCTCCGCCACTCCGCTGTGTGGGTTGGCGGGTATTGGTTCTTTAAGGAAGGACGGAGCTCTAAAACAAATCAATCTGAGCAAGGAGGAATCCTTGGGCTTGGGTACCTCATTTCGATCGATCATCCGACAAGACTAGGCCGTGATGTCTGGTCTGCAACCTTGTGTCCTCGACTCTGCTATGCACGTCTGCGCGTTCCCGCCTTTCATGCATATGCAGACACCTTCGCATACACGAAGCTAGCGTTAATTTAATCAATGCTGGGTGGGAGTGATGACTCTAGGTCACCATTCCTTCGTGCAGGTACGGAGTGTCAGTGATATCTGTCATTGCAACATAATTTACGACGATGAGTAGCACAGGCAGACGAACGAAAGTACTCTTACCGCGATAATTTGAAGCGGTCAACATAACAATGCAGGTCGAGCATTGTTGTAATCTGATGGAACCGGAATTCCAGATACTGTTGGTCCAGAAGCGGGGAATGAAAACGGATATTCTGATTACGGACCAAGGGCAAAAGAGGGAGAACGGCTGCGCTCACCAAAAGCGAACGCAGATGATCACAAACGAGCGCAATAGCGAACTTCGAGCCTCGCCCTCGTTTTGCACCATCCTCCATGACACTCGGAACTTCTTCTCATTCCCACGATTCTTTCCTCTCTCTCTCTCTGTCTCTCTCTCCTTCTCCCGACTGTAAGCGACGACTGTTTTCGCTCATCAAGAAACGAGCCAGTGGCTTCCGCACAGACGGAGAGAGCCAGAGCTCTCTTCGTCCGTCCGGCCGAGCGAAGCCGCGTTGTTCTTCTACGACCTTATCAGTGTTCTTATGGTCAGATGCCATTGTGAGGAAGCTTCGGACATCGAGCAAGCGCTACACGAGATTCGAATTTCGAAATGATGGTTTGCCGGGAGTGATGATCTCCTCCTCCCGACATTTCTCGATCAGAGCGTTCGATAGGAAGATTTGTTGCACGAGTTCTGAAGTCGAGGGATCTGCTTCCGCTTATGCCAAAATATCATTTTTTCTCGTGTAGCATAATGTTTCCAGAGGTTTCTCTCTCGCGCTTATATCAAGGGATGTCGTTCCTATTCGGAAACAATGAGCTCATTCCTTTACGCTTATGAAGGACTGAAGGCTCGCGTCAAAAATTCCCACTCCCTTGGCGGAATGTATGGATGGAGATTACTGCCTCGTCACCTTCTGAACTTGTACAAGGCACAATGTGGACATCGACCGCTGTCATTCAGGATAGGCTTGGGTGTAAATAGGTGAAGAAAGAACCTTCGTATTTGCGGCTCCTTCTTTTACTCGAGTATTGAAGTTGGGTCGTTTCGATCGAGAGCATTAGAGGGTTTTAACGAAAACCACAACATGTATGTATACAATTCCATCTTCCAAAGGTCGAGTATGTAAATGATCTTTGAACTTGTTTACTGTGCGCCGTGATTCGATACTTCGATCCTACGCATCTGAAAACATTTTGGAGGCCGTTTCGGCGAGAATATCATTTTTGTAAGAAAACAGCCGCAAAAGGAGGAACCTGAGTGACTGGATATCTATCGAGAGGTCAAGAGCAACTGGTCGTGGTCGATGTCCACCTCCAGTAATAGCGAATAGGAACAAGGTTTAAAACTTCATCTTCCTAATTTCCAACTCCCTGGATCGACAAGCCTTGTGATAGATAAAATCTTAGAGAACGGATGAGGGCATTTTCCCGTGAATCAACCATCGCAACGATCGTTCACTCAGGCAAATAGCCTCACGCTAAAAGTTCCGTCTTTGGTCGGCAGTAGTTTCATCCTTCGTTCCAGTGAAATGATAGTACTCTACAAGAATCAAAGGGCCATATTACGGCGGACATCGTTGACAAGAGCTTTTAAAGCTCTGGTTATTTTCGAGAGTAAGTCAGGACTTGAGATGCGTCGATGGCTACCGCAACTTTCAAGAACAGTATGCAGCTCTGCATGAATTCTGAGGAAATATTGCAACCTCGTTCTCCAAATGACTTGAAGCGTTCGCAAAATCAGAGATCAAGATTAGCGGATGATGAATACAAGAGAGATCATTCCACTCGATGATTACTCATGTTTACATATGAACTTTTTCACACACGTCTTGTAACTTGGAACGGTCACAATTCGCTTCACAGCTGTAAGAAGAACTGGTCTACAGATGTGAAACTTCGAGAGACGCAAACGATGCAGCGTCTATGTCTGGCCGGCATGGGGACCGGATGCAATCGGCGACTTCTCAAAAATTCAAATAAACCTTCTTGACACTGATGATGTCTCGCCGCCCATCGGCTTCAGATGCTGAAGTTTGAGCTCCCGAGTATTTCCGTCCCTGATTGACATCTCCAGGAAGAGATGCAAGTCGATGATTGCACACGGGTCAACATCCTCAACCTCGAGGAAAGAATCGGAAGAAACTTCGGAGCCACCTGAAGCCTGTAAATAGAACCAGATGGATGGATGGTCTTCTTGCATTCCCCTCCTTCTCATATCCTTGTTCTTGGTTTTCATTCTTGAGTTTAAGATTCAAGAAAGCAACACTCCAAAGTCAAAGATTGTAATTTTGTGGTCAAATTTTTGGAAATTTGACCTCTCATTTCTCATTCAAGAACAATTTAAAACAGTTTTTCGGGTATTCATTTAGATGATAAAAAGAACTTGTGTAGAACGACTTCTCTTACTTGAATGGAGGAAATATTTCTTTCTCATGAAACTTCAATAATTATAAAATAAAAGTTGACATTATGAATGAGGATTAAATTGTCAGGATTATTTCATTGAGGACCAGAAATTCATGTTATCATAAAAATAAAAATCCTCTCTTGATTGAATGTTTTAAAAATATGTTGAAAAAAGTAAATTTTTTTCACAAAACAAATGTACATATCTTGCAAAGTTTTACGATTTTTAGTTCAACACTTCGCATTTTTAGGATTTCATTCTTTATTAAGAGTTGCAGTTCATTGTTTACTTCTCTTTGACTTAGTTCTGAAGTCGATTCTTTGTAAACCTAAAAAAACAACTTCAAAAAGCATGAAATTTGAATATATTTCGATCATAAAAATCATGATTGTTGTTAAATTACCATCTTTTGAAACTTTAGAAAAATAAAATTTATGAATAAACTGAGTAATAATCTCTTGATTAACATTTCACTCCATAAATTTTTCCTATAGATCCAGAGTGGAAAATTAAATGATTACCCAAGATCAGAAAATGAATATAATTCGTTTTCCACTGCAATGTGCATTGTGCAACTCTTACGATCTTAGACAGCAATTGGTGAGGGTTTCGGGTTCTGTGATTTGGAACAGAATAGATACATATTGTGGTTGGACGTGCAAGAACCCTCATGACTGCTTGGATTCCGAAGCATGAAAGTCTTCGGGTTTGATTCGATCACTACAATCGGACACCTTTATGTTCAGCACTTAAATTTTCTCTGGAGCTTGTGTAAAAATGTCCTTTGGTATTCATACATTGTGAACAGTACTACGCACGTGCTGCCTTCCTTGCTGTTAATGGTTATGGGAGGAGCCTGAAGTGGCCCCTTGGTTTTCACTCCTTCAGTACCTCCACCACAATATCGTACAGCTTCACTTCCTCATTTAGGTACAGATTTATGTGACCAAAAATCGACGTTGGGAAGCTGATTCGAGACGTCAGCCAAACCTTATGGGGCTCAAGTGGCCACAACGCTTTAAGGTACACTCCTCGTGAGGTGGCATCACATACTAGACAATTCCAACATTCTGCTGAACAACTGTTCATCTCATAGAACTTAGTTCAACACTTGGTAGCATGGTTAAAAACAAGGCTTGCATCTTGCGTTCGTACAAGGACATACCACAACGAGCTGTGAACATAGCTGGCCAGCCAGGTTTAATTCAGATGGTTTTTTGAATGAAAAAAAGACATATGTACACTCATGATTTGGGGAATCACTAGTAGCTCTCGCTCATGCATTGGCCAGTGGCAACATGGAAAACCTTGGAGAGTGCGTTTTCCTGCTCCGTCGCCGATAAAATGGTTGACCCAGTTGCACTTAGCTATGAGCAGGATCCGCGTTAGAAGGTCAGCCGATGTCATCTTGTCTGAGAGATGTTGGATAAGTGTCATAGAAACCCCTCAACACATGCAAGGTTTGCCGCTTAAGGCTCTCTTCTTGTGATAAAATGTGTGCCGACTTGGTGATCGCCCCATTTTGTAGCTGATGTATATTCCCCCATCTGATCTTCTACGAACTGCTCGTACTGTTGCCTTACCATGTCTAGAATCGAGAAACAAACTCGCCACTGGTTTCAGCAGAAGTTCACGTTCCGGTATATAACCTCCAGTCTTTGCTGCCAAACATTTGTGTACCAAGGGGCAGGGCGACAGGTGAGGGCGGGCTATATGAATCTATTGTGGGGGTGAAAACAAGCCTTTCCCATCAACAGACTTTTCCCCAGTCCTTTGCGATCTGTAATGATTTGCCGCCCTCCAACTAGCCTAGCACTGTTAGCTCCTTCAACTGTTGAACATTTCAGTGCTGCGTACCGACGATGGAACTTTTCTCCTCCCATTTGCCCTTTAAATTGGATTGCCAAAGTTTAACCAATCCATCACATCCAGCTGATGCTAAAGTCATGCCAGACATGTCCCACTTAGCCTGCAACACCTGCGAGGATTTGGTCCATGTTTTAGTGAGTGGATACTTAGCTGCAACTTCTTAATGCGTGAAGAAATGACTCTGCAGTAATTGTCTTAGGATAATTATGCATCTAGTGAACTCTGGGCAGCAAATACATTCAGAGAATGGAACAACCTATTTGGATCTACAAAGTGATCCAAACAATGAGAGAATTAGCACGTCCAAACAGTGAGAAACTCTCACTGCTATCACGCTTTCTACTTACATCCTACAGCATTATCAGACGTTTCGTGAATCTCTCTAAAAAGGAAGGCCCACAATAACTTCCCTTCTCACTTCTTCTAATGAGCTTCCCAATAGGATGAATAGTTTATAATTACCCCGCCTTCATGATCCGTGAAGTACCCTAGAAGTTGAACTGCAGGTCGTCGGCCAGCAATAGAAGGAATTTCCATACTCCAGATTGATACAGAAATACTAGAAGAAATGGCTATGAGTTCATATGGTCTGCAGCCATATCCAGGTCGGAAGTCAAAAATTGTGACCTTTGCAAAACGAAGTATCCTCCCCATCCAGAGAATCGCTGCAGTAACTAATTATTGAACCTAAAAGAACACTCCAATCTGATAAACCATGCTACAATAACTCAACGGTACAAAGGCACACTACAAGCGTAGATCTGTGACAGTGAAGGTTCTATCTATAGTTGCTCGGCATCCAACAAACCATAGCCATTCAAGACGACATACATCCGCGAATTTATGTCTTTGTACCTGCCGATATTCGGTGCCCAAGACACATGGTTGATTCGCCCGTAGTCATGATCTGGAGAAGTTAATTCTGCAACGAGATGCCATCTTTGATGTGCTTCCCCGAATTCCCAAACCTGCCGTATCCACAAATCAAACTCATGACTGTGCGACCTGAGCGCTAGCCCCACAAATCCAGTGGAGAGAAGACAAAAAAACTCCAGCTTAGAAAGGTGAAGCTGCTGAACACGGTGACGGTCATTCCATACACTACTATTAAGAACGAGAGAAGGATGACAGATATTTCATGAAGTTGACACGTGAGGACAACCTTTGCTATGCTGTGCTGCGGCGAGTTGGTCTGGAATCCCACTACAAAGACTGGTTGCTGGATAGCATCGGCTGCTGGTCTCCAGCTGATCGACGCGGCGGTACAAGATACAGTCTCCAGCTTTTCTACGACATCTGTCACGTTTGCGAACTCAGCCTGCAGGTTCACACTTTGTTTAAGACAGACAGAACAGAAAGAGGCAGCATGGTCCTTGCTAGTAAACAAGGAATATCAAGCGTAAAATGGATTGAAGGAGAGAGCGCTTCGAGAATCCATCAACCGAGAAATATAGTTGAGCTGGTAGAGAAACAAGCTGCAAAAGAGAGTCCACTAGGAGAAACCTGCAATTGCCAATTCTTCAACTCCAAGACGTTGGACGCTTCATACACTCTAAGATGGCCGTCACCTCCTGCAGCAACCTGCGAACAATGCACTTCAAAATCTCATGAATAATACGCAATAGACGTCTTTCTAGTTGATCCGTTTCACTGCTGCACAGTTCTATACGTGATCGATATACTATAAAGTCAAGTGAATGATATCTATCGTGCTAATGCAGAATGCTAGAAGAGCAAGACATCTAATTTCGGACATGAAATCAGTCTGATCATATGTCCAAGGCATAAAGGGAGGAAGGAAATAGACCCGAACAAAAATCAAAGTGGACAAGTTTAACCTAAGGACTCACTAATTTCAGTCCCGAGACGCAGTTGCCAAATGCAATGTCAAGAACAGGAACACCAATGTCTGTGAAGCGATGACATAAGCTCCAAACGTCTTCTTTGTCCTCTGCAAAATGAAAGGAAGAATCATCAACCATAATATATGGACTGAGGACTGAAGGGCACCCTGTTAAGAGAGACTAATTTATACCAGATGTCTGACAAAAGTCAAGATAAAGAGAACCTGCAAATCATCAATGGCTGAAGACTCATCTGCAAATGATTTAATGGTAGGAGGGTGACCAATTTGACCAACAAAACTTACTGTCCTCGATCTCCTCCCAAACTGACATCGTGCCATCCCTGGAGCAGCAAGCAAGAAGATCTCCATATTCTTGGGGACCCCAGACAAGTTTCACCACGGCACCTTCATGGGCCTGCAAGGCAGCTATTTGAGCTAACATTGGTAATCCGCTAATTCTTACAGAAAACATTCTGGATATTATGGTTGACAAAACATGCTTGACAACATTTGAAATTACCTTGCACTCTCCTGGTCCACATCCAAGAGAAAAGTGGACACTCTCATCAACTAAAATTGAGCTGGAAGTGATTTCTAGTCTAAATTCTGAACACAGTACAGTAATCCATCGATATGGAAATCTATGCCACTATTCGTTCCCTTGACATAACCATCAACTGAGCAGCACCGCACCATCTGTAGTGCATTCTGACCTTTCAGTTTGGTGACAAAACATAAAATTTCAATATCAGGTCCATTCCGACGGGTTCGTAAAACCGGAAATTCATCCATACAAGATAAACTTGCGTTGCCATGTTCCTTTTGAACATTTTACTGGCTAAGACTATTTTATCTTGTGAACAAATCAACAGAAAACGGCCACTTCTGCAAGCGCTGAATTCGGATCAGTAAATGCAGCGTTCAAAATTTCTTCGGCGTATGAGCTCCTCATTCAAGGTAATTCATTATTTTTATGATAACTGCTATCAGAAGATTTTACATCTGTCTTGGGGGAGGTTAGGTCGGCAGAACATTGCCAGTTTCTGGATAGTCACTGAAACGAACTGTTCCCTTTCCTTTCAAAGGATCGTCAACAACGTTGAAAGCTCTTCACTTATTACATTCTGAGGAACTGGTTCACCAATTGCAGAAAAACTGGGAAACAGAAACCACGTCTCGCAACACCCTCTCCCCTGCATGTGTAACTTAATTTACAATGAAAGGTTTCATCCCATGGTGTTCTTGTGTTAAAGCAATCCAAATTAAGATCACCGATAATGGCTGAATGAATGAGTGATGAGTCTGAATAAGGGTTTGAGCAGATACGAAGGCATGTACAAATATGCTGCATGTATGGATGCAGGTTTGCAGTGGTAAGAAACAGTACCGGGAAAAAAGCGTTGCATTTCACAGGACCTACATCGCCTCAAAGTAGTTCAGGATAAAAATGCTTCCGATAGGATCCTTGCTATCACATGAAGATCGCTGGAAAGATTGAACGCCTATACAACGGAACGATGCAAGCGATTCCTCAGCTACTCTACCGGTTTAACACCAATTTTTTGATAATTGCAAATTGCAGCATGTGAGATTGCACTTAACGAACAATTCAGGCACCCTGGTAGCTAAACGCAAAATCTTTGCAATACCTTCCACTTGCTGGTGCACAAAAAATCGGAGCTGGCTCCTTTATCGGGCTCATATATTTGGATACTGCCATCTGACATACCCGCCGCCATTTTCACCCCAGAAGCGTTCCAACACGTATGTTCCACGCCAGCTTCTAGCGTCATGAGCTCCATATTTCAAACACCACGGTTCACTCGACACTCCACAATGTCCACTATCCTTCGCAAGAAGGTGAACAAGTCCCCGGGACTCAACGAAGGTGAACAAGTCCCCGAGACTCAACGAAGGTGAACAAGTCTTACAGGAAGGTGATACTACCAATGGCAATTCATTGAGAGCCTCAAATTGTCGCACTCAAAAGTCGTCGATCTGCTTAAACCCCGTCCTAGTTTTACGAGGACTTACGAGGTTTACTCGACAAATGCGCAGAACCCCGTTTAACCCTAACCAGGCCCGGTTCGTGCAGTGTGAATGGGAGTCCTGCTAATTTGGTGAGTCCGTGCATCAGCTGTTCGCAAAATTCACAACCGTGTGAATGACGTGGATGCAAATCCAAGGATCGGGAATGACGCCCGAAGGCGCCAACCGTGCATGCGACAGTCATGTCACAGTCACATGTTCCTATTCGCGCACACGTCTGCATATGTACAAGTACATATGTAACAACAGATTTATAAGAACTTGTCCTTCTATGGAGCGCAAATACTTTTGGCGCGAAATGTACCCAGCGTTCAAGCAACGGCAGATTTTGCGGACTCGTCAGCATTCACCGTCACACTCTCCGACACGTTCCGTTTACACTCTCTGACCGAAAACAAATCCGTTGCCCAAGCGGATGTTAGAATAATCCTCTCTCACGTGAATTATATTATTATATGAAGAATGCGCATTAAGATCCAGATGGTGACCTTCTGGTGTAGGTTGAGTCTTTCCGGACAACCTGCAAGACCCGGTAAACAATTGTAATTTTAACACAAGCACGCACACATGCCGCCCCATGTGTAGTATGATGGAAAATGGTCGTGGCTCATTTGGAGGATATCAACACATCTCTTAGTGTTTGACTTCTTTTGAAACCCCTACGTGGCCACATGTCCTCATTGCACTTGTGCTCAACTCAAGATGCTTGGAGAACACATTTGCGTGTTATTCATCGATATGATAGAGATGGTGTTTTGCTCAAGGACGACAGGCGCACAATTGCACATTTTATTCGTCGTGTCCTGAACTTTGATGCGGTATTTGCAATGCTCAGTAATCTGGTTCTTCAGGTGTTTTGATCGGCATTGTTGGTCGTTGAGGTCCATCTTTCACGTGTGCATAAAATTATGGGGCTTCAAAGTTTTGACTGGTGGTGCTTGTTCTAGACCTCGTGCAGGGACAATTTTCTTCTATGCTTCGTTAGAAAACCATTTGGGGAGAGTTTTACCAATGAGTCACAAATCAATTTAACCACGGCCTACATCAACTTTCGGTTTTTGGAAAAACTAGCTCACGTTCCACACGATCGATAGTAAGTGGGTCTCAGGGCTCCACATGGAGTCAGCAGTAAGTGTAAGAATGTGGTATGCCTTCATTTGTATGCTGGGTGCATCTCCGCTTAGAAGCCTGGATGGTCTATCAGATTCATTTCGGTATGAAAACACCGACAGGCGTCAGCAGTAAGACTGTCAAATTAATCAAACATGGTAAACTCGTACATTTCACTTCAGATACTGAGCGGTCGCACGCAACAGTCAAGCTTCGACAAGTTTGGTTGTTATCCAAATAAACTGATGATACTATGTCCCCGAACTCATACGAGGGGAAGGCTTTACAAAGGCGTAAACAAGAAGCTCATCAGCTCTCTATCTCTGCTTTCTGCACAGCACTTAGGTACAAGTTTTCTGCATTTAAATTCATGAATGCAACCTTCAATGATTGGCAGCAATCTCTAATGTGATTAAGAACAGTCGTAGTCGCGTGCTTGATATACATACAGAATGTTACACTTATAAACAAGAATGGTCAACCTACGCATCCTGCGCTGGGCCAGGATAGGCTGGAAGATTCATAATTCGACCGTCATTTATTGGTACGCCGATTGTAAAATGGTAAAGACTCTGAAATTCTTTATCTTCCAGGCCCAAAAGCTCGTGCACTGCAAGAAAACCAAATCCAAGGTCAGATCACTGTCGAATATTTTCGATGCTCTCTAACCAACAACCCTTTAGTAGTCTCATGTGCTGAGATCCTAGCCTTGTGCTGCGCTCCAAACTTCCACAAGGAACTAAAGATGTTCAAAAATTTTCGGCGTATTAGAAACTCGAGTTTCGTGACAAACTAATGATCCTCGAACTAACAATAAGAACTGAAGTAGTAGCAAACACTAATGTTGAAAGACTGGGCTGCAAGACCATACAATATTCACACTTCGTCCTTTCGTGCTAAAAGACGAAAGGAGTGAAACAAAAGTACCTGCGTCGTCAAAGTAACATCCAATACCGGTGGCAGCCACACCCAAGGCAGTCGCTTCAAGATACAACACTTGCCCCAGCACACCTGCTTCCCAAAATAATCGTGGATACATCCAAGGTCCACTCTCTCTCAAAACTGGTTGAAATCGAGCTATCATTCCTAGACTGAAAAAACTATTACCGGCAATTTCCTGCAACGTCCATAAAAGGAGCTCCAATTAGAAGTGGCACAAGCCATTGCCTCCTTCCTCCATAACTACCGAAATTTCATCAACAGTGCAACGTGAAGCAATTTTCCTCGATCCTGAATGTCTGCATTTCCACACCTCTCATACGAGAAAACACTAATATCGAGGATGACTTTTGTTGTATGCCTACGACTCATGTCATTATAGCTCCACAAACCCAGCTGTACCTTCACAAAGATTTCGAGAGAAGTTACCAACACGTGAAGACCAAGCTACGAGAAGAGATGATTACCTGATTGCAAGAGAGGCGGGCTGCCAGGACACGAGCGTCACCCGTCAGAAGGCGGTACAGAGGCAAGCCTGGAGGACACCCTTCAGGTTTCTCCCAATGAAAATTCTTTCTGCAGGCTTCTTTCAAACCCGTCTCATGTGCCTCATTGCGCACCAGGAAGTACACGCCTTGCGGCAAGTCAACGATTCTATGTACAAAAATTGCACAATGAACTTCTGGAGCCCATGTCAGAACCCCATAAGGAAACATTCCAGGAGTTCCAACGGTTGCCTTGAGTAAGAGTTGATAAAAATTATCGCGTTGCATCCCAAATTTACCATCCATGTCCACTGCACTTCGTCGTCGGCGAACTACTTGGCGAACCGTATAATCCTCATAAACCGAAGAATTTTTTAGCGTGTCTGGCACAGAACGACAGCCATATCCATGCGCGGGAACACTCGTTCTGCTGCTAGGCTTGTGGCTAGCCAAACTAGCTGTGTATATAGTATCCCAACGTAAATGCTCTTTGCTAAGTGAGTTTGCCTGGCCCAGAAATTGCAATTGGGAAAACTTAGAAACGAGTACGTCCGGGTCTAAGACTGGAAGTTGCAGAGTCTCATTTTCAGGACCCCGAGACCAGGGAAAAAGTGCAAGGACACAATCTGCACTTTCCCTCTCGAGACCAGGAAAAACCCCTTTGTTTGATTGCGAAGACGAAGCCGATCCTGTTCTTGAAGGAGCTGAGCTAGTTGAGGCCAACCCCATGAGATGATTGAGCTCGCTAGTTCCATAGCCATCGAGAAGCTGGGCATTCCAACCGAGATGTGCAGCAGCTACGGTTACGGCCCCAATCGCATGTCCCACATCGTGATTGCAGTACCTGAACGCTCTCTCTCCATACTTCCACGCCTCTCTCCAATAAATCGATGTCAATCCGACCAGAATCGAGCCTTCAGGCAAGCCCTTGACGAGACTTTCCCACAAGTCGAGAGAAAATTCCGCCCTTATTTCCAGAGCATGTTCCTTCGGCGCATAATGAGCAACAAACGGACACTCGGAAACGCCTAAAATAGGTCCACTGATCACATAACCCTCGGTCGGGTGCAGATTGCCACTCGAAGGATTCACGCGCAATGACCAAGATGATTTCCCAATCGATTTCCAAGCCGAGAGAGCCAAACTGTCGTACAGGAGCTGGGAGAGGGCAGATTTCGTCAGCGTCTGGGGCTCGACTTGCCCGGAGCCTACCTCCGGATACGGAAGAGTTCCGATGTCCTCAGCGAAGTGCTCGAGATGAATCACCGGGGCACCAACGTAGCGGCGAAACGGGTTAGGCTGATTGGCCCAGTCCAGCCCGCTCGGGCCCCGAGCGTATTTGTGGAAAGAATGCTTCGTCTCTTGATGGTAAGAGAGGAGGATCTCGACGGCTTCCTCGTGGGCCACTGGAAGATCTGCAGCAATCGCAGGACTCGGGGTCGATGTCGGGGTCGGGGTCGATGCCATCAGCCGAACGCTTCCTCTTCGACCGTAGTGATTCAGTGCCGTCGAGGCCTTCCTGCAGCGGAAGAGGCTTCCATGTCCCGGCACCCGCCAAGCTTTGCAAATTGAACCCATGCACGCAAATCGACCTCGGCCTCGAGCTCCGAATCTCCAGGACCTCTGCGCAAGCAGAGGTGACGATGTGCTCCATTCTCCGAGCGCGTTCTCCCTTCCCGGCTCCGAGTGCCCAGAGATCTCGTACGCTGTAACGTCGTCGATCCTCTTCTTCGCACGAGCGTTATAGACTGCGTCAGGATTCTACTGCAGTCGGATGTTAACATTCTCTTGACGTTCACGTGGTTCGACACCCTTGCGTTCATATACATTTACCGTCAGGCCTCGGTTCTCCATCCTCGCGTTTGATAGAGATCATTTCTACATTGGCTTGTGTATCTATCTTATTGTCTAGAACATTTCACTCATTTGTGATGAATATTTGACAACCTAGTACGATAGGTTTCATCCATGGACGCATTGGGTTTCTTACATCTTTTTGCTATGTCATTATATCAACACGTATATTATAATCCATAGAAGCTTGATTTCATAGATGAACCGTTTATGGCAGTCCCGTGATCATTTCGTACAAGTTTTGAAATCTCTTGTGCTTGGAAACCAACTTTTGGTCTATGTTTCCTCATCAGGAGATATTTCAATAATAGTACAAAACAACTAACTTGTATGGATTCAATGTATAGGTTTTCAGTGATGCATGATAGGATTTGTTGACATCATCTCCTTCGATGAGCATCACCTTTTGCAAACTACGCATGTAATTCCAAATGTAAAGCATTTCTTTGAACTCAATGAAACAACTAACAACATTGAAAAATATTCTCTTTAGGTTCATATATTTAATCAGATATGTTTAGAATTTTCTCCAGCTTGTCTCTCACATTTTTCACACCTACTTCACTAATGTCGTCGTTATGAACTAGAGACATTGGAAACATTGTTGTCGTTCAACTTAGTAGTTTAGTTTTGGTTTCTTTTATATTACAACTGAATCGGCTAGTTTTGTGTCATAATATATTTGAAGATCTGACTAGGTAATATTTGTATAATTGGTATAATCTGTATAACTGTACAATTTTAAATTGAGAAAAGGATCTAAAAGCTATGTATGAAACTCTTAGAAGTTTACTAATTATTGTTTGTCCTATGCCTCATCTTAAATAGAGTAAAACTTGGATGACTATTTCTCTAACGGAGCTAATATGGGATTATATATTATTGTATTCCTTTACGAAATTTTACTGAATTCCATTGAGTTTAGGATTCTGATTTGCCTAACCACTCAACTCCTTTATGAATACCCAAAATCCTCCCAGTATCAAAGTGATTACTTATTCGGAAAACTGTTGTACTCATTGTTTGATGGATTTCTATAGATGGGCCAAACACAAGAATGACAAAAGTATGGTAAGACCTCCCTTTACTACATGATGGTTACATTAGGCTACATTTACATGATGGTTACATTACATGAGTTCAGACCCAATAAAAAATGTCATTATATTCACAAATGTTATTTTTGTCACAATTAAAATTGGATATATGTCAGAAGTAAAGCTTATCGTAGACTGATTTTTTGGTTGCATTTGAGATCTTTAGAAATTTGCAAATGTTGTGTAAATCTTTAGAAATTGCCGCGCACTTCATAAATTTTATGGAGTGCGCGGCAATCCACAAAAGTGATTGCGACGTGTCTGGAATCAATACAAGTCTCAACTATTCAATGCTAACAGCATTACCGAATCAGAAGTTGTCAATTTGGAAATCTCTGATTGCAACGTGTGTGGAATAGATGCATGTTAACAACAATCTTTTGAACCGAGATTATCATTTTTGAATCTCCAACGTGAAAATAGTTGACACTTTGTTACTCAAGCAAGAACTAGAAGATTAAGATGATGAAAAGAAACTAATATTGAATTCATAGGCTGTGAAGTTATTCAAAATGAAAGTCAACAAGTAAATTAACAAGTATAGTGTCATCTTCAAAAACAACAAACATGCTCAGTATGCTATTCTTAAATGTGAAAGAGGTAGCATATGAATGCGTGCCTTCCATACCATACATGCAAACTTCCACTCCAGCTTTTCACAATTTCGCAAACTCTGTTGCGGGCTTGTAACTTCAGCCGATTATCCAAGGGCTAGCCACCTAGATTTGAAATTCTGGCCGAGACCGTGACTACACATATCTTCCAGCTTCAGTCATCTCTTTCTTCAAAAGACATTTAGAACTTGTTATATACCTTTCAAGTTGCACATCTTGTTTGCGAACTACAAGGGGTTTTGTGATTCCACATCACATGATTGGATTTAGGGGTTATACAAATAGATTTGGTTCTTGTTGTAGAATCTTCGATGAAATTTTTTAAAACATCTTGGAAGTTTATTTATTTCATTTGATGTTACCCACTGTTATCTCAAATTCTCTCCTGTGCTAGAAAGAATGACATGAAACTTTCTATTATCAACGGATCCCTTCAGTCCAACAGGCTGGGAGCGGCATTCACTTGTGTAAGGGATATCGCAGTCTGAATCAATGTCTAATGCTAACCTTGAGGAATCCTGGAAAAGTTCCGATAAATGCCCTTCGTGATTTTGCGTGGTGGCATTCATTCTCAAGAGACTGAAGCAAGCACCTCCTCTACAAAACACTTAACATTGATGTTGGAGCTACCACCTTCTTCCTGACTCGCTCGTGCAGCCTTCTTCAAACCCTGCGCATTTCTCCTCAGCTGTAGACCCTCCTCTCCCAACATAACAGATCTTATGCTCTGGAGAACATCATCTCCTGCCAGAACACCGTTCGGTTTGGGAATAGTGAGCCCAGTCTTGAACATCTCCGCAAGAGCCCTGCACATCCCCGCTTCTGCGTGTAAGTTTCTCTTTCGCCAGTTCTTGCGACTAATGAGAGAGAGGTCAGTAGGCAGGAAAGCAGAGAGCAAGATCATACACCTCACGACTGCAAAGGATCCGTAAGAAAGTGAAAGTTGACAAAGGCAGGGCACAGACCTGGCGTTTAGAGGCTGGTCGCCGTGCAGAGGAAGAGAAATAACAGGTACTCCGGTGCAAATACTTTCGATCGTGGAATTCCAGCCACAATGAGACAAATGACCACCTGTCGATGGGTGGTTCAGAATCTGCAGTTGGGGAGCGAACTTCGTTTCCACAAAGCCTCGACCCTTCGTACGCTCGATGAAAGCTGGCAGAAGAACGCTCGAAAGATCCTCTGCTCCAGGCGAGAGCCTCAAGGCCCACAAGAAGGGCACGCCGCTCGCCTCTAAACCCTGAGCGATTGCAGCAAACGTTTCCACTCCCACTTTCGCCTGTGTGCCGAGAGCCACGTACAACACAGAAGCGGGAGCTTGCAAATCCAGCCACTTCAGGCAATCACTGGACCCGTGCTCAACTGCATCCGGGTCGGGGTTTCCTGGCAGCCGCAGCATGGGCCCGATGGGCAGAACTTTCGTCACCTGCGCTGCCAATCGGTGTCAGAGTGAACAACAAACAAGGCCTGTTAGATGTCTAAGCGTCGACTCTTGGGAATCTTTCAAGGCTCAGCCAGCAATCTGTACACCAGGAAAGCTGCTGAATCTGCAAAATCAGCCGCTGATTCAATGCCAACAGTAATTTTTGCAGAGGTCAGCTGAGATCCCGGTGACATCTGACTGAGTGGGCCATGACTACAAATTCACAGTAACAAATCGACCGCAAACATGGCAGATTTTAAGCAAGGCTTGAAACCTTTCCGGAGCTGGTCGGATGCTTTTGAATAAGAGCGCGCAGAGCGTCCGTCATTCCTCCTTCCAGTTCCTCGAAAGAGTTGCAGAGAAGACCCGCCGCGTCTCTGAAATCGACCAGTGATGGAAGCTTGGGTGGCAAGCAGTCCCCGATTCTCATGGAAAACATTCCCGGCGGAGTCACCGGATCGTCCGGTCTCGCTTCCCAGTTCTCGACCTTCCCCGTCATGGTACTCCACGCCGCCCAGGCAGGGGTTGTGAACATCATGTACCTCGGTATATTGAGCTTATCAGCAGCTTCCTGTCACAAGTGGGAGTAGTCATAACCCGTGAAATTCACTGCATTACAAAATTTGTGTGCAGTGACTGTCCTCCGACTGTCCTACTCAGGGTCATAGCAGCCAAACGCCGCCATGGCAATGAATATGAAACTAACCAATTCTACTGGACACTAGGACATGCCTCTGCCCTGCCCTGCCCTCCCCTGCTGCATGCCGAAGGTGACAGCATGTAGCGTCTAAAAAACGGGCCCGAGGGATCTTCTGAGAAAATCTGACAAATGCCGGCCACAACGTGAATTTCGCCATGGCTCCTGGACCTCAGTCTCAAAGAGAAGTAGAAGCGCTTGCGATGGCGTACTCGAGATTGGGGAGCAGACAGAACGAGTTCCTTATCAAGCATGAAGAAATGGCACTGGTGATTGAAGTCTCGATGAAAGGGTGGACTTCGCTTCAGTGCGTTGACTACAACACTGGGTCTATGATTCTCAACTGACAACAGTATGACGACGATCACAGAGAAGCTAGACAGGCGAGACTGACCTGTGCCCAGGTCAAGAAAAAGTCGGCTAGCATGAAGCTGGGCTTCGCGTCGGGATCTTGTTCGTCCAAGAGTCTCGACAAGTAGGGCTTGAACTGATCGTTCATATCAGAAACGACGGTCCACAAAGCCGGAGTGGCACCGACTTGATTCGCTCGAGTAGCTGCATCAGACTCGAAGAACGCATCCTCCAAGCGGAGATCGAGATCCTTGAACGCTCCCCTCGATTGGAGTTCGGCCAGCTCCCGGTTGCGCTTTGTGGTACTGCAGACTGTCACGCGAATGTCGAAACGGCTCAGGTAGTAGAGCAGCTGCACGTATACTACGAAATGGCCTTGCTCTTCCAAGGGCACCATCAGCAGATGCGGTCGCCGCTGCTCTACACCTTCCGGAGCCATTTTCCCGGACGATCTTCGACCAAACAGAGCTCCTCACAGTCGGTCCTTTCCCGAACTTGTACTTCCTGTCGAGTCCCTGAGCTTCTCCATGTACATGTACCTCGAAACTCGAAGCTTTCATGCCATCAATTTTCGGTCACTCCTCTGTTTTAATGTCAAGGCTCTTCATGATTAATTACCCTGCTAAATTTCGACCTGGAAGAATTCATTGAAACATTGAATTCCCCGAAAGACCTCGGGCTGGCACATTTCTGTCCACGAGGGAGAGACGGAGGATGTCGGACTGACAAAGAGAGTCAGATGAATCTTACAGCTCAGCTTAGACAAAGATAGAATCACAGATCAAAGATCGAATCGAATCCTCGCTGCTTCGAAGTATTTAGTGGAGGGTTGCCTATTATTCATTATTGCGGCGCCTGTCCCACAATGGTCCGTTAGTTAACCAGTGCTTGTCATGGGCAGTAGAGATCGATGATGTTGTTCGGTATGTTCCGATGTTAATGTAGCGTATTTTGTGTTGTGACGATAATGCAATCTAATTATATGTTGCCCAATTAGCTTCATCCCTGTATGAATCGCTCGATCGGGTATTCCCACCTTTTGCTGTATTAGTCGGTGGTGTGCAACGTGCAAGTAAATAATACACTTCACGAGTTTTAATTGAGAGTCTGGAATAAATCTCAAATGGTTGAAAACTCTGAATCAAAACTGGTGAAATGTTTACAATAAATTACACGCACACTTTAGTTCAAATTGCTTAAAAAATATCCGCTTATGTCTCAACCTTCCTTGCGAGTCAAAATTAATTTTAGAACATGAATCTTCAATGAAAAAACTGTGCATATCTACATGTGTACACATGCTGTCAAATTACAACACTGTATTAAGACTCGTTTTGTATGATAATTATAAACCTTGCGAAACTTAGATTTTGAATTTTAAAAAAAGTTGAAATGATTGAACATAATCAAAGTTAATAAAAATAATCCAAACGTTGTGAATTAAATCAACCACTCTAATGATATCATCTACTCACAATATAAAGCTCGCTTCTAATTAAAGTTAGTTGTACTTAGATCAATCAAAATACATATTATAACTTATAAGAAGACTTTAAGGATTTTTAAAAACTTGATACAAATTAGGCTTGGCCACGGTCCGGTCCGGAAAAAAAATTTCCTCTGGCAGCAGAATCAGACCAGCGAGATACCCAATTCGTGATTCAGTGTGAGAAAATTCGCGAGAATTTTTTTTCACAAATTGGTACAACTCAGCTCGAGTATGTGAACGTCAACCCTGGGCTCATTTGAGTCGCGGCCCACCTCTTTCCCTCCGCCATCGAGAATTTTTGGGTATTAAGGCCCCTCCCCATCGACCACGTCGGGACCGGTTAAAAATATCGGTTAATTGGACCGGTTAACCGGACCGTGGCCAAGCCTAATACAAATAGCACAACCTCCGATCTCCATTTATGAAACAATTTACCAAACTTATGAGTATGTTTCGCATTACACTGTACTACATTGAAAGAAATGTGTTCAAACCATTGCAACGTGATCTGAGTCCATCTGAGTGATCTTAGGATGTTGGTGGGATTGATGTAAGAAGCTCCGATGGGAAGTGAAGAGTGTCCAGAAGGACGAGGCGAGGTTGCAACAAACAGCGTTGGAGCTGCTGCCATGCTTCGGGTTATCATTTATACATGATTCTCCAATCATTTGTGTACTGAGTGATCTAAAGGATGAAGGGTCTTCGGACCGGAAGCCACCGAACCCGACTGTGCCCGGAACACGAGCGGGGACCGAAGTTTGGAGCCTACTGTGGTTGGCCCGAGACTGAGTGGAAAATGTGCAGTAGACCTCGAAGAGGATCGTCAGAACCTCGGAAGCTCGGAGAAGGGCTCAGCGTTCTCGATCGATGAGCATTTGGGGGCTCGATCCGGCTCGATGGAATCTTCGCATCCTTTCCTCGATCGGTCGCCGAAGTGACAGTCCAGCCGCAGGACTCGCTCGATACCGCTCGATACCGTTGCATCTTGGGGGGATGGGGAGCCACGTGCTGGTCCGGTTACTCGGTGAATATGGACCGTCGTCCCATCGAGTGCCTACAGTCATACCTGGAGCAGCAGAAAGTTGTACGGGAGAGGTTTGGATCGCAGCTCTGTGGCATCATCGTGATTAAGAAGCACGATCGACTCGAGCAATTGCGGATTTGTCAACCTCGCTCGCTCACACACGTCTTTGGGCCGAGCTGTTGTGAATTTGTCGGTCCTCGACTCCCGTCGAAGGTATTTGGAGATGGCGCCGACGAGTCCCCCGAGAACGATCCCGCGACGCAGATTGGGAACTCAAGGCCTGGAGGTAAACTCGTCGCCTCGCTCATCGGTTCAATTCTTCATCCGGTACGCGTAAGGCCTACTCGATGAAGCATCAAGCAGGTTCAGGTTTCTAGAGCAGTACTCTGTGCAGCGGACCTCGTCGGGGCCCAGCTGTCGTGTTGTCGCTAATCCAGAGGACGAAGAATGTCTCGGAGGGTCTGAAAATGACTACGATCTTAGCGCTGGTTATGATCGTGAACGGACGGAGTGATTGACATATAGGGGCGCCTTCGTTGCAGGTGTCTGCTATAGGACTGGGGTGTATGAACTTCGTCGGCGTTTATAGTTACGGGAGGAATTCACTGGGCGAGGACGACGCCGTCGCCTTGATCCAACACGCATTCCACAACGGCGTCACATTTTTTGACACATCTGATGCCTACGGGCCATTGACGAGCGAGATCCTGCTGGGAAAGGTTGACAAATTTCCCTCCACTATGGCAATCGATTGTGTCTTCATCCTATAGTACCTGATCGACCCCTTCCTTCATCTGAGCAAGTGAAGACTAGGTCGTTAAAAGCTCTTCGTTGGTGGTTGGTTGTGGATTAGGCAATCAAAGACTTACCTCGAGACAAAGTACAGATTGCTACAAAATACGGGTACGTAATTGAAGCTGGGCGTATGGTGGGTGTCAGAGCTGATCCGGAATACATCCGGGAGCGGTGTGAAGCAAGCTTAAAGCGATTGGGTGTTGAGTATATTGATTTATACTTCCAGCATCGCACTGACACCACGGTCCCCATCGAAGTCACGGTGCGTTATTCTGTTACAGTTTGAATTTTCTGAGAGTGTTACGAGAAGGAAAGTCGCGATGAATGCCGATTATGGCCTGCTTTGGATCTCTGGCCGACATTCTCGAAGCGATTACAAGACTTGAAAGTGGGGCTGGTGTCGAAGCCCAGTGCCCAGTCTTAATGGCGGCTGTTCAGCGGTGCTGTTCAGGTCGGAGCACTTAAGCAGCTGGTGGAAGAAGGAAAAGTGAAGTACATCGGACTGTCGGAGGCAAGCGCGAGCACCATTCGCAGAGCTCATGCCGTTCATCCTATCACCGCGATTCAGATCGAATGGTCTCTGTGGACACGAGATATTGAAGAAGAGATTGTACCCGTTTGCAGGTCAGGTCTCATCTCCGTCTCGAGCTGTGCAGAGCGTAACCAGACAATCTACAAATGTAGGACTGTTTTGTGTTTCATCGTGCCAGTGTAGGAATTGGTTGAAATATATCTCAGCTGACTGTTTGACATTCTTCTCAACGTTGACAGCTAGATCTGAACAAGGTATGTCCGTGTCGCTTTCATGGACCTGCTTAATTGGCATCTCTAGAACTTCTACAAGCTGCTATTCCTCTGCGAAATATCTTACAAATGAATGCTCGCTTTGGATGTTTCTCGATATCTTGAAGTGCTCTGGCTCAGATGAATTCCACATGCTCAGATGTTAGTGTGATTCCCAGTGCCATTGGCTACTACATGCGTCTAATATTCTCGATATGGAAGTGTCTCATTTACTTTTTCTCTTCCACATCTGCTTCTGAATGACTGGTCATATCACCTGTCGAGATTGCAGAGAGCTCGGGATTGGCATCGTGCCATACAGTCCCCTAGGAAGGGGTTTCTTCGCGGGAAAAGCTGTTGTCGAGAAACTAGAGGACGGTGACCGGAGAACTGTAAGTCACTTGCACTTGTATACTTCGAGGATATGGGGCCGACAATCTTCATTCATCTACGTCGTAGGCGTGAATTTGGAGATGATGCTCTTCACATGACATTAATATTGGCTTCAACTCGAGTACATGACTACACTCGTACAACCTCCCAGCAAAACTTGCACATTTCCGAGCTTGTGATCAAACTACAGTATTTCACGACACTTATGTTATGAACGTCCTCACCTGAAATAGCGAATGTGCGTCCAGTTCTTAGACATCGAGAAATCATCGGGAGTTGCAACTCAGCAGGCAACTGTGTTTTCCTCAAATGCAGGATGTCCACCCCAGGTTCGCCGCATCGTGCATCGACAAGAACAAGATCTTGTACGAACGCGTTGCAGCTCTAGCTGCGAGACACGGATGCACACCAGCGCAGCTTGCCCTCGCTTGGGTCTTGCATCAAGGCGAAGACGTCGTCCCCATCCCTGGTAAGCACTCCTTTCAGCACTGCGATAAGGAACCACGATGTTCACATCCTGAACTCTTTGAACCCGAATTGTGTTACGGACCAATACTCATCCACTTCTTCCCGTCGAATCGCTGTACGTGCACTGCAGGAACGAGCAAAATATCGAACCTGGACATGAACCTCGTCGCTGCTCACATCAAGCTCGATGCACATGAGCTGGCAGAAGTAACAGCTGCCGTTCCCGAGGCTGAAGTCGCAGGAGCCAGAGCTAATCCCGTGATGGCAGCGAAGATGTGGCACGCTGCGGAAACGCCGCCTTTGAAGCAATAGAGGAACGAAGTGTTTGCCGGTCTTCATTTATACTCGACCCACTCACGCAGTTCGTCTCGTTTTCAACTCAGTTCCCATGTCGACTGCTCTGTCTGTCTGTCGAAGAAACTTGGGTTGTAACTCGGTTTAGGCCCTTGCCGTGCAAGGTTCGTGTCCAACCGACTGCGGTGGAGTCGTGACAACCGAGTACGGCTCTAAGTGTGCACGAGAGATCTCAAAACAAGAGTGAATGTTGCACTTCATCTTAATGGAAGCGAGGTGAAGATTCTGGATCAACCGTACACGCAATGCAAATGGCTGTCCCACCATTCCATCGTGAGTGCTGGTTTATGACCTATCAGTTGAATAAACACATGGAGAAAGTCGAGATACGCAGACCTTTCTGAAATTGGATCTTTCTGCTGCTGCGTGGGTTTGCTGGTAAGAGGTTTCGTCGATTTCGTGGGTGTTTGGTGAAACAAACAACACAACTGGAGAAGCTCTTCTTGCCTATTTTCACGTACGGGCATGAGCTCTCGCCGATGGCGGCTGGGCTTTGGAAGAGGTCACGGCTTCGACTTTCGATTCACTTCGTTCCCATGGATATCTGATTAGATTGAGAGAACTTTTGATCCAAGAATACAACTGTCAAGAACTCACAGACGCACGCGCAGTGCGTGAAATTTGTCTCGCTCGTCTCCACTTTGGATTCAACGTCTTAGTTCACTCCATCTGCTTGACAACATACATGTAGTTCATTATCGATGCAAAAAGTCTTGACCTTACAATTCATCTGTCTGATGGTCTTGTGATTCATTTACACAGAGTCACGCCAAAGTCGCGACCCCAGCACCGTAAACTAAATGTCCTCGAGGTATAGGAGTGAAGCTGGTTTGTGAGTACACCTGTGTTCGTGGAAGGATCTCGATGACGTATCCAACATGACAGACGTTGATAAAGATCACCGAGTCACTCCAAAAGAATGTAATACTTTGTGTGGGACAGTGTTGAACTCATACTACCCATCCACGAGTACATCAATCCATCACTACATATTGATGTTCTGATGTCAATCACAAACCAGACGTTTTGAACTTGCACAGGTCGGGGTCGCATGCAGACGGGCCAAAAACCGAGAAATGGAGATTATGAGAGCACCAGAACTTCTTTGCTTGCTTTAGAGAATCTTCAAAATAAGGGCTGTATGCCTTTTTCATGTTAAAAAATTTCTCGACGATGCAACCTTCATTAAACCAATCTGCAAAGTTCACATATACCTAAGCAGTGCCCTTAAATGGCCGTCTATTTGGAAGTTATTCTACATGCGATGTTAACAAATCATGATCATCTTCAGATCAAGAAACAGCAGCCAAGCGCTTGTTACCTCCTCAAATCCAGAGGATCAGTCAAATTGCAGGTTTCAGCTGTACAATACATCAACCCCTCGTGTTCTACACCGGGACCCGGAATCAAGAGGTGATCTACCCATAATTTCCTCCGCAGATTTCTAATCCGGTCACACCTCGATATGGTTGTTTGACATCTTTGGTCCGGTTGAGTTTATCCAAAACCTAAACCCTATCGATGTTGTCATTCACAAGCTTGTTCATTCGAACACTTCACATTTTACAGCTCGTTATACTCTTCCTGTACTTCGGTAGGTGCATAAGATCGTGCGCCTTGGACTGCAGAAGAGCACTCGCTGAAGCCCGACTTCAAAGTGGTTTCTTCGGCGCATGGAGGAGACACAGACGGAACTTCATAATTGACCTCTTTGCATTTGCCAATTGAAACCTCAAATTCGTTAACCTGTGTCTTCTATCCGGAGCTCATCAGGCGTGCAGTCGTCGCCGGAAGCTACATCACACCACAAGATGTTACATCCGGTTAGTCAAGCAGAAATGGACACAAGGACCGTGGTCATAAGACATCATGGTCGAAGCTGTAATCAGATCTGAAACGTAGGGTATCATCCAACTCAAGAAGAGAAACTCGGAGGGTCGAGAAGTTGTTCGAGAAAGTTCGTGCGTAGGAGGCTTGTAAGAGTGTCAACTGGTCTACATCTGAAGCTGTAGTCACTTGCCGTAATTATGTGGGACGATGACCAGCGGCACAGGGCAATGATGGGTGCAGTACTCAGTTGCGCTCCCAATCAGCAAGCTGCACGGAAAACAACGTATACACAATCAGTGCATTGTTTGTGCAAAAGGTGCAAGTGTTCGACTTTTTTCTGGGTTTGCATCTAAAGCAAGAACCCGTGGATTGCTGGCGGTGAGCGGAATAATGATTCAATAAATTCATTCCTCACCTTTTCATCAGGCCTAAACCACGGCTTCCCATAATCACAGCTACAGGTTGTAGTCTGGCAGCTTCGGCGCAAATTTCCTTCCCGGCATCTCCGTCTCTTAACACCGGGACAACCCTAACCTGACATTGTCAATAACAATGAGCTTAACGTCAATCCATCAAAAGCCTCCAGAGAAACCTTACATCAGATTCAGCGTCACTTGAGACCAGACCATTAACGAAGATTAATATCTGACGGAAATTATACCCTACCCTTGCAATGTCATAAGCTTCCTTGGCCAACTTCTGGAAAAGAACCTGCGTCGCTTCGTACACCGGGGAATCTGAGCGGCTTCCAGAAGTCGGACTGGTGCAGGAGACACCGGTTCCGGAAGACTCTGCACTACGGAACGCGGTTATCAGTCAGTGCCAAACTTTCCGACAGCATTCCCCGCACACATGTCAAAAAGATTGCTCAGACAGCTCCCACGTTGAGCCCAAGTCGCGACAGGTTGCGCAAAGGAAGGACATGTCCTGTGAACAAGTCCGGCCCTCATCCGAGCAAGACTCTCGCGCTGTACAAACCGCAGTGCCCTGTAACGAGACCCGTAAACAACGGACATAAGTTCTGGCGAAAGTAAAAAATCTTCTATTGAACAACCCGCCCACTTTTCTACGATGCCGCTGCAGGAGTAGGGCTCTCCATCAATCTCACCGAACTCTGGGTCTAGTTCTCCGGTTCGTTCGATCGGCACCCGGCTATCGGCACCGCTTTGGAGATCGGGTCGACAACTGGTACTCAGTCGAGCGCGGGAGGATAAGCAAGAATTCGGTGATCAAAGGAAGCCAATGTCGGGATACTCAACTGGGAAGCACATGCAGCAGATGCAGCTCATCGGCCTGCGTTACAAACTGCTTCAAAGCCCAATTGAATGCCTTTCGGCTGTTGGGTCCATGATCCACCGCCAGTAAAATGAGTCTCCCATTGACGAACTTTTCTTCCCGCTCCAATTCATACTCCGGCGGTGCCCGGCTCTCGGGGATCGCTCCGAGAGTCATGATGGCTCCGCTCCTCCGTCTATCGGTCTCGAAATGCTTCGCAACCCACGCTTCACGAATCCGCCCCGCACTGTCCTGACCTCGTGGAATCAACCTTGTCCTTCTAATCACCGCTCGACGCCTCCCCGACAATCGAACCCATGAGACAGAGAGACCCTACCTCCTCTTCTCTCCTCTTCACTTCTCTTCTCTTCTCTTCTCTTGCTCTCTGTGACCGCAAAGTCTCGGCCTCGACCACGAGACGAATGATGAACGAGAGCCGCTACGCTTCCACGTCGGCCGTGGAGTGTGCCGTAAAGCTAACTTTATGCGCTCGCCTCGCCCGGTGACGGCGAATTATATCCTTCAGCCGGACGAGCACGGAAGCCTCTAACGCGCAGCTTCTTGGCAGCTTCGTCTTCGTCTCGACGATCGATCGGGAGCTAAATCGGTGTCGTCCCCGGCCACGAAACGCCCGCTTGCTTGCCGGCGACCTCACTCGTCCTCGTCATGGAGTCCGATAGGGACGAGGTCCGTGCTGGCTTTCAGCAAAAGTGTGGGGGAGCTGTCCGGGGCTCTCACGAGCACATTTGCTGAGCTGAGCTGAGCTGCGCGCACGGTTGCTGATGTCGTCGTCGTCGTTGTAGTTGCTCGGCAGCGAATTCTGCCACCTCCTGCTGGCTAGCTGGGTCAGATCATGCGCAGCAGCAGAGCAGCAGCGAGCCCCAAGATCAATCTCAGCAGCGAGCACCGAAATTCCGAATCCTGGCTCGTCGTGCTGCTGCTGCACTTCGAGGAGTTTCCGGTCATCGTCAGCTCGCGACTGCCGCTCACGATCGGGAGACGGACGACGGCCGGAAGCCGAGCACGAGATCCACCGTGACCTGGACAGTGCAGGCTGACGACGGTGGTCGATATCGGACCCCTACATGAGCACGTCAGCCATGAACGAGATTATCTGATGACGTCATCCGTGCCTTCCTTCGGAGCGGTCCCGGCTACGTTCGGTGTTCCTGTAATCTCTCGATTTGGCTACTTCTGGGACTCCTTCGCGACTGGATTGCGTCTGTTCCGGTCTTGCCGTCGGTGACGTAACGTTCGAAGGAGTTCCCCGGAGCGTCCATAGTCGACCTGCCGGTCCTTCGATAATCCGACGTGCGCCCACTCCTGGACATGTCACATGCCTTGCGCTTGTCTTTCTGAGCCGACAAGTCTCGTCCAATCTTCATTCTTTCATGGAAAGCGCAGCCTCCTGAGAGAATCTGGACTTTTCGACAGGTGCGGTCAGTACTCGTCCGTCCGTTGGTCTGATTTAGAATATGGTGTAAATTCACTTTATTAGGAAGTGCCAGTAAAATAACATATTTATTTTACTTCTGACTGCCCCACCAGTCTGACCGGCTGCAATTCTGCTGGGGTACCTCTTTTATCTGTCCCATGGATGAAACCATGATGATGAGAAGTTTCCTACAGCATCCCAATCTAAATTTGGAGTAATTTACACCTTTGATCCTGCCTATATCTTGAGTAGGTCAAACATTCTACATCTTAATGCACAATGGAATGGTTATATTCTAAGGAATGATTTAAAGTAATAAATTTGACATCGAACAAGTTAAAGAAAGTGCTATTTACTAATGTGTAATTGGATATGGAATATTGTTCTTTCGTTAAGATTGCAACAGAAATCTTTTATCTTTGCAGGAGAAATATCTATTTTCACATGTTTGCATTTTGTTAGAGCCTAGCATAACCAAATCTTTTTCTACAAAAATTTTGAACTCATTTTTCATCAAACTTATCACAAAATAGTTTTTTAACCTTGTTGTTATGATTTCTGAAAAATATTTCATTGGTTTCATATGTGGTGAAATAGTTATCTAACTCTAGTCTATATAAAATTCAATTCGACATTGAGAGTATACTGTGTTTAAAACCATTGCATATCTTGAAACATTGTTCTAGACATATTCAAATTTCAACTGATAATCTTTCATTATTCAAGTTTCAACTTTGAAAATATTTATTGTTGAAAAATCCTGATAAATATTTTAAATAAATAAATAAATATTTATTTATTTACTTATATTTATATATTTATAGATTTATTTCATGTACGAGGACAAGAAATGAATTTGTACATTTGTTAAAACTATAACTCAAGTTTCATTCAGTTGCATTGTATTCAATCGAAATGCCCACACGAGTTGTTTTATTTTTCTTCCTTAAGTCATATCTTTCCAAACACACCCTTCTGATATTCATTTCAAACATGTATAAATCTTAGAATCACTTTTACTATCAAATTGAAATTATCACATGAGTATGCACATACGTTTAACTATTTGAAATTTTGAAACAAAAGCATTGATATTCCTGCCTTGTCACTTCGTTCTCATTTTTTAGTTTAGAAAAAAATTTAAACGAAGTTTTGTCTTAAAGTTCAAAAACATTGAAAATGAACACTGTCATTTTGAGAACCAATGATTTCAAATGTACTTCATCTTAACTTAAATGTTTGGAGTCAAAATAAGAGTTGAACGCATTCACATTCACCAAGAGACGCTTGCATTCGGGTAAGTTGAGTCCTGTACCACTTGTCATGAACTTTTAACCTTAGTTTTGCAGCATTCCAAGGAACCGGAGCCTGCAATTCCAGACCAGCTATTAACTTTAACACATTGTTTGCGCATCATTCAAAGATTTTAACCTGAAATAGATTAGAGATTATAAATGTAATGCAGAGAATGAGCTTATGAATCATTCATAATATAACACTTTATTACAATTTCAAATTATGAACATATTCGTAATTTCTAGAGGACTAATAAATATGAAATGGACTTCAATTATCTAAATTACCATAATTAAAAAATATTTGAAATTCATAATGATCAAATTAAAGCAAAAAATCAATCCAGAGTATAAATCTTGTGTTTATAAACCTCATCACTAATTTCATGTAATTATTATCAAACATATATTGAACATGAAAATGATTGAATTAAAAACTTGGAATACAGAATTAAAAAATTAGTTCTTGATAATCACATAAATTTCTCTATATGTCTCAGCTCACTTCAAGTATATCTATTGGAACAACTGTCCCTTAAAAAAATTGGGAATAAAATTTGGTTCTTTAATTGTTTCAGTATTGACAATTAGTTGTAATGGATAAGTTAAGAAATATCTGCTTAATTTACAACGATTTATTATAGTCTATTAGTATTTCAATGTTATCTGTCTGATTACCTTGCAGAAAACAAAAAAATTTGACATATAATACTGAAATAATCTTATTTTATCAAACTATCGTTTGGTTTCGTATCATCATTATATACTCCTAATATGTATTTTTTCATGGATAACATGAGCTTTCCATAAAATCATATGCCCAAGTACACTTTTGCTAGCTCTTTCACCAATATATCGAATCAATTTTTTAATAAAAAATGTAAAGCTAAAACAAGAATTAAATTAGCTATTTGTTCTTCTATTTCTTTATAAAGCATATTGGCACTTGCTTCATTGGCCTTCGATCTATTTCAATCCATTTCCCGTTTTAGAGTAATATCGCATTATGCTCAAACAAAACATAGATTAGACAATTTCATATATTAAAATCTTGAAAAATACTAGAAATATTCCACGTTTTGGATATATCTATATGTTGTTGCATATAGGCATAAAAATTTTTGAATTATAAATTTATTTCCATCATTTACGGTTAGAAAGTCTTCTTCAAAGGTTTTTGCTCAACCTCGTGCGACAATTGTTCTTGAAAGAATGGCTGGTTACAAACCATGATCGACTTGAGGGAATGACATGGTCGAAGAAGGCCTCGAAGAAGGCCCTTGGACGCCAAGCAAGGGCAGGCCATAAGACAACAAGGTCCAGCCACCGCAGCCAGAAAGATGCTTGGGCACGGACGCCATGACAGCTGCTAGTGAATGAAAGGGGGCGTACAAGGGAACCAATACTCATGTGTCATCGACATTCAACTTCACCTGCGAACTTTTGGGGATTCTCCGAAGTCCGGAATCCGTGCCGGATGAAGTGGACACAGAGACACAGTGGAGATGTCGACCAGAGTCCACACTCGATACTCCGTCCGTCGACCCTGCGATTGAAAGTGCCATGCAAAGTGAGCAAGAGCTTGCTTGACAACGCTTGATCTCTCCTCCCCTCCCTCGCATGTATAAAAAATCAGTTCTCGTGCTTCAGCGATAGCCTTGCCTCTTCTCTCCCAGGGTTTCCACGTTCCTAGTTTGAGTCGTTTCCACATTATGATTGTGGGTCCCTTGCAGTTCTGTATGACGAGGTGGGTCCTTCTGGGATCTGCTCTTCCGTTCGTGTCCAGAAAGTTTGCTCGACTGTCCTCTGTACTGCAAAATGCTATTGTGTCCTGCTTTCTTGGTATGAACATCGTTCGAGGATGACGACGTCGTGGACGTTGTGTAAGGAAGGACGGGGCTTCGCTAATATATCGCAGCAACCCCGGTAAGCTTATTGGGACCACATGGTCAAAAAATGAGCCCAGATACTTGTTCACAATCAATGCCACTCTCAGAATTGTCCCGCCTGCTCTTTCGTTGTACTACACAAAACAGTGAGACGATAGAGTTTCAAGGTAGTAATGGACGACAATAGCTGCTTAATCGTCCACAGTGCGGTTGTCTTATACACATGACCTTTAGACTGGTCGGCTCTCCAGACAGTTCTTCATTCTCGAAGATTACGTCGTACGTTGGAGGTCCAACGGGATATGCGCGAGAGTTGTTGGACAATACAAACGAGCTTTACATGTTGTACTTAAAAATTGTACACCTCGTCACGACCGCAATTTCTAAACGACTTTCAAATTTCCTTGGGAAAATCTCTCTATATCATGATCACGATGCGCTAGTTGGTGAGCCATGAATGTGAGGTGCAGCCAAAAATATCCTCTACACCCTCAGGCGCTTGCCAGGATGACCATCATCATCAACATTACCTCTGTCATCGTCGAATGAACCCCCACCGCCCCCAGACTTATCCTTCTTTTTCCTATCTAATATCTGATTGATTTTATGTAACTCATTATTCAGCTTCTGGTCTTTGTTCTGTTTGCGGGTTTTCCGTCCATCTTGCATTTTCACCCCGAACTGAAATGCTGCTTTGGGCATCGCCTCCTTCTGTTCGTTATACGTAGCCCACTCCTCCTCAGTCTCGAAGTCCCAACGGTGTAGCCGGCCTTTAGCCTGCGAAGTCAACAAGCTTCAACGCTTAAGATATCACACACTCATCAAAACTGTGTACGAGGGCCGTAGACCATGTCAAGTTCCAGTCTACGGCTCGCGTACAACTGCTTGAGTGAAAGTCCAGGTGGAAATATATGTTCATACGTGATGCATCCTTTCATTTCTTCGTTCGCAATTCGAGGTTCTTCGGTATACGAACTGGGAAAGAAATGACTTCTCACATTCTCGTATATCTCGTTGGATATAGCAAGGAGGCTGGAGGTTAAATATAATCGAGAGTTCGACCAGTGATAACTATTTCAGATTATGAGTGTGGTGAGTTCAGACAACCTTTCTCGTAGGAGCCCGTGACGAGTTTAGAGGAGGGGGTTTATAAGCCAGTACATGCATGGAAACAGGAAATAGGCTCAAGCAACAACAGGATCAACGATGTGACCGATCTGCAGGTTTTAGGTTTCTTTACAACAAAAAAAGGAGGAAGTCGCCTCACCCGTCCGCCCATGTCCATTTTGGTAAGATCTTCGTCCTCATCACTGTCCACAATTTCCCGGTTATACTCTTGATAACCTGGATAGCACTCCGAATAGCTCTCTGAAATAAAGTTTGGATCCTTCTCCCTCGCATCACGCTCTCGACGTTGTTGCAGTCTTTGGTCGTCACGCTTGAAGACAGACCCAAGACCCCGGTCCTTCTCGTCTTGTGTCATAAAACGCGGATCCCTAATTGCCAGCTGACCAGCTGCAGCAAATTCAGCTGCTTGTGGGTACGCGTCCCCGAACTGGTACTGCTCCTGGGGCCACGGCCCTACATACTGCTCTGGAGGAGGCGGAGGATACTCGTTCCATTCTCCTGTTGGATAAGCGGAAGGCAATGCTGGTCCTGGTGCCATCTCGTCGAATGGAACCTGCGGCCGACAAAGTCCGTCAAACAAAGACAGATCGCTCTGAGATACAGAGATCTTAGCGTTACAAATACTTAACCCTAGTAACTTCTTTCTGATCATGTGGATCATGCGGGCATCTGAACTGCGCCAGGAGTCCATTGACAGCTTGCATTTGTATAAACTAGTCTACTTGAAACCGGTAAAATTACGAGCATGGCAGAGAGAGGGGGCTTTTGATCATCGAGCCAGCAGAATTTGGACAATGTGTTTACGCCAAGGTTTTCTCGACATTAGAAGTTGAGTCCAATTCACAACAAAATCTTAAATTCATACTACTTTCACAAGAGCTTGCTCGCCCCACCTGTTGGAGCCACTCTTGGCCCATTGGCTGTGGAGGGGCAGGTCCATATGCCGGCTCGCTGAAATAAGTATTCCGTTCGCCGTCTCTTGGGGATTCTTCCATATCCTCAGAAAGAGGACTGCCCTCATTAATTGTGGTAGCATACTCTGTTCCGGCGTCCTCGAAAATATCATCCTCGATATTTCGACGACTGATCGCACTTGGCTGTTCAGCCCCGTCAAAATGGGATCTTCGATGCGGAGGAGGCGGCGGAAGCATAGTATGTTCCTGGTGACGACTAGAGAAACCGTTTATGCCCATAGCCTGGGCAGCCTTCTCTGCCTCATCAGCAAGAGTGTTTTCTTCGGCGATACTCGAGCTTCTTCCTGGAAAATGACAGTCCACAAAAGAAAGCTCGTGCTTTCCATGTCAATCAAAGTGATATGCAAAGTCGAAGTCCAGAAGTAGCATGAATCAATACATATCTCGTATAAACACAAGAAAGTCTGACGAGATTATCGAAAGGCAGAGGTCAAAAGACGGTGTAATTACCCCTATTATCCCCCTTCTCTTTCTTCTTCTTCTTGAGCTGCACAAACAAGTCCAATTTCAGTAAAAACCTCACTATTACATAGAAGGACACTTTTCTTGGGCTACGCAAGCCTTCACCTTCACAAATTGTTTTGATAAATATCGTGAAAGTGTTCAATCGTTCAACAACCAACCTTGCCCGACGCTCCCAGACGAAGGTAAGCCATAATTTTTGCAATTCGCTCCAATACAGTCCCATCCACACCAACCGTGACGGTTTCCTACAGACGAAAGATGTCCGTCATTTCCTGAATATTGAGCGTATGCCGTATTAAGACATGGATAGATTCGCAAACACGTATTCTTGAACGAAACACTAAATATGAAATAACAGTCAGGAGCAACGTCCTGACCTCGAGGCTTTGCAGGATATGACAGAACCGGAGCAAGAAGCCGACGCGTGCAAAAGTAACCAAATCTATCAGAGCGGAGGAGCAATGCGGCAGATAACTCAATTTACTCCATATATCAAAAGTTGCAGCATGTATACTACTCGCTTTCATCGGACAACAATAACCATCTAAAACTAAGCATCACATATATCACCGATACCTGTGGTGAGGGGCAATCGGCTTTGCTCCGATGTACAGTTGTTGGAATGTCATGTGAAAACTCCTCATCCTACAGAGTAACGGACGTTGGTTAGGTGAGGGAATCACAACCTACAGCATTCGTGGTTCATTAGCACATGGAACACAAGCAATGGTGTCTTGCTTACAAGAGTTTCACTAAACTTTAAAACTATCTCATCATTCAGGTCTAGTGCATAGGGAACTTGGGCGTGAAAACTTCAAATAACTTTTGTTTATGAAAAAGCACAGACTATTTAAGCGTATGGTGAATCTGAAGTTTAAAAATCTTTCTGACATGTCCATAACCTGGGTTAACATCCGTGTTCCGTATTCCATTTTCAGAGTATTTGGGAGTAATATATTCGAGACTTTGACCTTGTGAGTGCAATTTTTTTCAATATTGACTCGGGCTGAAGTATATACGGCATACGATATTGTTGAATCTACGAGTTGTCAATAAACCGTCATAATCTCAGTCTTCCACGCTACGAAACCTCACCATGTCGAAAACAAAAGCAGTGCGTCCTGGAAGGAACATTTCGTTCAGCTTGTTTGTGGTTTGAGGCTTCACGGTCCATTGAAATATAACCTGTAGGCACAAAGGTAGACCAGTAGATATACTCAGTTATTTGCCAAAGAAGATCACTCTCCGTACTCTGCAGAGTAAGGTGGGTGAGCAAAGAACCAAAAGAATACTAAGAGCACCACGATTCAACCCAAATATCAGAAAATATACCGATAACAAAGGTCAACCTTTGCCCTCTGTTTCTCAGTTTCTGGCACAAATGTGTTGTTCCTGTGCGGAAACCGCTGCTTGACTGAACGAAAGAAAATTCACAAATTATCACTGCACGTCGTGCTTATGTCTAGTAGATTATGTAGACTTATTAATCATACATTCTTATTCGGACATTCATAAAGCACCCGGCAGTAATGACCCGCACCAGCCGACAAACTTCTTACTTCCCATAAACAACCACATACCTTCGCTGTCGCTGTTCTGAACGCCAATGCCTGATCTTCCTTGCGTTGTCTGCGTTTGTCCAAGTCGAGGTTCTTCAGATTTATAACTTTTCATTCATCAGGTTGGAATCAGGTTGGAATTAAGCTTGCTCAAAACTGCCACAACTTGGAAATGTATGTTGGATAGATTATGATGAGAGAGGATGTAGAGATAGGACTAAGACCTTCGTCTTTCCTCATCTGCAATTTCCTGGTCTTCCGGTCGTTTGTCAATCTCACTACGTACTTTGTGAAGTAAGGCGTAATCCAAACCCTTCACTAAATGAGTATGCTCCACATCACCTGCAACAACAAATACATACTATGTAAGTTCAAAGTTTCACCAAATAGCTGAGACCACTACACCGCATTGATCCAGACTCAAAAGCCAGGATTCACACTTGCTGATGTTACCGGAAAGGAAGTAAAATAATAACCAGAAAAGGAATTGCTAGCTTAGATTCTACTGGTGCTACTATCGATAGAAGTCTAAGGCTGTCTAAGTCTATTTTCTGAGCTGATGCTCAGAAAATAGACTTCCATCAAGACCTACTAAAGAGTGTCAACTGTACAAGGTAAAACTTAGAAGAAAGATATTAAACAACAAGATGAGCTGTGTACACAGTAATTATTGTGGAAATTGGAATGCAAGAAATCCCGTGAACTTAACGGTGAATCTCCAAATATATTCTTACCACTGGAGGAGATTATGGGTCAGCTGGTAAACTTGGATCCACTCCAGTTTATTAAAGTAGGGGAAGCGGAGAACGCTAGGTAGAGACGTAAGAGTTTATCCTCGGTGGTTCAGTACCGGTTACAACTTTACTCCTTGGTATTCACCTGTCGTAGTCTGAAAGCGTGCTCATGCACAAAGCGCCCTGATGAAAGACAGAAGATTTACAAAGATGGGATGGATTGGAAGGCTTAAGAAGGAAGGATGTCTGATAGTCAAAAGCGTCTCTCTTACAGTGGGAATTTCTAAGGTGAAAGAGGTTCGGACCGAACTTCCAAGTTTCGAAGAGTAGAACCTTCACGAACTCATTCCCTTGTCTAAGTGTCTGTTGAGTGGCTCACCACTGGTTACAGAACGTAGTGATATCCACTACGCAATATTAACTTTTCATGTCCAATTACCATAATCGCTTACAAGGTACATGGTCCACCTAAAGAGGGCTAAGAGATGCACTATCTTTTGAAATCAGCGGGTACTTATGATTTCTACACTCTGTGCGTGTAACTTCAGCGTGTAAAATCTGTCTATGTTTCTTTCTTAGTCATTCCAAAAGTGTCTCTTTGTCTAGTAACTACCTTTCTCAAAACACATGGACTTGTGACATGATGTTATCCTTTACAAGACATTATCACTCGTAGCTCCTGTCCCAGTTTACAATGTCAGGATTGAATCAATGAAGAGATAAGGAGGATGAAATCATCGAAAGTTTGTGAAATATATTGAACGATGAAAGGGGCTCATACATCCAATCCAAACCGTTTCGGGTCTCAAACAGGACATATTTCTTAGTTCATTTCTGGTTTTCTAGACTAATTCAGTAGCAGAATGCCTGACGTCCTCCACTAACTGATGCTTTTTACCTTCAGAGAAGAGTGGAGTTGAGGAGTGTGGATAGCATACCTCCTAAAAACTTGCTGTTTTCGATGGAGATTCTGTGAGCATCAGATGTTCTGCAGCAACAGGGAAATTTTAATAACAGGAGACAAACAAGAATACATTGGAGTTGATTCCAACGAAGTCACAGCAGCTATTTGATACACTGGGTAAAGCTAACGGAAGGTGACAGAAGATGATGTCTACAAAGAAAAATTTCTCATACACATAGGAAAGAAAAACAGAGAGGAGTTGAGTGATCTGCCATGCTATCGTTACGAAGCTTAATGTCTCTTTAACTCAGGTAATGTTGATTCATACAGCCAAACTGTGTATATTCTAGAAGTCAACCTAATACCTTGAATGACGTTTCAAAAAACAGTAACCAAAAACAAGCACCCTACCGCAAGTCCACTGTGCCTGGAGGAGCAACAGCATGGAGGGAACCAAGCTCAGCAGCAGTGTGGTCGTAATCAGGATTCACATCCTCTCGACGCTCCTTCGCTCTATCACGGTATCTAGGTTGCTCTGGATCCTCAGGCTTCTCTTCCCTGTGTCACAATGAAACTCAATCATTCCAGCAAAGCCTACATTGTACGTGATAGTACCCATGTACAGAAAAAAATAAGGAGTATTGAGAATCGTAAGCCTAGGCTCTCCAGCAATAGATAGATTAGGATAAAATTCCCACTAATCCCAAACTGGTGTTGAGTGTCTATCAAACTTTATGATAAGTCGAAGTCTCTCACTCTTTTGTTTTGAGCTTGAATTTCCGCGGGTTTTTCTTGTCGTCTTCTTCTTCGCCCACCTCCAGACGTTTGATGCGACTGAATGCAGAGAAAAGCAACATGCAGATTAAACCTCTTGTCCGAAACTAAAGTGGCGTTGCAGCTAATACATAAACGATTTCACAAGTGACCATATTACGACATTATCCAAGTTGAAAAAAAATACGGGAAAGTGAGAAAATGAAAGTGGTAGCTGTGCATTGTATTCTCATGTTAAGACATGGATAGTGGGTGTCGAAGAATGGCTTGATGCCTCCGACATGACAATCGACAGGCTTAAGACCGGCAAAATAACTTCCAAAGTAGTGCCACAACAGAAATTCTCCCAGAAGCACCACCGGATAGGATCGATAAATTTGAATCAAACTACCTGCGCGGTTTATCCTTTCCCTTCTCGTCACCTTTGCGAGGGGTCTCCATAACCATTCGCCTGAAATCTGCGTTTGACAGATTCGCAGGCCGTCCGTCGACATCTCCATCATCATACTGATCTCTTCTATCTTTGCCACCACCGGGACGAGGTGGAGGTGGCAGAGGATTCGAAATAGGCATTTCATCTTCATACTCGTCTTCCATTTCCACGGCCATCCCCATTCACTTTCCAAACAATCTTAATTTCCTCAGCCTCTTTCTCCCTGCGCTTCCTTTCTTCCTCCCTTAAGTTCAGACCACCATACGAAGCATCGCAATTTCACATCTCTCTTCCTCTCTCAGCGATCAATCCGCATGCCGTGGCCCGACCACGACAAGACTGCTTCCGTCGCTCTGCTCCCGAGTGCGACCGTAGGCTCCGACGATTTCCAAGTTCAAATGCCTGCAGTAGTAGTCTGGACATCAAGAAATAAACGTAAAGGAATGTGGGTAAGGCGCTGCAGCGAGTCCGTGAGGGAGGGCTATTGCTGCTATTCCGTTTCTTAGGTCCAGGGGCTGTAAGTCCACATTTGCCCCTTGTTTGATCATCTCTTTCTTACTTTCTCGTTTCTTGAGGCTGGATGTAAATCGATGGAGAATACTTCGTTCGAGTTTTGCGTGTCAAGCGAATGAGTTCTTGGGAAGTGTGTTTGATCACTACACAATCTGAACCTGATGATATGAATTATTAGATTAGGGCTTTTCAACCTATAGAGTAAAAATATTTTATAGACGCAGAAAGTTTTCAAAACACCGAGGTACTGCTCTTCTAAAAGTTTTAGAAGAGCTTACTGACAGAAGTGAGTATAACTATTTTCAGTCAAATGATTGAATACAAGATAGGTCAAAGAAACTCACATGAATGCAATGAAATGGATCATGGTATCTAATCCCAAAAAAATGATATCCAATGAATAGAGTAATTTTACTTAACGATAATTGCTGTTACCGCGTCAAGTTCTTTATGATCAGAAAAGCTTACCGGGAGAAACAAATGAAATTATTTTCCAGTCAAATACTCATATGTACAATATAACTTCAGCCCAAGAGAATCCTTTGCATATAATGAAATGTGTGGAAGTCTATCAAAACTTTGGTTATTTTTAATGGAGTCTCATGATACAAATAATAGTAATTAAGGTTGTAATTAAGTCTATAATAATAAAATCTACAAGCATGTATTACATTATTTTAATAACAAATATATTGATTAAAATAACCTTTTGATACAAAAATATCTAATGCCCTGCATCTTCACCATGAATTTGGTGAATTTTTCATAATCTAAAAATTTTAAATAATAAAACCCATAGAGCTTTTATCCTTGGATATGTACACCTAATTAAACTGTATTTAATGCTTCATTAAAAAATATTTCTGAATTTTTGTATATGATATTAACTACATATCCAAGATTTAGTTATCAACCAGATATAAATCTCACGTTTAGCTCTCCTTGTTATGGCTCATCATATCTTTGTTTACTTACTCATTCATTAATTCTCTAATTGAATGCACTAATGGTAGGAATTTTTTTTAATCATATTTCTTGTTGTTTCAGTCTAGTATGATTTGTTGGTAGGAGTAGATTAGCTTGGTATCATCATCAACTATCTTATCTGTAAGATCTTAACATAAATGAAGTAATTACCAAGCTCCACGCTTATTTCACACAAATATTAAAACATATATACATATTAATTCACCTAATTTTATCAAGTAACATTAATTAATTTAAAGCTCCCAGTTAAGAATCGCATAGTGCTTAAACAAATGAATATCGAAACAAATTTTCGAAGTAAAATGATCTTTCCAGGAAAGTGTTCACAGATTTCAGTACTGCAATTGGGGTTAGTAGTCGGGACTTATTATAGTATATATAACAAGTTTTAATCATCTACATATTACTCGTTTAAGCTTGACAAGTGATCTCTCTTTCCGCTTATCTTTCAGATTGACATTTGTTTTTGAGCTTGAATGTTTATCAATCTCTATAATATGATCTAATTGGAACATGCTACAAGAGTTAATATTGTGTATAATCTCTATTCCAGTGTTCGTATGAAAATAATAAATTGCATAGATCCAAAAATATGAATTTTTTGAATTTTTTTCTAGATAAATCACAGTATGACATAAGATTAGTTCCAAAATTATACCTTAAATCTATTTAGTTTGATAGTTTGGCAATATTTTGCAAAAATGATTGGGAATTCAAACGCATGTTTAAAATTTGTGTCGTTATATGCTAACTTAGTTCAATAAGACCACATGATTGTTCATTAAGTAATTTTTACTACATGAAATAAAAAATAAGTTAGTAAATTTATATGCCAATTGATAACTCTAAAATCAAAGCTTTTAAATTTTTGCAATATGAAAGATGAACATAAAAGAAATTAAACTTACCTTTTTATTTTTTATTGATGATGTTATCAAAATGATCAAAAATCATATGATTATTCAAACATTCACAAATCAATTTATAATCATTACTTAAGTGTAAGATTCAATTATATTTATTTTTCAGCTAGATTTTTTCATTGGGTTATATATTAAAGTAATTTACATTATATGAAAATTGGTGTGAGAATATATATCTTCACACAATTTACATCGTTGATATGTCATATTCTCACACACACATAGGAAACTAGATCATACATACATATGAGTGATTTAACCTATGCTCTACCTAAGGCCAACTCATCAGATTAAGTTTGCGAAATATAGACAACATGTAAACATACAGAATACATTTATAGTGTAAGATTAAAATTAAATTGACTAACAAAATTAAATTTTTGTTAGTCATAGAAGCCAATCTAATACAACTTCATTGCTGTTTTATTCATCCATATTTTAGTTGTTATGCTGTAACATATTACATTCTTCTCATATTTCTCTAATATTTCTAGAGTAATTTGAATTTTATTTTTAATAGAATCAAACAAGGATATATTCTGTATTCGGAACGCCTGGCCTTGGTTCGTGGGGGCGTCCCTTTCCGGGCCTGGACCCGTGAATTTCATATTTTGATTTAAAGGTGAGATTTTATATTTTAAATCAGTAGCTTTAAATATGTAGCAATATGTATACCATAATGTGATTTTAATTTATTACAGAGTTTCCAAATTGGAAAATATGAAAAGAAACTCACATGTGATTTTCAGTTTCTTGCAGTTTCATAGAAAGTACATGTTTTCCTTGACATCTGACATAATCATTTTTGGAAAAGTTTTGGGAAGACATCTTGAATGTCTTAATCACAATTTGAGTTCTGCATGATACTTTTCGCATCTTCGAATTTGAATAATCACATTAAACTCAAAATGTCATACCTGTGAACTTCAGAACAACTAATAGTCTACACTAGTCTACTGTCAGCTAGTTTTCATGGGTTCTTAACTCAAGAATTTGGGTTAGTCGACGCGAAAATGAAGGGTTAAGTTGAAAAGGCCTCCGCATAAATTCATTTCCCGTGTTTCTTCACACTTTTCATTCAAAATGCTATTGTTCGAAGATGTTTGCAGTTGGATGGCTACATTGTACTTTTGATTGTTATCGCTGATCTTGATGACTTTAAGTATGTTTGGACTTAGGAATCCCCATAATCATAATTGCGTTTTAAGATCTTCTTGGGATAGTCCACTCAGCTCCACGCATTCAATGTAATCCTTTAACACAGAGTACATCAAGTGGGCAAGACCGAATTCCATGATGGTGACGCTACTCTGCGGTGCAAGTTGGTAACTGTAACAGCTTGGGAGTCTCTCCGTTCATATTCGCAAGCAAAGTCTCAGGAAATGTAAATTTCTTGACGGCCCAGTTACGAAGGTTTTCTAATGTTGTTTATACTCGTAAGCAGAATCTTAAGAACTGTAAATATCTTGACGTGCCCAGTTCCAAAGGTGTTATATTATTGTAGCTGCATGCTAGTTGATCTCAATTGTTCTCGATATGAATTACCCTCGGATGTTCGTCTTCATTACAAGCCTGTATTGTACTCTCATCCTGGAAGAACCGTTGTGACTTGGTAAAGACTCAGTAGCAAGTGTGAGAGCAGAGTAGGTGTACACGGCACGACTGAGCCGATTTAAGATCACCATCTCACTCTACGGTCCGAGAAGTTGCATTAGACAGCTGACAGTTTTTTCTGTAGTCTACGAACATTTACGTCGAAATGACACAACTAGCATTCTCAATAACCAACCGATAATCGCACATCGGACGAGGAACTGCGACATCCTGGGCTTAGCCAATCCTTTACGACGACATTCATTTTACTAGGGGAAGGACATGTACGGTGTCCCCAACGTACACGCCGTAAGTTCTCAGATCTCTGAGGTTCCAACGACCATCATACCAAAAAGTGCTGAAAGCGATACTGAGAAGGGTGAGATATGGATATCTAACCACTGTTCTACACAACAATTGCTCGGGCGAAAGTAATGCGGGGTTTTTGAAACCTACTGTTTCATCATCCTCTTCGTTACCCTGAAGCGTTGTAACTTCTTCCTACAACGCTCTCCTCCTGTTAATTATATCTCTGGTCAATGTAAGTGATTCAATTTGCCATCTCACGATATAGTTTGTTCCTGATGGAACCAGGGTTTGTGGAGGAGTTCAGATTTCGGGTAGCAAGAGTGCGCTTTCTCCCATCCAAATCGTTCTTTCGGACGTACTCAGACGAGTATACATTACGTTCATACGGTGTACTCTGCTACTCGCTCGCGAACATTCTTGAGGTCTTTGGTCAGTAGAAGCTCATGACAGTCTATCTTCCGATTTATCTCGAGGCAAGATTTGTAACATTCAGCCAAGATTCCAACGACGGGTGCACAAGGATTCCATCCGTCGGAAAAAGATTCAGTCATGAAGGCACACCGCCCTTTCGTACGTATACTCGCGCAATTCTTACCATGTCTCCTGTTCTAGATTGTGTGACAGATGAGCTTCACAATGATCAAGTGAGCTTCACATGCATCGTAGTCTCCTTTACTAGAAACCACGTAATTTCCAAGACATGACAAGGTCTGGGCTAGGATTTAGGACCCTAAAAGGATTTGGAAAAGCTCCACAAATCCTCACATTAATCTTCAAAATTCCCTGTTGCAGCTTAGTAGATTTGATCCAAATACGTGCAAAACTGTGATGGGCATAGATTGCTTCTGTATCCATTGATGGCCAACTCTTTCGTTTACAGGTAATGGAATGACTCAAAGAAGAATACTCTGCGCTGACAACAGTTTCACTCTGCAGGCAAAAGATTGAAGTTCCAATACTAAATTGTATAAAATCTTCTACAAGACAGCTTACGCGCTCTACAGTTTGGGCTCTCTGTACTTCAAGAATATTACGTGAACCAACTCTCAAATTTTTTCAAAGCTTCAACACGCAAAACAGAACAACCCACTCAGACTCGGGAAAATTTCTAGAACTGCCAAGAATTGCCCCGGATTTACACAATGGGGCAGTCCTTTTATCCCCGAGTAAAGTACAAGCAACAGAGTACAACTGCACACATCGGAGCGGCAATCTTCGCGCCAAAACGAAGCACAGGATATATACAAAATCTACCAGCCCGTGCATGCATGCATGCATGCGGGTGCATTGCCTCAGAGTACAACTATTGTGTGAACACAAAATGTCGATCGACAACAGCCAAGCCTATGAATAAATGTAACGACGCATCTCGCAATCTCAAGCCAAAATCATCTACTCCGACGTCTCGCTAGCCACCTCTTTTGTGTCAGCTGCCTTCTTGGGCTTCCTCCCCGGTCTCTTCCTTGGCTTGTCGGCTGCAGCAGCCATTGTTTTCATCGCTGGCTTCTTGTTCTCTTTGGCAGACGGCAATTTCTCCTCCTCCTCGGCTGCAGCTTTTGGTGGCCTTCCTCTCTTTCTTGCTACTTTGGACGGTTGCGTCTTCTCTTCGACACCATTCCCGTTAACGCTAGATCCGGACTTGGATGATGAAGTCTTCGTCGCGTTCGTGGCCTTGGACTGGTCCTTCGTGACGACAGGTTGTGGCTTCACCTTGGTCCGGATGGGCTGCTTCCTGATTTCTTTGATAGGTACAGAATTCTCCCCATCGTCAGCTGACTTCTTTCTGCCACTACCAGGTCGTTTGACAACCTGCTTTTGGGCGTCGACCTCCTTCGAATCATGGGCTAGCTTCTTGCCTTCTTCACCAGAAGATTCAAGCAACGGAGGTTCAACTTCTCCCAAAGTGCACACTCTGGTCCACACGTCCTCTTCCACAGGTACCACGGACAACCTCGGCTGCCGGAACATCAAAAAGTCCGCCATCTCGTCGTCCTCTTTCATCTGCGCCAGTGTGACTGGGCTCTTCAGGGCTACAACCTCTTGGACGTCGACAGCTCCCCATTTTCCCGTGTCATCGGTGGGATCAGGGTAGAAGGGCTTGACGACACGGACGATTCCGCACACCTCCTTGAGCTTTCCAGTGTGGTAGAAGAAGCACAGATCACCTTCGACCATATTCCTCATGGCATTTTGGGCCTGGTGATTCCTCACTCCGTCCCACACGGACATACCCTTGTTAGCCGTCTGATTGTCCCAGGACCAGCAGTCCGGCTCCGTTTTGAGCAACCAATAGTTCCCCATTTGAGGACGCTCGTCGGCAACAGGAATCGCTGAGCAATCTCCAGCGCGGTATCCGCCCTCGCGCAGCTTGCGGAGAATCGGACCCTTCTGAAAGTTGAGCTGGCGCGGGAACAACTCCACTAGTGACCTTCGAAACTCAAAGCACTTGAAAGCCAGCATCAATAATCGAAAATCCCACTTTCCCGCTCTCAATTTTTCCTGCACACGAAGACTGCTCTGCGAAGCTCTGGCGCTGCCCCAGCTCCAGCTCCGTCACTCATCTCGAGCTCATCGATGCCCCTGCCAGGAAACGGCCTGCACAATTGCACGACAAGAGGGCATATCCAAGATCAGACAGCCAAGTTCGCCTGCTCATGCTCCGCTCCTCCGCTCGGCAATTGTGTGCGCTCGACCAATCTGTCAGTCAGTCGACTGCGGGAATGGCGAGGAAAATCGAGGGTACGAAGGAACGGTGGTAGACACCGAGGTTCGTTAGTGGGCCTAGAGCGAATCTGCGCATGGCCGAAACCGAAAATCCTCAAGATTCTTGATGGCGCCATGTCCGTCTGTCCCGGGGGCGTTCAATTCTCACGCTCGAGCCCGTCCATCGTCATCATCAGAGCGTCCGAGGGAGCTGCCGAGTCCCCGAGCTTCGACGCTTCTCCCGCCGGTCGCCCACTCCACTCCACATCGGATCGGTCCGGTCCGGTCAGTGGCCGATCCGACGAGGAGCAGGAGGAAGCATAAGGCCTCCCAGCACCCGAAACGGTCGCATGAACCACTCCTCCCCGGGCCCCCAAATACTCCTGTGGCGGCGGTGTTCCTGTTCCCGTTTACACCCGGGATTTCGCAGTTGTTTGCCACGTGTACAGATACCGAGGTGCGGAGATGTAAAACCCACCTCTAGCTACTTATTACGTACTCGCATCCCGACGCAAGCCAGGTGGACCTTTGATCGCATGGAACTTTAATCTTCGCTTGTGTCGGTATTTTCTTTGCGTCCGGTTCCTCATTTCTATTACAGTCTGTATTCCCTTAGAAGATATCATCTTTATTACCCCATAAGTTTCTTGCCACCCATTCCATTCCCACTAGGTTAGTTGCACAAACTTATACAAACTGCCTTAGTGATACGATACCAGATTCTTTATACTCTTTCATCCTGCTTCATGGTCCCTTCCGGCAGGGCAGCCCCCGGTAACCCGGATTTTATCTCAATTTTCCAATAACCATGTAGAGGCCGTCACTGTATAGGCCACTAAGTTCCATCTAAAATAATGTAATGGAATCTAAACTAGTGGTGATAATTGAGTTTTAATCCCTAATAAATTCAAACTTTAATATATGTAATCCAAACAGAGATAACATATTGTGGCAACAAAATTTTACGCGACAAAATTTAGGGTTTTTGAAAATAGTGTCACGTCGGTATTCTCCAATTCGTCGATGTTTCGACGTCGCTTTTGGATGCCAGTGTCAGTGCTTTGAGGAGCTCGTGCTTGCTCTTTTCTTGTCATTTCAGGTGCTTTTTGCAGGTGTGGTGACAGCATGGAGGCAGGATGGGTTGTGCAGAACCGACCTTATGATGGCCTTTTCAATTCATTAATGTTGAATTGGTCATATGGGACGGCCTACATCAAAAGCTCGAGGCTTAACGATTTTGTTTCGGGAGAGTGATCTTGTTATTGTGATGCAAAGACGGAATTTGTGACACGTTGCTCATACAAGGGTGGAGGGACTAGGCACCGTTAGGAATCGTATGCAATGTACTATTGCAAGTATGGTACTCTAGAAAGAGGCAAGAAGAGTATGCTTAGCTCAAATTTTATTCAAGATCCATCAACAAAGACAAAATTTGGTCCAGGGAGTAGGCATAGATTAGATCATGATTCACACCACAAGGGCTGTCAGTGCAAGTTTAGTGCCATTAAACGGCTGCATAATGATCACATTCCACCAGGGACCATGAAGTTGCTATACAAGCATAGAATACACGTAAATGCTGCAGGTGTAGCTTGTCATGGCATAGCATGTCCATATAGTGTTGGCTTGCCATCTCAGATGGTACACAATTTATCCTCCGAGTGCAAGTAACGGCATATTTGTAATATTTTCAATGTATTTGTTTATCGTTCACAGTTTATCGTCCGTGATATTTGTAATATGTACAATAAGTTTGCTGTTATTACAGTTTGTAAAACTTTGACTTAAGCAAGCACATTGTCTAATATTTTTTACATTCTTTCGGCAGGGAGTGGGTTGAATGCGAGTTAAGAAGAGGTTTAACTCCTCCACAAATTCTCATGTGTGTTGCAAAAGCACTATTTGAAAATCATTTGAGCTTAGGCTATGTGCAAGGTACCTCTATTAAAGATCATTATATCATATCAGCTGATGTGTATAATATCAAAATGGAACTCGACAAAGAAACTTGAAGAAGGCATGTTAATGATAGAATTAGCACATAATTATGAATGAAAGAAAATTCATCTCAAGTTATTCTGTATCAGGCACCAACAAGTGATTCATTTAAACCATTGAGGCTTGCTGTTACAAGACTCTTGCTCCTGAAATGGTTGCTAAAACATGGAAATGGAAGTTGTGTTGCTATAGATGGAACACATGACACACAAACGTATAAGGTAGTATTCTACTTGTCCATTCTGATGTTTTTATCATCACGCTTCCATAATTATGTATATTCTACCTCGCAATTTGCAATATCTGCAAGATACTTGAAAAATGACGGTTTGGAGCTTTAACCAATCCGGTAAGACGTTATTGAACTTCTCAATGTGTGATGTATATGTTGTTTTATATACCTTGATCACGTCTAGCTTATCAATACATAAAAATAGCGAATCATTCATTTTTATCAAGTTTAGCTTAGTATCAATGAAGATGAGTACTTTGTAGACGACAACTAGCAGCAAACTGATACGTTTATTTTACTTTTTGCGATGCAGTATCCATTGTACACCCTTATGGTGTTTGACGAATATGAACACGGACATCCTATTGTTTTTGGATTCCTTGAAAGAGAAGAAACACAAGATCTGGTAGAATTATTATATGTAGTGAAGAAGACGGTCTAACATTATATCCTTGAATGGATGCCACCCTGCTTCATGACGCATTGTGCTGACAATGAGAGACTTGCCCTAGACATTGTATTTCCACATATCCCTGTTTTTCTTTGCATATATCATGTTCGAAAAACATGGACAAAGAAATTGATTGAGGTTGTGAGTGGTCATGAAAAAGGAGCTATTATGAATGCTGCATTAGAAGTTCTGTGCTTTGGAAGCACATTGACTGCTGATGGAGAAGAATTTGATGTGGAAAGGTCTGCTGCGATGAAGCTTCTGTTATTTTACAAAAAATTTCAGCTCTTTGAGCCACAATTTGTGAAGTACTTCCAACCAGAATGGGAACCGTGTATGGATAAGTGTAAGTTTGTAACATGTGTATCCTATATGGAGTTATTACATTTTGAAAGTCGTTTTTTGCTTAATGGTCTTCCACAAGTATGTCTAACTTACTATTTTTAAATTCAGGTCAGTGGATTCGTGATGAACGGAGAAAGACATGCCGTAACAATCAAGATACCAACAACATTATGGAATCAATGCATGGGCACATAAAGGATTTTCTTTATGGCTGGCGCAGGAATGCTCATGAGCAACGTTTGGATCATACAGTATATGGTCTGCTAGGGGATTTTGTAATGAGAATTTGGTACAAAGATCAAAAGAACCTACTTGGCTTTATTTCAAATAAGAAGAAAGATCAGCGTGTGATTGTTGTGATCATCAAGATAAGATCTATATTAAATGTCCATGTTACTTGGCCTCATGGCTATGCAGGCCCCGCATTAGTGGGCTCTACATCAAAGCCGAATAGAATGCATCTTGTAAATTGGAGATGAGAAAAGTATGCATGCGAGTGCTTCTGATCACTCCAAGGAAATTTTTGCAAACATCAGGTACACCTCAGATTGCAATTCTCTCTTTGGTTGCATATATTACATATGTTGGTTGCATCTGTATATTTTATTAACACTGCTTGTTTCATGTGTGTCTAGATTCTTATTCTACGAAGGAAAGGATATTTCGAGACCAACATCCGCATTTGTTTGGGCATATACTTTGGTGGAATACGAGGTGGAATTAAAGAGCTCTTTGATATAAAGTTACTTCATCACAAATATATGATTTAAATGAAGATCCAATCAGTCCAAGAGAAGTTGCACATATTGAAGTCAAAGATGATCACCATGACACTTTCAACCTTACAGAAGGTACTTCAAACTGTCATTTTAATGTCAGGAGTGCAATTTGCGTGGCCATGCAACTCTGTAAAGCTACCTAACCCTACATGTTCTCTGTGTTATCAGCTACGGACAGCCCTGTAAAAAAAGCAACAAAGCCAACAGATTTGGAGGAGGAAGAAAAGACCAAGCGTGCTCTTCATACTCAATTGGTATGGCTGAAGTACTTTTTTGATGAAAGCCCCAGTATGGTCAAAGTGGGAGAGCTAGAGCTCCGGCATTGCATTGGACGTATCAAGGAGTCTCACCAAGCATGGAGTCGAGGTAGAATTCTTCCTGTTGCACACATGTGGTGTACAGCCATGCTAGATAAGCCCAACTCATCATTTAGGAAATTGACTTGGCTTGAAAAATTACCAGGCATTAAATGTCCCAAGCCACAGAGAGGACTTGAAACAAGAGGAAGATTTAGAGCCCCAACCGCAGATTTAGGAAAGGTAGAAGAAGATGCTTTTGTGGTAGCGCAGTTTTTGTTTTTTTTTGAAAATAAAGCATTTTTTGAATAGTAAGTACCGCGGTACTAGCTGTAGATAAGAATCGGTATGTGAATGTGGTACCCCACTTTTGGTATTTTTGAGGAAATTAAAACATTTTTGGAAAACTGTACCGCGGCAGTAGTGTAAATAGCCTTCGGTGCATCAAAATAGAGTGAAATTGGAAGATCGCAGAGAATCTCGAGAAAACTCGTAGAATCCAGGATTTGGGTGCAACGTTGGGGACGGACACCACCCTATATGCGGGCTCTGAAGGAATAACCCCTTCGGCGCAAGGCGCGAAATCCGCCTTCGGCGCTACGCCTTCGACGCTAGAGGAATCCTTCAAAACCTGGTCAATTCCCAAACGCCTTGACTTGGTTAGGGTCTCGTTGGAAAGAGCTCAACGCGCTGATACTAACGAGCCCAAGAAC